GGTCTCCTGCAGCGAACCCGAATCGCACACCTTGGCTAGCGGTAGCGCGCGAGCCTCTGTCGGCGCCGCTTTGGCTAAACTCGCGGACAACCGCTACGCCTGTGCCGCGCGTGCTGGAACTATCTGGCGTGGCGCCTGCGTTGCTCCCGCTGCCTCCTGTGCGTGAGTCTGGGCCACACACGGCGCCCGCCTTGACAGCCGGCCCGCTTGCGCATACGATGGCCCCGGAGCTCACAGACAACCAAGGCCGGCGCTTCCTTGCGGCTTGGGCTGCTGTTGGTGCTCATCTTTGAAGGGGTATCGGGTGGCCACCTGATCGCACAACGCCCCGGCGGCCTTGCCGCCCCTCGGTTCGCACTCCTCCGGTTTTCTTCCACCTTGAGGATGGTGCCTGTCCGCCACAACTCGGAGATGCCACGACTGTCGTTTCTACGGATGGCGCGCGTCTGCCTGGGGCTCCATATGGAGCAGGGGCTGCTCTCGTGCTCGGTCGTGGGGTCCTCTCTACAGGTCAGGAATCAGCTGCATTTTCCTCCGGGCTTGCTTGTGTCGCTGTAAGTGGTGCAGTCAGCGGCTGGCGCATGGGGACTGCAGCTGCTGCGTGTGGTTTTGGCCAGGCTCTCCTCGCTGCTTCTCGGGGCTCTGCTGATCGGTTGGCCCTCAGACCGAGCTCCTTGGCCTGGGTTTTTGACTGCTTGGGAATCGGGCAGCTCTTGGCCATCTGGCACCTTGATCGCGGGCGGCCTTGTGCGTCCGGCAGCGGGTCCCTGGATCTCTTCGCGCGTGGCTGTGCGGCGTGTGAGGCCTTCGCCGTCCACTGGGCCCCGCCTCACATCAGGAACCTGGTCGGCGATGTTGCTCAGTGGCACTACCGCTGGCGTCCTCCTCAGATACGCACCCGCGGCCGGACGTGCTGCGCCGCTCCTCTCCTCTGTAAACGTCAGAGGGGCAGCCACGCACGGCCCCCCCTGCTCGCTGAGGCGCGCCGACTGCTTGCCACATTGGACACCGGGCACCCGCCACAGTGCTGCCGGCGATCTTACTTCTCGCCGCGCTGCAGCTCAGTCGCTCGCCGGCGCGGGCGTTGTTTCTCCGGCTCTGCCAGACTCCCGCCGAAGCCTCGGCGGACGGGGCTAGGACGCCTGCGCCCCTGGGGGATCGCTGCCCCCGTGAGGTGCAGACCTTTGCCGCCAAGGTGTTGCCCGGGTCGCGTTTCAGACACGCTGGCCCCTTGTTTGGTCTGGGGCCTGTGGCTTGCTGCTGCGGTGAACAAGACACGCCGCGGCACTCCTTCGGGAAGTTCTGCGCGGACGGTACGCAGCTACGTACCACCACGGCGCCCGCGGGCCTCGTTCGGTGCGCGCATCCATGTGCCTGGGCGCCCGCGGTGTTTGGGTGGAGCACTACGGCGAGCGCCTCGGAGGCGGTCGCTGTGGTGTTTACTTGGGTTCGCCTCCTGGCATTTTTTTGGTGGTGATCCGCTGGCGCCCAGACTTCGCCGGCGTGGCTTTTTCGCGGTTTTGCCTCTCCGCTTTTTCCCCGGGGCTGTGGGTTGCGGTCAGGTGATGCGCTGGCTTTTCGGAAACAATACGAGCAAGCGGCGGCACTGTGCAGGAGTGTCGCCGCTTCCTCCTCGCGCGCCTAGGCTAGTAAGTGCAGACCCGCCCGCTGCTGTCGTTGAGATTGATCCCGCCCCGAGCTACAACGCAGCTCGCCGCGGGCGGGTTCGGCGCTCTGGGGCTGCTTTGGCGCGGCGTGCTGGCTTTCGACTAAATGCCCCCGGCAATGTATGTTTCTCTTGCTGTTTCCACCGCTGCACCTGCGTGCCCTTATTCAGTGCTGGTTCGAGGCTTCTGGCTTCTTTTTACCATGAGGGCACTGGCAAACGCAACCGGGCTGCGGCGCCTTTTGTTAGGACTCCCCTGCATCTGCTTATTTGGCGCGTCGCTGTGCTTCAGATGCCGCCCGCTGGCCGTCTGTAGGTCTGTGGGTAGCCGTCCCTCCTTCGCTGAATAATAATAATAATGACAAAAGAAGAGAAGACGCCATATCATTTCGCATTTTTCTAATCTTGTTTAAAAAATGTTTTCTCCTTGTTGGGTACTAGCTACTACATCTAAATCTAATCTTGTCTTCGAATCGTTTTTGTTATTCATAATAAATCTGAGTCTGTCTGAGTGTTGTCGACGTTTATTCAATATTGGGAGAATCAGCTGGTTTGAGTGAATACGAAAGTTCCTTTCTGTCGTGCCAGCTCTCGGGGTGTTTAAAATGCTTGAGCAGACAAATGTGATGCTGTGAGTTAAAAAGGTGGCTACTGTAGTAGACACTTTTAAGCTAAAAGCATCCGAAAAGTGGTTAAGTAACCTCCTCCCATAACAGGAGTCCGTGGCTTTTCCCCTTAGCATAGTATAGGGCTGGGCTGCAAATCTTGACTGGCTTTTGCCCGTAAAATGGCGAAGGTTCGTTTAGGTCCAGCGACGCTCAAGGCACTTAAATAGCAGCAGGCTTGTTTTCATCTTTCCATGTAATTTTAGATTATCCCTTCTTGCAATATTGGGAGAAGCAACATCATGCAGGTCTGTCTGTCACTTCATCCTGTACAGCAACAATCCTTCATATAGCATCAGGCTTCCTTGTCTGGGTACAGAAAGAACCAACAATAGACGAGGAAGGGTCTGTTGCAGATCAGCTTCTATGTACAGAATGAAGAACTAGATTTCGACGACGTGCCAATATTGATTGGCCAGACCCACAAGTGGAGGCAGTTGAGGTCGTCCGTTCGGCTTCTGCTTAAGGGAAGCCTAAATCTAAAGCTAAATCTGATTTCCTCACTGAAGTCGGAATCTGAATGTTCTAAATCAATGACGTCCTGAAGGAATTTTCTGTGTTTCGGTCTGGATGAATAGTGACGAGCTGGGTTAATAGTGATGAGCTGCGGAGTTGCGGGTCGAATATTATTATGACATCCTTGATCACGAGTCTTTCTCGGCTTGCTGAGACCTCCGAAGAGAGCACTTCAGTCTGTTGAGGGTTTACCAGTCTGTTGCGAGCTGGAAAGCCAGGAGAAGAGACGAGATTGAGGACAACTCGTTACGAAGAAGACACGTCCCTTTCCTCGTACTTCTTACATTATTTTTAGTTGGTTCGGCGTAGGCGTATTGAGGCAGACCAAGCGCTAGGAAAGTCGAAGACCTGACAAGAATGCCTCATGGTCTGAAGCAAGTGGAAAGCGACCTCTTTCGTGTCCTTACCGGGACTTGGTAGGATATCCGGTTTTCCTTGGTAGATTTTAGCAACTAAGCAAGGGCTTGGCGCTGCGGAGTCAACAGAAGAACCCTCACTGACATCGCTAGTGCAAAGCCTTCCCCGACGGCAAGCTGTAGGCTTTTTCTCTAGACTAGCTGGGCCACACGTCTTTCCCCGTTAAGGCTCTGAAAGGGTCACGTCGCCCAGTCAGTAAGTTTGTAGCCAGTTACCCACACGCATTAGAATCCTCGCGGTCATGGCTGTATTGACCAGCCAGGCCTACCCAAGTTCCACTGTGGCCACCTTGAAGGCGAAAACAGTTGCGACATGTTTCCCCGTCTTTATAGGTAAAACTTCTTCAGTAGGCTTCTCACTCCTAGTTAGAAAGTTGGCCCCCGTTCGACTAGTTTCTTCGCAAGCCCCTAAAAAAGACGACCGAAAAAAGGGGGGCATGCATTTGGTCGACTTTTTCAGTCGCTAGGCATCTCTGGGCTTTCTCTTTTCTTAGTGGAAAGTGGCCACCTTGAACGAAGTAAAGCGTTGCTGGTTGAAATTCTGTGGCATTTCACTGGATGGCTTCAGGCTTACAAGTTCGGCCCTTGTCGCTGCTCTTTTATAGTCAGGGCCTGAGCGCCACCCCCTGGGAAGTAGGTAAAAAAGATCTACTTCGAGCGCGGGCCGAGCGCCCTAAGTAAGCTGATTTGTTCGCGCTCTTGCTTCTCTTGGACATTTGAGGACCGTGAAAGCCAAGAAGCCCCCGGCGCTTTTGGCGTCAACAATGACGAGCGAAATAGAGGAACACGCACCAAAATTCAGCTTTCTTGTTTTTAGTTTGTGGCATAGGGACTGAGAGGAGGAAAAAACAAACTGCCAGGTAAGTGCACTAAGGAGATCCGAGGGGGAACAGGGTCGGGGGGCTGTCTTGTCAATGCCTTCCGGCCTTTGCGTTTCCTGCTTCTTGCCCTTCACGCTCAGCGGCTGGCCGTGCGCGTGTCCTCTCTACCCCCGTCTCGGCTCTTTCGGGTTTCTATTCTTTTCCATTGCGCCACCCGTTCGCAGGGGGTCCCGCGCGCCAGGGTTCAGCGGGTGGCCGTGCGCTCAGCGCCGCGCCGCGCGTCTCTACCCCCGTCGCGGCTTTTTCGGGTTTCTACTCCACTGCGCCACCCATTCGCAAGGGATTCCGCGCGCCAGGGTTCAGCGGCGGGCCGTGTGTGTGTGTCTTCTCTAGTTTACCCCCGTCGCGGCTCTTTCGGGCCTCTGTTCTTTCCCACTGCGCCACCCGCTCGCAGGGGGTTTCGCGCCAAGGTTCTGCCAGCGGGTGGCCGCGTGCTCAGCGCCGCGCACGCCTCTGCCCCCGCCGCGGCTTTCTCGGGCTTCTGTTCTTTTCCATTGTGCCACCCGTTCGCATGGGGTTCCGTGCGCCAGGGCTCTGCGGCTGGCTGCGCGCGTGTCCTCTCTGGCCCCGTCACCTGTTGTTTCTTGTCCCTTCGTTGTCCTCTGTTGCTTGTCTTCTGTCTTCTTCTGTCTTTCGCTGTTGTTTTCTGTTGCCTCTTGTTGTCCTCTGTTGTCTCTGGCGTTTCTTGTTGTTTTCTGTCTGTTGCCTCCCGCTGCTCTCTGTTGCCCTTCGTTGTCCTCTGTTGCTCCTTGTTGTTTTCTGTTGTCTCTTGTTGCTCTCTGTTGTCTCCTGTTGGTCCTTGTCATCTCTCGCCGTCCCTTGTTGTTTTCTGTCGTCTCTCGTTGCCTTCCGCTGTCCGTTGTCCTTGCTTGCTTTCTGTTGTCTCTCGCTGTCTCTTGTTGTCCCTTGGTGTCTATCGTTGTCCCTTGCTGCCGTCTGTTGCCTCTTGTCGTTTTCGCTGTTCCTTGTTGCACGCTGTTGCCCCTTGTTGTCCTCTGTCGTTTTCTGTTGTCTTCTGGTGTCTCTAGTCGTCCCCTGTCGCCCTCTGTTGTCTTCTACGTCTGCAGTCTTCCCGGTCCACCCGTGCTGTCAGCCGAAGAAGAGGAAGAGGCAGCAGAGCAGGAGGCACAAAAACAAGCGTCGAACAGGAACTCAATTATGTTCTTTGTGAGCGCTAGAATTCTTAGAATAAAAGGTAGTTTCATGATTAGGATTAGTGTATTAGTGGTTTCTAAAGTCCTCAGAGGCGAGCACCACGTCCTCCTTGGGGCGCTTCGCCTGCGTTCGTCTCGACACCTTGCGTGAAGAGTCAGCAACGGCACTCTATCCTATCCTACCCTTCGAAATAACTTCTTTCTGCGTACCAAGCTCTTTCGTAGTGACAAACTCAGAGGATGGCAAAAACCTTCTCATCGTTCTTCTGAGTTTGACTCAGCTGCAGGCTTTGCAGCGTCCTCCATCACTCTTGCTAGAGAGGGTCGTAGTGAAGCGCAGGACTCTGCTGCAACTGCGGAAGAGAAGCCGGAGCAGACCAAGCGTTTTGGGAGTCTCTACGATAGCATGCTGTGCTGTGTCCTGCTCATGTTGAAGTCCATCGTCTACGACGATTCTCGAGCTCTGCTTCCTTGCGCGTTGATGCCGACACCTAAGGAGCAGAACGAGCTGCAGATCCAGCTACAAGGCAGCGAAGAAGGGGTCAACATAAACGTTGGGGGAAGTTTCAAAAAGCCGCTGCGTCAAGGCTGGATCAAGCGAGACACTGGGTCAGGAGTGGCTGAAAAGGTGGCCTCAATCGCCCTGCAGCTGCTCTTGCAGGTCCCCGATGGACGGGAATATTTTTCTAGTACAGCGACGGCGCCGACGGCAAAAGTTATGTTTGCCCAGGTCAATCGCAATCGGTGGCGGGAGCTCATAAATTCGAGATGGTTGGATCGATAGCGGTACCCGTAGACGTGTCCTTCGAGGAACGCTTCGTCATCTTCTACTTATGACGAATACAAATGCTAGATCTAGAGGTGATTCTCATGAAGATCGAGATCATTTTTTGATTGAAGAGCTACCTACTTAGATGGGCTTTGAAGTTCGATTGCCCGGAAGTGGAACTGCCACTACCTCGTCTACCTCCGTCTAGTACACCTCTACTAGATGAAGAAGCCTTTATATAAATCATTTTCTTCATTGAAGAACTACGCAGGTCCTCGACTTTGAACTCTTTCTACTGCTACCTCTGTCTTGCCTCTTCTAACCTCCATCTGCGCTTTGAGCAGATATAACACGGACTGGTTTCTCGAGAACTTGGGTCTTCACTGGAGAAATAGGATGTTTAGCATGCTCTGTCTCATCTGGGAGAACCATTCGAACACGGTCTTGGCCCACCACGCTCACAGAATTTGCGCGAGCTTCTTGCAGGTATGATATTTTGAGAAGGTGTATGGAGCTTGGCTTAATGGTGCTCGTCAATCTTTTTGGACCGGTGCGGAACTACGAAGAACGGCGAGGCCGGGCCGCCATGTTCAAGGAGAAGAAGCTCTTAGCGCGTGCTGCCGTCATGGTCCCCGGCATCATGGAGGTGAGAGGCGATGGCCAAAAAGCTGCTATGAAGCAGTATGTTAGCCGATTCGAGGGCAACAGCATGCAGAAAGCTACTAGTACCAGTGCAGCCACCTTGGCGAGCGCGGTTAGGAAGCGGATGGATCAGAAGAAAAGCAGAAACAAGAAGATGAAGAAGGGAAAGAAAGAAAACAACTGTAGTAGCACAAGTGCGCGACATGTGCACAATCCTGACAGTGAAAAGCTACAGGCTGAAGCACAGCCTCGCAAGCTCATGCGTGACCAGTTCATCCCATAAATGCACACTGATGACCCCCCATCATGGCACCAAATAGCGAGCCGGTGGCTTCGTGTCTCGCTTTAGGGCTTTCTGGTCATATCGTAGCGTTAAGGCTTATGCGGTAGCGGTTGCGCTAGCGTGCAGATTTGTGGGTGTGTGGCGCTCTTGCAGTAGATGAGGATGTCAGGGCAAGAAGCACAAAGAAAAAAGAATGTAAGAGTGATTTGTCGGTCCTTGAGGGGAGTGGGGTGACCCGTGTGGACGTCGGTCCTATTTAATGGCCACGACTTTACTCAGGGCGCCGGCCTCGGTGCACGACGTTGACTTTTTTCAGGTCACTAAATCATCCTCGGAGTCGAACCAGGTGCCGGGAGGGTTCGATGTGCAGGGTTCACGGCCTAACCTAACCTAATATGAACGCGAGTTTTTAGTTTTTACAACAAATTTCTTGAGAATCCTTAGATTGAAGAGAGCGGTAGCTGCCGCTGCCGTCATTTTTGAAATTGGGGGATACTTCTTCATACTGTCCCCTTCACATGTAGTGTCGACTGCTATCTCATTATTCTCTTCTCTCATCGAATAGTACCTCGTTCCCACCGTCTTCTAACCTTCGTTGTGCAGTGTGTTTGTGAAGATCACTTGTGACGTGATGAACCAAAGTTGGGACATTTCGATCCGGTTAGGAGGACTAGCAGCGTCTTTACGTGCTATGGAGGCACCAGAATTTTTCCTCACTCAATTGGTGGACCACTTCGCGATTACACCGGTGATGCGTGCACTTCTCCTGCCGTACCCAAGAGTGCACCTGTCGCAGCTGGTCTTGATTTCCATTTTGACGTCTCTGAAGCAGCAACACGATCCAAGAATCCTTGCTCGCGAAATTCTTTCAGTACTCATATTAACACCGACTTTATACTTCTATCCTTGGTATACACGACCCAATCTACTCTCGCAGTAAGTGCAAATAGATCCAGACAATGCATGCCAAGTACGTACGGATGTATACCCTCGTCTATTCGAGTTTTGTCGCTCGTTTTAAATCTTCAAAATATCTAAATCCGTCAAAGGTTCGATGTACATGTAATTGCATGAAAACAATGCCAAAAAATTTCTAAAAGAACAACCCAGGACCAATCTTCTACTCGAAATACACCACTCCCAATACTAGGCATCAAGAGTCGCTGTTGATCGGCATATCGAATTTCGCTTCGAACGGTGTTGTCCCAGACCCGTCTCAGCCCTTTGCCCGTGACGGTTCAGACAGCATATCTTGGAACCTTGGTTAATACAGCCTTATTTTCCGGTGTCTGTCCTTCACGCACGAGCTTGCCTTCGGACGCAGTATTCGGTCTTTGGCTACCTACCTGCTTGGACAGTTATGACAACCTGTTTCTTAGTCGAGCGTGGTACAAGAACTACGCAGTAGTAGAAGGTACAACAAAAACTCCTGCTGACGGCATGAAAAATACAAATCTCAACCTTTTCTAGTCATCCTTGTTAGTACAATGGAGAACAAGCTAAAAAAGTACGTGAATATAGAAGGTCAAGTTTCTAAGACCTTGCCTGGTTCCCCCAAAGAAGGCGCCGCCAAGTATCGGGAGTGCCAGAGAAGACCCATCATCCGCAGGACCAGACCATCTCGCGGCCGTCTCACAGCCAGCGCTTGATGATGTCACGACGCCAGACCCCGTGGATTTTCGCAGAGATGCGGTTTGTGAGTACTACTTATATTTCTTCTTTCTGAAAGATAAATGGGTAAGTGCGTATTTTATTTTGAATGTGAGAATGTTCATGTTGTTTTTTAGAAAATTTAGATTTTTATTGTGTCAATACGTGGGAGGCCCTCCCTTTCACAATAGCATACGCTAGACGAAGATGATTTCTCCATTTCCGAGGAGGCACATTTTTCTTTTTGATTCCCACCTCAGGTATCAGGATCCGATGCTACAGCTATTGGAGTTACTGACTGATGAAATATCCCGTGAAGACCAGCGGCTGTTGAAAGCTAGGGGCCCTAAGACTCGGGAGGGGCCTCAGTATTCGACCTATCTCTGTCACCTTCTCTACGCGCTGGCCTTCGCAGTGAACACGCACCAACGAGCAGCGTCACAGTCAAGTATTCTTCTAAAAAGAAAGGCAACCAGATGAAATATCTTTTTTAAGAAAATCAGGTCCTTGACTGATCTTTTATTTTTTTTGTTCAGCATCGTCTTCATGATAAGAACATCAACTCCAACTCCAGATAGAATCCGTGGTGCCGCGTTCTTCCAGCTGAAGAAGATTCAGAACATCCTCTCCCCGCAGATTCCACCTAGAGACTTGATGGACGCCAATCAGGGTGGATTCCCCGAGATGAAGTTGTTCCTCTACGTCCGGGCAGCTGCCGTGGTTCGCTCAGCGCTGCAGTTAAGGATTGTTGTTGATGTTGTGATTACTTTATAGGGTCTATAGATTGCTGGTGAGTAGGCTAAGAGCAGTTATTACTTCAAAGAATCATCTGCTTGTACCTAAATTTTTAAAAGAAGGTATACTTAGACAGTTAACTTTATACTAGTTAGGTTGGCTGCACCACTCTTCTTTTACAAGTAGATTACCATCAAAACAAAGAATTACTTACCTGAAAAACCTCTCTAACTTGAGCAGTATTGAACTCCTGACTTGCGACGGGTTTTACGGCGGAAGTAGCGTTTGCCAACGAACAGGGTGGCTACGACTTGCTCACGTACTGCACCAAGCACATCATCCAAGCCTTCAACAACAAAACTGCGATGACCAAGTTACGAACTTCATATACGACTTCTTTACATTTCTAAATAATCTAAATTCATGACAACTGGACATACTGTAAAGTGACTCCTGGAAAGTAATCTAAACGTAAAAAATTGGCGGATATGAATTCTTCCTTCGTATTATACTAGGAAGTCACAGTCCAATCCGAATCGACTAACGTCATCATTATAACAGCAGGTCACCTACTAGATTTAGATGCAGTATCGGATGCCTGTGTTTCTTTTCGTAGTTGCGTGATCACCAATTTCTCCTCCTAACGATTGTCCTCGGTGGTCCGTGGGAGCGCATTTTGGTGGCCCAGGGCCCGGCTCCGATGATCGTGGATGTGTATCTGAAGGTCTGTGAGTTGGAGGGCAATCTTTTGGCGGTGAACAAGATCGGCGGCCACAAGGCGTTGCACAACCTCAGTCGCTACGGGTATAGTACGGAAGTCCGACAAACGGCCACCATGTTGCTCACGAAGTTGGCGGTGCTCTTATTCGAGAAAAACCAACCGGCGGCAACCAACGGCGCAGAGGGTGCTAGTGGACAAGCTGCGGGAGCACAGGTGACAGACGTTGTAGCACCAGAATATGACCGATAGCACCACAATAGAGACTTTACCAAATAAACTAAAGATCCATCTCAATCACAATCTAAAAAGCACTTTTTCTTCTTTGTAACTGTCAGAGTTAGTAGACTCAGAGCATAGGACGGAGTTTCCACACCTAAGCCTGTTAGTAGTTGACAAAAATTCGATGCATCCATTTGAGGCTTTTCTAATTCGTTGCTAAGAAAGTACAAGCATCATCTTGTAATAAGACACTCGTTGCTAAGACTAAGACTAAGACTATTTTTTGTTTTGGTGAGCGTAGTTTACTAGAGGCAAGGTCGTTTTAAGAGATCTAAAGACAAAGATCGCAGTAAGCGATAGGAGAGCTTAGTTTTGTAGTGTGCTTTTTCATTTCGAGGATCATTCGTTTCTGGGACACTATTGGAGTTAGATTGTCACCATTTGCTTATGCATAGAAATGTACAGCTACATCAACTTTTGGCTCTGGCTAAACTAAGGCTGAACAGAAAGCTACTTGGACGAAAGATTCGAAGCAGATAGATACAGTCCTCATCTACGATGGAGAAAACAACATCTAAAGAGACCTAGGGAGACACACCTCCTCATTGATGTATTAAAAGATGATGTCCAAGTCCACCGTCCGTCTGTATTAGTACGAGAGCAATACTCAACATAGATTGATGTGCTGTGAATGTTTCCTAAAAGAATCTTGCTAGTGCTGTGAATGTTTCCTATGGTGTAACGCGTGACTCGCAACGATCCTTGTTTGAACACTGAATAGTTTTCTAAATCCTAAATCTAAATAATCTAAATACTTACTATCATCAATTTACATTTGTAGATTTAGACTTCTTTGATAGAACTCTACCGCTTCTACAGGGAAAACTTGCTAAAGAGTTTCGTAAAGGAGGAAAGAATGATGGAGTTCTTTCCCAAACAGGCAAGATGATCTCGTTAAGGTCTAACTTACTTTGCAGTTAGCGGAGCGCGAGCACACTTCCCGCGTCACGCGACGGCGCAGACTATTTTTGTAGACTTCTGCAGACCGTGACGAAGTGAAGATGGCACTGTACTTGTACGTCTTCGAATCTAAAAGGAAGCATGGATTAAGCCGCACAGAGCTTGCGGTCACTTGCAGCCAAGGTAAACACGGCTTCCGGTCACTTGCATCATTGATTACAACTTTCTACATGATCCAACTTTCTACTCCGTCCTTGTCGTTTCCCCTCCCTTCGTGTCATGGATACGGTGCATTGATACCCCCTCATCGTCTACGAGACGAAATGGTTCATGTCATGAAAAGGAGAGTTGAATCAATCTTCTAAATTTTCTAAATCTAGGCGAAGTTGACTTCTGAAAATCTAAAAAATCCAAATCTGATTTCTGGAGCAGGAGGGAAAGCTTGGAATCGCGAAGATCTAAAGAATCTGAATTATCTAAATGAACCACAGACATATCTCCACCTGGACCTTGTGCTAATGGACCAAGGTGTTGCTTACGATAAGAGCTACGACTTAGACGTGGAAGAGTTATCAGACACCTAGAGCGCAAATGGCGGCAGAAAATATTGAGAAGCAAGGGAAACAAGGATAGAGAAGAGTGAAAAGAATGAAAGGGACATGAAGAACCGATGGCGAAATGAGTAGTGAGCCCTGAGAGAGAGAGAGAGAGTGTGGAAACTGAAGAGACGATAAAGGGAACGAATATAGTGCAGATTTTTTACTGAAATGAAACGTCAGGAATCACAATGAGCATGGTGTGGCAGTGATAGCTTATCTGCCAACTGTTCCTGTTGTGGTTTTTTTAGAAAGTCAGGGTAGTTGTGGTCTATAAGCTCTGATAACTCATACTTTTAGAAAGTGCAGTTGTACTAGTATCTTCTATCACACACGTAGTAAAAGTAGCACTGTGCGACTCTTTGCGTTTGTTCTGTTGAATTTCTAAAAACCCGCGAAAGGATGTTTTCTAAAGAATCTAAATCTTGAAAAGATGAGGCATTGAACAATTTGCATCAGCGAATCCAGCAAAAGGCTGCTTCCAAATCAAGAGAAAACGCCAACCCTACACCAATACATCACGAACCCAAAAAAAACAGTCGAACTTTAGAAAGAGAGAAGACTCAGGGGACACCAAGTGGTCCGTTTCGTTCTTCGTTACGTTTTACTAATACAGCACGACACAGCATAAAAAGCACCTGTGGAGAATTGATTTTAGAAACAAAATAGACTGCTCAGGAGTTTTGACAAGATGCAATCTCTTGACACAGCTAAGCACGAGGCTAGCGCCCCGTCTCGTGCGAACGTAGTGGACCGCTTAACGGTTAAGCAGCCTCGTGCTGGGGTTGCAGCCTCTTCCTCCACCTATGGCGCGGAGATCTCCGCCCACCTGCGTAACATCTTAGGAGAAACGAGCCAGGGCAAAAAGCCCTACAGTACGTAGCTCTAGTTCGTCAGCGTCTTCGAGTAATATAACAGTCAGAGCTGAGCCGTTCGCTTACTAAGTATGCGGCTCCGATTATTGGAGGTACCGATCTTGAGACTTCTTTGCATGGAACGCACTGTGTGTATCTCTATTGGAAGAAATCCTTGAGATATCTGAGAGATCTTTAGATTTTTTAGAAATGAAAGTGACAGTTTTCACTTTCAGAGGTCTTGGGAATGGATTTGGATTTTCAGAGGTCTTTAGGCCGTATTTCCTTGGATATTGCTTTTTGATTTTTTTGAGTTTGCGATATCTACTTTAGATTTTCTTTTGAGGAAGCAAAAAGCCTGAAGAAGGTGCTTCTTGAGTCAATTAGTCTTCAAAAGAAGACTCATTTCTTTAGAATTTTTTAAATACAGCAACTCCTTGTTATCCTTCATCCGGGGTAGTGCTAATGAGTGACTTCTTTTGCGAAGTATCCTATAGATCTACTCTTTTGAACTCTTTTCGTCAGATTTCCTGTCACATACTGATACTCGATTGATTAGCGCCGAGGATGGTGTAGAGTTCGTATTTAGATTTTTTAGAACAGAGCTCGGCTTCGGACTTTTAGACTTTTTAGAAATAGCGTCAGCCTGCTCACCAGATTTCTCAGAGAGAAAGCATTAGATTTCTTCCTCCAAATTTTTTAGATCGTTGGAAAATGGCTTGCCATTTCTTGGCAGGGTGTTGACGCTGTAGTCGACCTTTTTTAAATCCTCTAAGCACATTTTTAGGAGTGCAATCTCACGACCAGAAGCCATCCAATTACTTCCAACTTAAAAACAAGAACTGCGCGCACTTGCGCTTAATAAGAGAGAGGTAGCCTTTGTATTTTTCAACTGTCAGGTGGCGACGTTTTGGTGCGTGACTTTTTTCCGAAAATTAATAGTCTCACTCCACAGTGCGAACGGCAAGGCCCTGGCAATGATGTTATATCGCTTTTCTAAATTTTATACAGTGGAAGTAGTAGGGCAGTGGCCTTCTATGTCCTTGGGGTGGGTACATTCATTCATCCACTCTAACTCAGTAAACTATGCTATGTCTCTACATCGTTTGCCTTCTCGCTCTCAGTCGGATTCTAAATTATCTAAATTAGCCTAAGGAGGATTAGGCCTCCTTCGCGGGTCTTCCTTTTGTTTTGCTTGATTCCTACCATTACCTAGCTACCAAAAACCCTACGGAAATCTTTCCTGCCCACCTTCCTGCCTGCTCTTACTCACCTACTCTTACTTGCTTATTTGTGCCCACATATCTGAAAAAGTCTTACCTACCTCCATGGCGAGTGAATATTATGAATTGCTTTCCTACTCACGGACCCTAGTACAGTCTACCCTTGTTATTCCTAACGCCACAGCCCGAACCCCTTTCATATGTTGCCATCGCCTGAAAGTTGTTGGCAGTGCGGGAAAGACGGGTACGGCCGTGGCCCTCCTGGACGCCGAGTCGCGCTACGAATTTTCTTGGCCTTATGGTGAAGTAGTATTCCCATATTTAGTGCATGTGCTTGCTTGTAAAGGTTGACCAAGCAGGAGGAGGAGAGAAAAGTCGAGCATTGAAGATAACCGAACTGAACGAAAGAAAACTCAGCACCTTTTGGCCTACTTTCTGGCATTTAGTTACTTACATGCTTGCACATGGTTGGCAAATTTAGTGCATATGTGTGTCATCATTAGTGCACAGCTCTACTCTGATTTTATTACTGACATAGGATCTATGAGACAATATATACATTATAGAAGCAGTAGCATTTACTCCATTTCTTTGAAATGTACCGACACCAACAGTTGAAGCCGTATACAGGAAAGAACCGTGGACACATCACTGGAAATGAAAACTTGGTAGGAAGAACTGCCTTCATGATCCTCGACGAAGGCAATCTGTAAGGGCAATTCTGCTTTTCTCCACCGTCCTCTCTACTCGAAGCAAGATAGACGCAGAAGCCCAGTCATTTAGTCCGTGAGGGAAAAGCCACAGACACTGGGATGGCTATGGGGGTGGCCGTTGCGTTTGTTTTTTTAAATAGTTTACTTCCTTTTCAATGGAGGTTTTTGCGCTGGTTTTGAAAAAATTTAGAAGACATGCCCAAGAAGCCAATAACAATCCAGCAACAAGCTAGACCAGCGGGTAGAACTCGCCTGGGAAATCTTAGGCAGCTCGCCGAATAGATTCAAACCCTCAACTTTACATGCCCAGAAAGCGGGCCCATCAAGGGCCCGCTGGGCTGGGCATCGGTTAACGGCTAGGCAGATAACTAAGATACAGAAAGACAAGCGAAAAGGGCCGCCTCCTGCGCGCCAACGCTAGAACGGCCGGCAAGCTGGCGCCCACTGTGGCGAGGCTAGTAAGCGGGCGACTGCTGTGGCTACTGCCTTGGCCAGCTTGCTCACTGGGAAGCCAATGGACGCCAAGGCCTGGCCCCAGCGAGCTCGGAAGCGGTGGCCAGCTGGCTCGAGGGCCATCCGTGGCGAGGTAGGTAGCCCAGTCAGAAGCCAAGCCCTGGCCAGCTAGCTTGGAAGCAGTGACGAGCTTGCTCAGAAGCAAGTCGTGGCCAGCTTGCCTGGAAGCCAAGGCGAGCCACCTCAGAGAGAAGGCGGGGCCAGCTAGCTTGGCTGGAAGCCATGGCGACCGAGCCGAAGCCGTGGCCAGCTAGCCTAGAACTAGAAGCCATGGCCAGCCAGGTTGAAATGAAAGCGTAGCGAGCTAGCCCAGAAGCCATGAGTGACCAGCTAGCTTGGACGCCGTGGCTTCCGAAGGTGTGGCCAGCTAGCTTGGAAGCCATGGCTGGCCAGCTAGCTTGGGAGCCATGGCTGGCCAGCTTGCTGGAAGCCATAGCGAGCTAGCCCAGAAGCCAGGGCCCGCTAGCGTGGAAGCCTTGGGTGGCCAGCCATCCCCCCCCGGAAGCCATGGCGAGCGAGCTCAGGAGCCACCGCCAGCGAGCTTAGACCTTGGAAGCCATGGCCAGCCAGCTTGGGAGCCATGGCCATGGCGCGCTAGGTCTGAAGCCATGGCCAGCTCGCTTAGACAGCTAGCGCAGAAGCGTCGGACAGCTAGCTACGAAGCCGTGGCCAGCTAACTCTGACTCTGAAGCTTTGGCCAGCTTGCTAGCCCTGAAGCCTTGGCGGCCAGCTTGTTAGCTTAATATTGGGGGGCCAAGCAATGAACTTGGGCGCCATGGCTGACTAGCTCAGAAACGGCCGCCCGCCTGCTCGCTTTGAAGCCTTGGCCAGCTAGCTCAAAAGCCATGGCCTGACAGCTTAGAAGCTATGGCCAGTCAGCTTGGAAGCCATTGGGAGGGAGCTCCAGACACTGACATGGCCAGGCATCTTAGAAGCCGTGGCCAGCCGGCTCAGAAGCTACGGGCAGCCAGCGAGCGGGGAAGCCTTGGCCAGTTGGCTCAGGGTGCGGCCTTGCTTGGTCAGCTAGCTCAGAAGCCTTGGGCGGCTCCCTAGTAGCCTAGGCTCCACGGGTTGGCTAACTGCTTCTGACATAGCTGTCGCGGCTTCTGCGCTCTCCCTTGAGGCAGGGTCTATAGAAGCCACTTTTATTAAGAGAGGGGCGCTGGGGGAGCTCCTTAAGGGTGGCGCACTTTTAAGGAGCTTCCTTAAGGGTCTTCCTTAAGGGCCCACCCTTAAGGGGATCGCAGGGTTTGGTCAATTGTATAAATATTAGAATTAATATTTTGTTTTTTTCTAGAAATTTTTTTTAGATCAGGAAGCCTGTGCCAACTTTGGCAGGGTGATTTCGGTCATTGGGGTTGCATTGCTGCGTGCCCTTCTGATCCAAATCAGGGCAGGCAATTCCCTAAGAATAGACACGGGCGCCCGCCCCCTCCTAGGCGTGCTCGCTCCTAACTATCTTATTGTTGGGCAGAGTGATAGTGGATAGATCAACAATCAACGTGAAACGGCTCAAGGATCTCAGCCAAGAGGCCCACCAAGATCGCGAGCCAAATGGTTACAGGATCAGAATCACACCAATAGGAAGACCAACAAGATCACACCAGGCGGATCGCCATCAGGATGATCACCATAGGAGTGGAATACTATCGGGATCGAGAACGTCAGCGCCGAGGCCCCTAGCGTAGCAAGTAGCTTGAGACCCATAGACATGAGCAACTGCATGAGAATCAGCAAACTCAATGGACTTGCTCCAGCCTTCGCAGGTATAGTGAGGGGGGTGCTGTACTGTTGCGAACTTGACTCCCCTGCGGGTCTAGTTTTCTAGGTTTTCAGTGTTCTAGCGCTTATCTTATAGGTGTGTAGGAGTAGGAGCGTGCGCGCCGGGCGCTCTGCTCTTGGGAGGTTTTTTACAAGTCGCCTGCAGAATTTTTTTCAGCTTCGCATGTGATGGCTTTGGGATTCGGAATATTCGGCGGCTCCTAAAAGTTTCCGATCCAGCCACCTCCCCGCTGTGTTCCGCAAATGTTAAAAGAATAGCTCTGGGAAGGCGGTGGGGATGATGGTCGCAGCCGTATGGGCATGGAGGTCGTCAATATGATGACGGTGGAGGCCATTGCAATACTGTGGGGACTACGATCACGGCACTGAAGTGCTGCGCCTATGGTGGGGGGTTGGTGCGGTGACACATAAGAAAGGGGGCCCACACGTTTGGCAACTTTGCAACCGCGTGAGAATCGTGCGGGCATTTCTCAAGCTGTACAACTGAAACAGGCCGCGAATTATATAGAAAGCGCACCACCTGAAAAGGGGCGGGGGTGTGCGCTCCTAGTGTGCACAGGCAGGCCTGGAAACTTCTGTAGACAAGTGCTGGGCTGCAGGCCTGTCGGGGAGGCTTGCTGGATGTTCGAACTTCTCCAGAAAAATGGGGCGGCTTTTAGAATTTTTAGAAGTGTGCCACTTCTGGAAGTTGGATCATGGGCTTCAGGGCTTACGCTTCAGAACTTGCGGAACTATGGGAAGGCCTTCAGATACACGGCTCGACCTTTTTTAGAAGTTTTGGAGAAAGGGCGCGGCTTTTTGGGTCTTTAGATTTAGAAGCGTCTCTGGCATCAGTGTGAAGGCTTTTAGGGTTTTCAGCTAGAATGCCCGCAGGGCTTTCGCCTTGTAGAAGTGTGCAACGCCCTCACCCTTTTGAAGTTTAGAAGTTTCGCATCCTTGTGGCTTTGGTGCTCCTCGTCTTTTCCTTAGGGGTTCCTCGTCCTGTAGAAGTTCCTCTCTTTTTAGAAGGGCTCTACGCTTATTCCCTGGACCGGCGTAGGCTGGCTCCTTCCTCTTTGTTTGGAAGTCTTCGCTTTTTTACGAGTCTCGCTCCCGTCTCTTTTAGCATGGTCCTCGCCGTTTTCCATCCCCTAAAGCTTCCGTGTGGGTTTGTTGGAGGATTCGCGGAGGGAAGCTGAGAGCGCACTCGACATGGAACAAAAGCGCCTGCTATCTGCCAGGGGTCAGACGCGTACTCTCCTACTTTTTTGCATTTTCATTAATGCTAGCACTTCTCCTACTAGGGTTTAGGGTTGGGCTTATGGTTTAGGGCTTTCCATGTTTGCGGGGTCTAGTGGTAAAAGTGAAGGCCTGGGAAAGTAGTTACTTGCTAAACTGTTCACTTCTCTCGAATGAAAGCACGCGACCGGACTGCTCCCGATACAAGAATGGGCCAGATTGGACCTGGCCCACCTCGGGCCGACATCGATCCCTTCGCGCTTCCTCTAATTTTTTGGAATCCCCAAAATCTAACAACATTGGGCCGCCTGAGTTCCTCGCGCACAAGCCCAAGCACATTAATGGGAGGGGGCGAGAGCATTTCGAGATCCAGGGGCGAGGCTCCTTGTCGCGCACATCCATGGGCAGCCAGTCAGATAGAGGCAGCACCCACGTGCCGGGCAGCGTGCCGGTACTCTTCTCGGGGTCAGACTGACGAGGCATCTGTATCCAGAAGCTTCGGCGCCAAATTGTGTTTCGCGGGCTTTGTCTTCCTCTTGGTTGGAAGCTGAAGGAAATAGCGCACCGCCTGGAGTTGGAGACACTGACGCAGACGAGACGACACGCCGCAGCTGTTCATGGTGTCGAGCTCGTTGGACTTGTTAACGAGCGGGCGCAGGGCTGGCGACGTCGTGCGGCCCATCAGGCTAGAGAAGACGGAGGGGGCTGCTTCTTGCAGCTTCTTAGCATCGCTCGGCGGCTGGCAGCACTCCCCTCTCTAGGGTTTCGCCAGCTGCTTCTGTGATTTTCATTCCTGACTGCGCTCGCTTCTGGCAAGTGCCAAACCCCGGGGGCGTCTTTGCGAAGTCAAGGAGAAGGCTTAGAACTTCAGCAATTTGCTCCACCAAGACCGAATACGGGACACCAATGGCGACGAGAACAACCAAGGACGAGGCCAGCGCCTCCGGTGCCAACTTTTTCGGGACAAACAACCCCGGCGCCGTCGTCGGCGTAGACTTCGGGCAGGGCAATGGCCAACCGCCTGAAGCCCATGCGTGTCCCCCATGCTATTCGTTTCCAACAGGTAACCGCGTGAACTTTGTCAGCCGCACAGACTAGCCCCTGGAACGCGAGGCGCCTCCCCATGTTTGGCGGCCACGCCGCTGGCTTGTTGTGTTCATGTTGTAGATGGTCGCCCGTCACTGGAGTGCAGTTGCAGGCTTTAAGGATTTCAGCCACCCACCCCGAAACCATCAACAGCGGAACAGCCAACAGGCACAGAGACTCGCTGAGCGTGCTGCCATCGCTGAGCGTGCGCCTCTTGGACGTAGTAGAGAGACGTAGGCGAGCATGTGGCGCTGGGTGCCTTCTTCTTACTTCGTTCTCACTTTCGGTGGGCACTCGTTGAAGATAAAGGGTCTTCCACTGGGTGCAGTTGTACTCATTCCCCTCAGATAGGGGCCCGCTTGCGCCTCGGACTCTTTTGCCATTCCAGCTGCCTCCTTAGTGGGCGGGCCTCTTGTTCATGGCAGCAGCGTCGTCGTCCATGACATTGCAGCCCTGCAGGCAAAGCAGTGCCCTGCTCCAAGATTTCTGTGGCCGAAGTCATCGCCGCTCCGCGTTCCAAAAGGATCGCCTTGTTCTGCGGGGCAGGTGGGTCGATGGGCTTGGTTGGTCTTGTTGCTCTGTTCGACCGGGAAGCGCATGGCGACAGTTCTCTATCGCGTCTTGGGTTTCAGACGTCCCTCTTAGGCTTTTGGCGCCGATAGATTCGCCGCATGAGAACAGGCGCGGCGAACCTTTAGGAGCAGGCAAGGCGAGTGCGTGACTCGGGTGATTATTTAGTGGGGGAGAAAAGCTCCCACTTTGAAAAACAAAAGAGGGCGATACACTGGGAGCATTTGGCCACTATTGCTGAACACGTGCGCGCATAAATATAATGTGGCCACCTACTGGGGGCCGCGCTCGCCTCTAATCTCCGGGGAACTGCTAGAGGATGTGACGCCGCCCAAGATGAGTGCGGCCATCTGACGGCTGAGAGCTATGACCCCCAGGGGCTGGCGACCTGCCTCGTCTCCATCGGCGAACCTTGCCAACAGAACAGGGCCGCACCTTCTTCCCAGGGTGCTTCTTTCTGTGAGCCTTGTCCGGAGGGTTTCTGAGGTCTCTGATATTGTCCACCAACGACGAGAGCGGCGATGGGGCTTCGCGTTTCTTGTTTGCTGGAGGCCAGTACTCGGTCTGGGGCGCCAGTCGGGCCAGCTGCGTGCTGCGGCACCCCGAAGAAGTGGCTCGAAGAAGTTCGCTTCCTCTGGAGGGGCGCCTTGGCTTAAGCGCTGACATTGTCCAGCGCTGAGCTGAGGGCGGGGGGCTCTGTCTCTAATTTGATCCCGTCGGCCTACTAAGTAATGACGCTAGTACAGCAAGAAGTAAGCAAAAGCCTGAGGCTCTGACTGTAAACGACACGCATCACAGCCGAGAGAAATAACCTCGCTCGTTTTTGTGTCTCTCGACTGAATGCGAATCCGCAGACTCTCATACCGATCTTTATCAGCTCACTTCCTTGCTCTGCTTGTTCTTATGCTTTTCGTCTTCTTTGTTCTCTGAGGCTCTTTGGCAGATTCTTCCTTCTTCTTGCTTCGCTCTGCTGTCGCACGGACCGACCGATAAGACAAAGACGGCGCTGCCTTCTCTCGCTCTCTCGGTCGACAGGTGGGCCTACTTGCTTTCCCCAGAAAGCTGAAAACACTTCGCTACCCCCAATCCCGCAAGTTCTGGCACCCGCAGCCTCGTCTTTCTTTTCTCGTTGAGGGTGGCAAGTGCATAGTACTACATCCTCTGAAACCAACAGCATGACACTCGGCTTTTGTGGATTGCTTCACCCAAGGTGAGGCACCCCCTCGCCACCACTGTCCTCGGAGGTGCATCAGGGTGAAGCGTGAATTTCTTCCCGAGTAGAAACCCACTAGATTGATACCCTCACCCCAACACCTGCAGTAGAACCTCGGTGGTGTAGTGCGGAAGTGATGGGCTAACAACGTCAGGCGTAAGGGTGTACAATCTAAATTCTGAAGGTGGAGGGCGAATACTGTCGCAGAAGTGCGCGCCAGTGATCTATCATCGACCTCAATCATATAAGCGAGACCAGTGCTGCTTCTAGTTCGAAAGTGTCCCGATATCTGTGAAGTGTCTTCGTATAGGTATGACACCTCGAGGAGATAACGCCGACTACTGGAAAACTTCATGACTAGAGACTAGTTCTGTTCAAAACTGTGCGAGTGAATATCCCCCCGAGTGTATTCAAGTGCGTGGATGGTGACACTAGCTTCAACAATCTAAAGCACGAAGCAAAAGAGTGGCCGCTAGCTGTCTGCATGCTTCGCCCGGTGTAGTTGCCAAGTATCTGCGTCATGTTGCTGCGCGTCCTCCTGTTTATCTTCCAGACGACTTGTGAACTGGCGAACTACTTCCCAAGAAAGTGGCCGAGTATCTTCATCTTTATACGTTGAGCGACCTCCTCATAAGCTTACCCAAACAGTTGCGAACTACGCACATCCCTTCCGTACGTGAGTTATCGTTAGATATACATCTCGGCGAGCATCTTGAATGATGATAGAAATTCATAACTTCACTACTGACATCGGGGCGGGGATTGCTTCTTCGTGGTGCTATCAGGTGAAGCCAAACGAAAAGGCCGCACATTAGCGCCATGCCACGCCAGTGCCTACGTACTTTCTTTCATGAGTCGCGAATTATCAAAACTCCACTGTATGGCCAGCGGAAGCCTTCATGGTCAAAGAGAAACTCTATGCGAGAAACTAAATGACTAACATACATGGAACGAGTCCCAAAGTGACAACTTCTTCACTTGCGCTCCGTATTCTCAATGAGAAGTCCTGCTGTGGGTGCTCGGAGTGCCTTCCAGCACTTAGGAAACGGAAGTGCTGGCAGTGTTGGCAGATTCGTGGGAGGCTTTCTTCGGAGAAGCCTGCGGCGGAGCATTATCGTCGGAGCCATCGCCATCGTCATCATTTTGGTCACCGTTCGGAGCATCGACAGCTTCGCCTTCATTCCCATCTTCTTCTTCCTCTTCTTCGTCGGTCATCATCGTCTTGTGCCTCAGCAGCAGGCGGAGCAGCGTGGGCCGGGTTCAGATAGTGCTGCAGGTTAGCGTGCTGGCCCATGCGTGCGCTCTGAGCGTTGAGACCCACAGCGCGGCGGCTGTCGTCGATTTTTACGGCGAGATCCGTAGCACGCTGCATCCACACAAACAGCCAAGTAGTCGGCATCTGGTTGTGCAAGCGTTCGGCCTCGGCCGGATTGTCTGAAGGTGTTAAGGTGAGGATATTATACGAAGATGATTCTTAGAAATGAGTTCGAAAATAACTGCACTGAGTCTTTCATCTCTAAAAAATCTAAAGAGAATAAGTATAAAGATGTAGTACGGGGCAAGGAGTTCTCGACGCGAGTCAGCATGCTCCGGCTGACATGACCAACGACCGCAGCACGCAGACCACGGATAAGCGACCGCAGGGCCGGAGTGATCTTGTCTTGGTCAGCGAGAGCCTCCAAGACCTCCATGCGGCGAGCAGCGTCTTCCTGGTGACCCTGGATATCTGCCATGTCGACATGCGAGATGATCATGGACAGAGCGACGACGAATCCGGAAACCTCTCTGATGCCTTGGGCCATCTCCAAGCCGAACTGTTTGAAGTACTGGATTCCAGCCAGGAAGTGAGCCTCCTGGTCGTTGTTCAGGTCCATGATGCAGGTGCCCAGTTTCGAGCTGTAGACTTGCAGGCCCTCACCGTGCACCTTCTCGCAGGCTGTGATCAGTTTGCGACGGAGACGGCCTGGAGGCATCACGCGCTCGAGCTCCTTGCCCATGGAGCGGCTCTGGAGGTGTTGGAGAAATGGACTATTTTAAGACAATAAGGCGCGAAGATTCCACCGAGGTAATCAAGTGGCGAAAGTGTCGCGCAGCAGTGTACTGATCTAGACAGGAGACGAACGCTAACAGCTTGAGGACTTCAGAGACATCCGGGCACAGCGGTGGGACTTATTCGCGGTCTATACCTTGCACGATACTGAGACAACAAGACAGATTAGCACTCTGAATCCCACTCCTTGCGGAGTCGCGATGCTGAGCGAAGTGCTGACTCCCATGAAGGTCGGGCGGTTCATCGGCAGACCCAACCCGCGGACAACACAGCTCCACAACGTAGCGACTTTCACGTCGCCCAGTAGTGGGATAAAGTTCAAGGATGAGGACTGGCATGGAGATAGGGCGTCTAAATCTAAGCAACAAGAGTAGAAGTTGGCACTTTCTTACAGTGTATACAGCTCGAGCGACTTCTAAAAGACAGCAGTTGGGCAGGGTCTCTAGCGCTAGCATCAGTTACTACTAAAAAAGTACCAGCATCCAGGGGCGTTGTTCGAACGGGGCGAGACCGTTGGGAGCCGCTTCAAACGCCTTGTCCAGCAACTGCTTGAAGAATTCCCAACGGCAGTCGGTTAAGCAGCGAACGCTTTCCGCAATGGGTTGCCCGTGAAAGTCCGCGCTTTTAAGAGCCAAGTCGACCGTGACACGCAGCGACTGCTCCTCAGCGATCTTCAGACGCGCTCCATTGATCATCTGTGAGCGTGGGGTAAGCATGTTACGGCTTGAAAAGAACAACGCGAATGAGCAATGTGAGAAGAGTGGTAGCAGTTTTAGAGAAAAGGCCATGCGTTCCCTGTGATTCTTCCTGAGGCTGTATCTGTTTCGTCGGTGATGAAAGCGAACGAAATACGGCGACCATCTAAAAGATAGAAACACACGAGTACCGTTTGGAACTGGAACTCTTCGAAGTACTTGCGCAGCAGAGACTCTGGAGGATCGCCTTGGATCACAGCCAAGCGCAGCGGATCCAGAGTAGCAATCTGATTGGTGCGGACAAGCGGTTCGCACTGGGTGCAAAACTCGTGGAGGATCGACAGGGCGGAAACGTCCGCAGTGTTCGCCTCAAGCCTGTAGTTGCATGCTAAGGATGGACGCGAAACCATTTGTAGCGCATTCGAGCGAAGACGCATCAGCTTACTTCTCACAACCTTCCGCCAATAAACTATAACTCCATGCTGGCTTCTTCTTGGCGTCCACTACAAATGTGTAAGAAAGCTGTGCATAGCATGGACATTATGGCGATCTTCTTCATGAGTGTCATCTTGCAAGTGGCTTAGAATCATCAGAAGAATAGCACCAGTCGAACAATCCGTATAGATCGAGTCGTTGGCCACGATCATTTCTGGCGACAACCACGCCGACGAAGAGGGTGCGGCGGGCACAATCCTCCAGGACCAAGAGACGAGGCGCGAGAGCTGTAACGGCAGCAACGCGGCTTAATCCGCGCAACATGCGGCCGGCAGAAGCGCGAGTCGTTTGCACTTCTGCGCGGTTCATGATCGAGGTCTGTGTGGTGATTTTATGAACGGGGATGATGAATATGTAAAGAATCTAAATCACAGACCTTGAGACGACCGGTGGCGAAACTCTATCCACGTAACAGAGCAGCGCCCTGCGTTTTCGGTGTCACAACTGAGTGCGACGCTTCTTGTCGCATCTTTCTTATGTGTGAGCATTGTCATGGAATGAGACAGCGTCGCGCAGTGGATGCCTCCAACGTCGGACCCCTTTTATATTCAAGACAGCCTGCTATCTTATCATGCGTAGATCCAAGAAAATCGCACTCCCTCGGATGATTCAGGTCCTCCCAATTACAGACTTTTACGGTGTGAGTCTGAGACGTTTCCCAAAGTGAATCTTCATCATGTACTAACCTGGACACTCCCAGAAAGAGAAACAGCGCTTGCAAGTTCATACCCTGCGCAGTGTTTCCCTATAGTAGTACCGTGAGCCAAAAGCTTGAAGTGTGTCCTTCTTTCATTACGTCAGCACTCTAATTCTATCAGACATCACTACGCTGGTGAGATCGTGTTCAGCGTCGGAAAAGGGATCGAGTCCGCCCAGAGTCGCCAGCTCCTCCGTCAAGCGCGCACCAGAGACGACGACAGAGATGCGGCGTGCCTCGGTGCTGTACTCGGACACGTTGGCGACAACAGTCTGCACGGCAGCAGTCCCCATTCCCACCGGAGGCGGACTCAGCTGAGCCTGAGTAGCTCTGTTACGATTACGGGCCGAGGCGCGGAACACTTCACGAATTGCATAGAGCACGTTCGGAAGGGGCTGGGAGGAGTGTGGAGAAATGGAGAGGGTGAAGGTGGGGCTTGAATGTCGGAGAAGTACGCGCAAACATGGAGAGCTTCGCCCTGAAGATACAAACCGGAAAAGAAGCCATTCCTTCTACGTATCAAGCTGAGCACTCTTCTCATGATTGGAAGCATGCTGATTGAAGTCCAAAACTATTACAAGAAAGCGCCTGGGCATGGATCTGGTTGGCGATTTCGTTGGCGGCCTCGTCAGAAGGATTCTGACGCAAACGGCGAGCAGGGCGCTTGCCCTGACCCGCGTGCGGATTGCGGTTGTTTTGGCGTGGAGGCATTTTGAGTGACCGCGCGGTCTTTCAAGGGAGCACTGCTGCTGTTGTGTGAAGATAAGTTAGTTTGAAAACGAGGTAGAAAGATATCCGCGAAGGAGTATCTTCCGCTTTTTGCTGCTACAAGAGGGCGTGAGAGAAAGAAGCGATGACGAAAAACGCAGGAGAGTTCTCTCTTTACATGAACTGAAGGAGAGGCAATCGCAAGAGCATCTGTCTGCAGATGAGTGGAAAGTGGTCAAATTACTCAAAGAGCGACGAGCCCTGTGCCAGCCTACGTCTACGGCATGCCTATCGAGTGAAAAAGAAGGGCAGTCTGATCGGACAAAAAGTCGAGTCCAACAATGAAAGAGCAAGCTGGTATAGTCGTCGACACCTTCGGGCTTTACACTGAGAGAAATAACGAAACAAGTACGACATCAGTTCAAGTTCAGGCCTTCTTGCTTCTTGATTGATTCCGACCTTGGAAAAACCTTACAGATCCTAGCACCGTTCGCACACTGATTTATCGCGGGGGCAAAGGACTCTCTACCTTCTCTGCCAAGAGCATCCCTCTTACCGTTACCTTCTTGCTTCATCTTTTCACTTGTACGCCCAAGGGAGCCACGCCTGAACGCTTTCGCGTCTTCCTTCTCTACTCGTGCCAGCATTGGCTCTCAGCCTTCATAGAGCAGTAGTCCTTTATCCTTGGCGAATTCATGAGCTCGGCCTGACAGAATTGTGGCCCACGGGGGTCCTTTCGTATTCTTCTCACTTCTTCCGAAAGTCCAGCTATGCACTTTATGCAGAAAGCTTTGGGCTTTGCAGATGCAAAAATTCCTGGGAGCTTCAGAAATCTTGCAAAAAACATGCAGAAAGTGCCTCTTTCTTTAGAAAATTTGGACCCTATATTTTCTGACGAAATATTTTTTGCAGTAGAAAAATCTGAGCGAGAACTCAGCTCACTAAGGGAATTACGTAGGAACTCAATACTTTTAGGATTTGCGCTGATTTTTTCTTAGAAAATACCTCCCGCAAAGCCAGCGCTTTTCGCTAGAAAAATAGACACTTTCGGGCGCATTTTCGTCAAATTTTTTCTCAGAAAAAGTGAATTTGCGTCATGTCTTACATGGTATTTCGCAGCTGCCTTCAAGTGCGCTCTTCTTCAGTTTTTGCGCTTGCAAAAGCTCCCTAGCCCCCATCCGCTTAGAAGCGTGCCTCGCCTGCTTTTCGCTTGCAAATTCTGCTCCTGCTGCTGCTTGCTGTTGCAAGCTACTCCCCGACTTGAGGGGGATCCCCCTTTTGGCCCTGCGACTTGCCGCAGGAAGCTACTAGCTACCCCAATTGCCCTGCACTATACACATAAGAAATATAAGCTCTCTACTCAAGTATTGCCTTCTTTTACTTAGTTCACAAGTATTCGGCCCAAATCAATAACGAGAACAATTGGGGAAGTGTTCACTTTACTACTATTAGTCAGTCTATGCCATTTTTTCAATAAGAGACAGAGGCTCTCTGTATGAAATTCACCCTTGCGGTAGTTCAGTTTATGCGCAGCAATTCTACAAGGCTGAGAGCCTCTGTTTTAGTCTATTCATGAAGAAGGAGAAGGCCCCTTATGGATGATCGTCGAAATCTTCAGAGACGTCGTCCTCCTTCCCTGCTCGCAGAGGCGTGAGTGCTTCATCGCAAAGAGCCTTCATACGATTGAAGATTCTCCAGTTTTCTCCTTTCAAGTGCTTCCAATGCTCCCGCCCGTAATGTAGACACTCAGAGACGTAGTCCTGGCACTCCAGAGCCGACTGCCCTGGATTCCCACACTTGTGCTTTCCATTCCGTACTGTAGGCAGGGCCCTGCTCTGTCCACAATGAGCCGCACCCTCAACGCCCATAAGGCTGCAAGATAGGCCACATGGTGGCACTCGTTTTCAGGATACTGAAACTTCCGAATGCCATACTGACTCTTGGGCAGCAAATCAATAGAAGCGCGCCTCACCACCTCCAGAAGTCTCGCCTTCCTACTCTCTTCCACGGTTATTCGTAAGCGATCCGTTAGCCTCCCGCTTTGTTTGTAGGTAGTAACTGAAGACCCATCTGCAACTTTGAGCCCTTCTATTTGTGTACAAGCCAGCGACCTACTGACGAACGCCTTCTGCTCGTAGTGCTGTCGTGTGATGTCCTCCCCAAGCTTCATAGCAGTAGGCTTCCCTTTCTGGGCCTCTTTTTTAGGAGAAGTGGGGACGGTTTTGCTGAATTCTTCTCGGTCCGCTTTTTCTGCTGCTTCCTTTACTGGGAGAGAAGTCGCCTGCAGTAGCCTCTTTTAGTGTGTCTTTGTTCTTCTTCTTAGGATTAGCTTCTGGATTGAAGACGTGTGGGCGCTTCGCTTTTTTGATTCCCCCGCCCTCTGCGTGTTGGCCTCTAACCCTCTTCCGCTTTTTCTCATTGATTCAACATGCGCTGCAGTAGATTGCTGTTTCCAGTAGTGTCTCCGCGTAGTTCTACTTCTTCTGCCTTCTTATTCTTCGGCCTGACAGTCATCTCGTGCCCTCGAGCTACTTGCACAGCCAAGCGACTTCCTTCCTGTTCCCCCATGATGTTCGCCTTCCACAACCTCACCGGACTACGCTGGTAGGCCGGCTTTTTAGGCAGGGCTGCACTGTGAGCGATGGCGTCTGTCAAGCGCCAACGCTCGCCTCGCGCACGAGGAGCAGCGTCTAGCCGCACCCCACTAACTTCAGCGCATTTGAGATCGACTCTGAGTGATAGCATGACGCGAGGCAAGTCCCCCTCCCCTTCAGCCAGGAGGCCTCCCGGCTCAAATTCCTCTGGAGTATCGAACTCGATGAGGAAAACATACACAGGACTCCCCAGCAGTTCCTCCTCAGTATCATCTTCATCTTCAACAATATCAGTTCCTTCGTCGGCAGCAGTATCTTCCGCCACTTGTAGTGCTAGTTCGTCACCGCCTTGCTCTTTGGCTTTCTTCCTTGCACTGCGACAAGCTGGCGCCACTTTCCTCTCTGTCGTGTGCAGTTGCCTCGGCTGGATGGTGGTGGTACTAGGTTGGTGCTTGATCTTCTGCCACCATCGTCGGCAAAGCCCTTCGCGCTTCTTTTCAGCATGTGTCAAAAGCATGGCACTGCCAGCCAACCACTTGCGGAGCTTACTGCGGACGCCATCGAAGAAAGCTCGCTCCTGATTTCTACAAAATTCGCCAATTTCTTGCGCTTCTTCTTCATCCTCGTCACTTTCTTTAAAAGTAGTAGGCTGCTGCGCAGAAGAAGCGCCATTCTCTCCTTCGTCAGCTACTTGCTGTTTCTTGATCGCGTCCATAGTCGCCCTGTCGAGCTCTCTCTTTGGAACGGTGGAGACGTCGTTACCCGTGGGAAGCATCGGCCCTATTCCCGGCACCACCTCTTTCTTCTTGAAGGCCCTTCTCCATTTGACTGATTTCGCGATGTCGTAGGCGCGCTTGTACTGGTAGCGCCGCTTTTTCTGCTTCGGCTTCTTCTTCAGCTCTGCAGTAAGGTCATTGGCAGCAGCACGCGACTCGCTGGCGATTGCGTCTGCCCGCATCTGCAGTGCGGTGATATTCTTCATCGCTCTGTTCCCCGCCCCATTTTTCGCCTTTCTCTTCACACGCTGCACTTTGGTCTCAACTCCTTTACTTCTCCGCTTCTGCTCGTAGAGAACAGTCATCACTCGACTCAGCTTAGCTTCCTGCGTTTGACTGTCATCCCGCTGCATGACCCACCGGCGAAGCGACTCTAGTGCGCAGTATCCTGGATCCCCATCGTGTATGACTGAGAGGCCCAGCCGGATTAAGGAGCTCAGGGTCGCTTTGCCGTTGAAGTAATCTTCGAGGAAGCTTTCATGAACATCCCGGAAAGAACCGGGCCGCCGATCGAACATGACAGCACTTGCAACGCAAGCAAGCTGCGCGCCCGTAGCGAAATTGTATACGTAGAATCGGAAACAGGCGAAATAATGGCAATAGACTGGGAACGAAAGTAGTGACAGAAGCAGAATCCATCTAAAAACCCCGACCCGCCTGCTTTCTGTATCCATTGGAGAGCTCCACTCTCAAGAACATGATCTAGAGTTGTAGATAGTAGTACCGTTGCGATCTGCTCCGTCGATAGCTGTTCGTGGCATAATGAGGAAACGTCCGCCGCAAGGTCCTGCACCTCTCCCAACTGCTTCAGCGTTTTCTCCCAGTCCTCTTGGCAAGTGTCTCGTATTTCAAACGCCCACAATTCTTATCCTGCAACTCGATCAGGAGATAATGACTGATCGGCTGCCCCAGCAGGTACTCGAAATAACAGGACACACACAGCAAGAAGGCGTCGCCTGAAGAGTAGAGGAAAGTAAAGGGTTGCCTCCACTAGGTTCCTTCTCAAGTGCAACAATTTGCAACAAGTGAAAAATGCTCTACATCTTTATCAGAACCTGACCAGGGCCGTGCTTGTCTTTGATGAGTCATCTACGCTCTTCATGGGGTTGCAGTATATAATGGCGCGAAGGCCTATGGAGTTTAGCTGTGCCCTTTTTCGAGTTGACTGCTCGAATTGGATTTACATGCGCTCCGTCCTTCAATTTGATTTGATCGCCATAAAGCCGGCTGGCGACGACGCTCACGTGGTACAAAACGCAGAGCAGAAGCTTTCCTGTTTCTGTGATGAAGGTTGTCCACCTGCTCCAAGAAGGAGCTCGGAATCCTGACGTTAGTCGGTGAAAGGCTAGTCGTAGCTGCTTTGCGTTTCCCGTGTTTGTGTGCACCTTCCTCTGGATGCTCACCATCCACAAACTGCACTTGCTTCAGGGCGGCCTTATCTTTTTCTGCAACTCGAAATAGCTTCGATAAGTGCTCCAAGCGCTCCGGGGCTTGGACATCCGGAACTTCGTGCAAGTAGTTGCTCATAAAACTGGTCAGCCCGGTGGAGATGTCTCGTCGCTTCAGGCTCATTGATTTCGCCTGAAATGATAAACAAGCTCAATAAAATAAGTCCACGCGTAGCTATCAGCTTACGAAGCTTCTTCAGGGAGAAGATCAATCATCAGGCCAAGCAACTCAACTACAATGGAACTCACTCGCTTCCGTTCAAATCCTCAGCTTGTACTTAAAACTTAACAGAGTCTAGTGTCGCGAGGTGAGCCCTTTTCTCCCACGTCTTTCCATTCACCCGCGCGCAGGACAACGCGACTGAATTTGATTCCCTTGCTATGATTGCGGCCTGGTGAATACGGCACCTGCCAGGCCAGTAAACTCCTCTCCTCCCATTCTGCATCGCGCTTGAAGTCCAGTGCCGGCCAATCCAGGGCTGCTGGCTCTGCGTTGAACCTCCCGAATCCGTGTAGTAGAGGAAGATGAGAAGTTTACCCTGTGGGAGATGTCTTAGAAGCTCGCCACTTTCTGCCACATTGAGGACACAATCCGCCACGTCCGCGGCCTCCGTAAGTTCAAACGGGACTGGGACGTAGACTCGATGCACGGTTTCACTGTTTCCTCCATGCTGTTCAGACTGCCGATCTGCTTCTTGAATCTCCTGCGCACGCTTAGGCGCGAATAAAATGGCCTCAGTTGGTATTCGAGCCCAGCCACGACGTTGAGAACCAGCTGCATGCCACGACAGCACGTTCCCAATGGCAAACCATTTATTTTAGAGCCGCGCCGTACTTCTCTGCCTGCCTCGCCGACTTCGAGGACCGACCGAGAAGTCCCGTCACCTTCAGAACGGTAGGTAAAGTCGCAGCGTGTTGCCTTCTGAAGAAACTCGACTACTTGATCTTTCGCTGCTTGCTTTAGCCCATGGGTGGTCTTGTGCAGCGTCCTCCTATCAGGTCCATCGACTTTCAAAGGAGTGGACTCCTCGAAGTATCTATCAAGGAAGGCCTGGGCTTCCTCCTCCTTCGGTGTTAGAACCAACAGGCGCTGCTGCTGCTCTCGTTTCGGCTTTGCGAACGATCGCTGCGCTCGCTCGCTCAGACTCTTTCCCTCGGCGGGCATTCTTATTCCGTTTAAGCATAGCAGAGAGTAAATCCTTCGGCGTCTTGAAATGCTTGCAGTAGTCTTATACTCTCACGGTTCAACATGCAAAAGCAGAAGATCTGAGACCTAGTCTTTCCGTTGTTTCAGCCAGCTTCTTTCTTTGAGGATATGAAGCCTAACACACACGCAGACTTTTTTTTTTTCAGTCAATATGCAGCCTGCTTTTTCCAGCCATTTCGTCCTTTTTCTTCGTCTTGTTTCAGCGAAGAAACTACGCCGGCTTTTGCGCTTTTCGAGAGGTGCTCGAGGTCAAGGGAAGTCTCTCACTCGGCGATGCTCTTTCTCCTCTCTGCGAGAGCCATTCGCTTTTCGTCTTGCTCTGTATTTTCGAACTGAATACCGAGGCGACAAACAAATCAAGGCCTTCAATCGATCAACTTATCCGCTTGAAGAATAACACTGCCGCCTTGTGAGTGATGCGTTTCTATGCTGCCGCTGTGCAGTGAGCTAGGCTTGTTCTCATGCATATGCATCCCCATCACAGTCAGAAACTGAAGCTCACAAGGACCACGCGCATAGCCGTAGGTCTCACACATCGCGGCGCTATGCTTTCAGTTCCGGTCTTCCATGCGCTGAATCCCCATTCCGATTGTACATGAACCGACACGCTCGAGCGCGCTTCTGGTTGTACATAGACGCGACATCTCTTTTCTTGCGGCGATGTGCTGCCGCAGTCGTATGAGCAAGGAGCGAGCACTCCCTGCAAGTTCAGCGAGCTCATCCCCACAAAGATCTACTGAGCGATAAGTCAACCGACTACAGACCACTTCAAGGAGGCCAGACCTAAAACCACTGAGGTGGAGAATGGTCATATTTAAGGCGTCCTTAACTCAGATCCGCGCGCTGTTCTGCACTTCGGAGGCCGTTCCTGCACGTCTTTCCATCAAATCGCTCCCAAAACCAACAGACAGACTGAAATATTGAAACTGCCGCCCTACCAACAAAGTAGAGCGATCTGATGCAAACAGATCAACGAGATCCAACCCACTGAAACAAAAACGAGCAAGCGCGTTTTTTTCTTCATATTTCCTCCAGTTTTCTCATCAGCTCTGACGGGGTCAATCTAATGTGATTCCTCATGCTTGCGCCCAGCCTGGCATCTTCTTGCGCAGTTTCAGTTATTGCGAAGCTGATGTGTTCGGCTATGCGCTGTTGCAATTCGCCTGGCCTTCCTCGTAGACATGTGGCGCACTTTCTTAATGAGGCCACGCGCCTCGGCATCTAGGGGCTGGGGCGGCAGTCTCCTGCGCGTGTCCAAGTTAATCTGCCCCCGCATCGTTTAGAACTCGAGCCGGCAGTCTTCTTGGGCGTGTGCACCGTTGTCGGACATTTTGCGCTCTGTTTTTTTAACCATCAAACTAACGCTCTCGGAATGGGGCAAGACCTCGCCCCCAAAGGAAGGGCTTAGGCATAGCAATACACTGGCGCCAAATACATTTTGCGAGATGCTCGCTGTAGCGTTTACGTTCTTCAGCCCCACCTGCATGGGCTTAGCTGGGGCACTCCTTGCAAGTCTTTTTTTTTAAAACGCCTCGTCTTCCTTTTTTGATTCGTTGCTTGTGTATATTTATTCCTGGGCAGATGTCGCTGCACTCTTGGAAGGTGTGTCGCTTCAGAATGTTCATAGGCTGGCTGCGTACTTGTCACGCCGTGGCGCCTTTTTGAGGGTTATGCCCTCCTGCATGAGCCAGCCCTGGCGTTATATTCTGCTTTTCTTACAGCCGACCTCTGGCATCTGAGCTGCGGCGTCTACGTACTATTTTCGGTGGCGATTCTCTCCCATTGAGCAAGCAAGGCGCAGCTTAATTACTCACAAAAAAAGCCTTTAGGTGAGCGCGTTTGTTATACTTCAGTGGGCCCTGATCGTGGAGGCCTTCCGAATTCGCTTCAACAGGGGGGGCTCGCTTATGATGCCTTCGGCTCGTTCTACTTGAGAGCACGGCAGACGTTCGAGCATTTGCTACATAAAAAAAGCCTTGGGGTGGGCTAACGTTGCTAGATCAGTCTATCGCTCTAACAGGTCAGAGCTGCGCTTCGTGTGCGTTGGAATGCCTCAGATATTGCTCATCTGTTTCCTAACCTAACCTGACTAAAGCGGGCGCCTACTCAGCTCTCTAGTCTACTTCGGGGATGTCGTCGGAGTTGACATCCACGCAGGCCCATGCCATCTCTCTCTGCTTCATGATTTTCCGCTGCTCTTTCGATGGCTTGGGGTGCGGCACTCTATGCGGGCGCGGGTTCTTGCACTGACCCCGCACAAACTGACGGCGCAACAACTTCGGAAACCAAAGCCCGCCGACGGCGTGGGGAGCTTCAGGCATGTGGGGCAATGGTTCGGCAGGTTCTGCCCGTACACTGGGGAGGCCGTCTCGCCGTTGCGCCGCTACGGCAAGAATGGAAGGGGCCGCGTTCCTTCGAGGGTGTGCGACTCCCACAACGACAAAGAGGGAAAGAAGGCGCAGAACATCGCAGAGGGTGGGCTCTCCTCTCCTCGTAGCAACTGCGCTGGGGGTGGCGCGTCTTCATTATGCGACTCTGCTGACGTGTGTGCAGCATGCTGGGGGACTCAGACAGACCCAGGAGGACGACGAAGGCCAAGCATCACCGGCCTCGGCTACAAAGCTGGCAAGGGTTGCGGAATCCTTTGGAACATCACAGAGAAAGAATCCGGCGCGGCCTGTTTCGCTGTGTTAGGTTGTCGGGGCGCCACTCGTGGGCACCGTGCTGCCGTCCGTCATGATCATCGCAACAGCGACAACACCAAAGAACGCACTAAGGATCGCCTCCGGCGAGATCTGTCCAGGAACTAAGCGCGTGCGGAAAAAGGCAAACGGGCTGGCGCTTGACATCTTTCAGGAGTGTGGCGGCGCGTTCGGTTTCTCGCTTTCGCCAGGCGCTGACCTTCCGGGCCTTGGCTTCTTAATATCTCGCCACTTTCTTGGAGCTGATGACGCAAAGCGCGAGCTTGGGCGTGCAGCCAGCCAACCAATAGCGGACGGCGTGCCTGTTCGTGAGCTGGTGGCGCGCTTATATGGCATCGAACTCGACGACGAGCCTCTACCTACGCTCGACCGTTTTCGTGGGGCTCATGCTGAGAGAGCGAGCATGCAGGGGGCGCGCGCGCAACGGCTAAGCCGCTAGCACGTTCGAGAGCAACAAAAGCGAAGGTGAGGCCTTCGCTCTTCTTCTAAGCTTGGCAGGCAGAGTAGTCGGGGCTTCTCTGTCGCTTGCAGCAACATCAGCGCAGCAGGCTTGCCTCTGCGGCGTCGTGAATAAGCTGCCCGCTTTTCTTGAGCGCTTTCTCTCAACGGGTAGCGCACTGATTACGGAGGCAGCAGAACAGGCCAGAGCTTGCGCCTCGATTGCATAGCGCAAGGCCGCACGGCCTCGGCCCTCAGGTAAAACGATCGCGGGAGAAGTTCTTGCGCGCCACTGGTGTGGCGCTCGCAGATTCGGGCGCGCCATCTTCAAGGCGGGAGAGCCTCTCTCTTGTCGTGATGGACAGACCAGGAAGGAAGACCGGCTATCGCAGGAAGTGCCGGGGCATCGCAGAGCCCTCAGGCGCATGCAGTACGCACCTCGAGGCAGTTCGGCTGAAGCTAAACCGATATCGATAGGCTTCAAGCTTAGCGCCAGATATCAAGGGGGTCCATTTTATGACGATAGGCGGCCCTCTTATTTTTCGACGGAAATGCAGGCACAGCAGCGCCGGCCGATCTTCTTCTGAACGGGGAGCAAGTTGATCACCAAGCAGAGGGCGTTGCCGTTGTAGTACAAGAACAAAGTAGCAGCTATTCTTCTGCTTTACAGCCTGAAGAGCTACGCTCATCAGTAGGGCAACCTGCCGGGGACTTACTGGCAGCAGCTGAAGAGCTAGCAGGGCCAGGGCACGGAGGCCGCGACGGTGCTACTGGTGACGATTCGGGCTTAGTGCGTCCGCCTGCGGAGGGACGACCTCGAGCAAGATCTTCAGCACAACGCCACGCCAGGACAAGCAGCGGCTCGCATAGATGTGGGAAGCATTGGCATCGGCGTGCAGGGGTTCGTAGCTGCAGAACTGGAGCACGCCGAGCAGCGTGGGAGGCGCGGCTTGTTGGACGGCTTGGCTTGGCTCCCCTCCCGCTCGCAGATCATCCAAGCCGGAAGATCTTGCGCGGGCAGACGTTCGACGAGTTCGGAGCTTGCTATCGGGTTTATGTATCGAAGAAATTTCGCGCCAAGATCTTAGAGCGCTCCCGCTGTTCGCCTCTCGACGCTGGGCGCCAAGGTCGTGGCGCGGTGCTTGTAATGATCGGGCAGCGCTTTTTCGTAGGGGCGAAGGGATGCGGCGGCAGGCTCGCTGCCCTTGCAGGGTGTGCAAGGTTTGCGCGCAGAGCAAACGGCGCGCGACCGTGCGGCCTTATCCGCGATCTAGTATGCGGACGCACCCGGCTGACCCTTATGGGGTTGCCTTCGTTGGACAGATGGCGCCGCGTATGGGTTTCGTGTACGTCCTTCCCTGCGTCTGTCGTCTTAGCGGGTGGACTTTCTTTCGGTGTGTCACCGGGGTGACTTCTGTAGCGGTGGGCCGTGGCGGGATTACTCCTCGTTCAGCGTCGGGTCTAGTCCGTCTAATTCTTCCTCTTCCTTGCGCCTGCTCCTGTGGTCTTTTTATTTCGTGAGCTTCGTAGTGACAGAGGGCTGCGCCTCGTTTGCATTTCATAGCGCAGATAATCAGCAAAATGGGCGAGATGTTCAACTATCGACATTTTCGCGGGAGCGCCTACAGCCCCACCTCGCAACTGCTCAGCGAACAAGCGCGCAGACCCCTCAGCGAGTACCCTCGCAGCTTTCTGCTACAAACATGAGGCTGAGGAGATTGCGCGCAGTGCGTTGCGCCTTTTCGGTGGGCTTTTCGCTGCCACACGCAGACCAGACAGGCCGCGTCGGGCTTTCGCCTTTGCAAATCGTTCGCGGCCGGGAGCCAGCTTCTGCCTTGCGACTCTCTACCGGATCCAGCAGCGAGCACTTCGAAAGGTACTGCCCTGGGCCGGGCGACTCGAATGGCTGGCAGAGGCGCGCGACATGATCCGCGAACGCGCCGAAGAGCTGGCTGGGGCTTACGTCGAACAGGTCACCAAGCGCCACGGGATTCAATTCGGGCCACTTAGCGGCCTCGCCTGTGTGGTGGGTACGGCACTCGGGCACAGCGTCGGCGTGTCGCATCGTTTGCAGCCTTTGGCGCGCGGTCCGTTCCGTGTTGTGGAGACCAGAGCTGGCGGCGGCCAAGCTAGCGACTTTGGGCGGGGGGTGTGTTCGTTTTGTGCTTTTTTTTGTGTGGTGTTTTGTCATTTTTGCAACGCCACCTTTAGGCGTTTTTGGTTTGTAGGTTTTTTTGCGCTAGTGTGCAAAAAAGAGCGGACCCCCAACACGTTTCCGGGCGGCGTTTTTGGTGGGTTTGGGGACAATCTGTGACAAAAAACAGCAGAAAAAGCAACACGACAGAAAGCGCCGTGAACAAAAGCGCAAAAAAGTAGCACCATGCTCCGCGGCCGATAAACCGGGGGACGCCTTTGCGGAAGCAGGGGCCGGCTCGGGTAGCCCGTGACGCGGCTGGAGTCTGTGTAACTTGCTGCCGGCTTCCGCCGGTGTTCGCGTGGGCGTGTGGTCAGCAGGCTTGGTAGCCAGGACTGGGGCTGGTTGGCTGCAGCAGGGCGTGGGCGCGAATGTCTTCCCATTCGAGTCGGGTGCGAGGGATTGGGGGCGCGGTTGGGGGGGCAGATGGCTTGGAATTCCAGCGGCTCTGGGAGGTTTCGCTCCGTGGCTGACTCTTCGGCCAGTCGTGGCGCCCGTTGGGATTCCGTTGAAGTAGATTCGTCTGCCCTGTGGCGGGATGTCGGCATCTCAAAGGATTGCAATTTGCAAAAGTAAGTAGGAGAGGAATAAAAAAGATGCTAGCGATTCCCCTGCAGGGGTCTGCGTGGGGTGATGCCTCGCCTTCACTCCAGCTGGCAGTCAAAGAAAGAAAGAGCTCGCTTTTCCAGTAGTTGCAGTTTTGTCTTGATCTTAGTTCAGTTGTAGGCGGAGGGAATGTCTTTGCCCAAATTTGTTTTTGTATCTCAAGAGTTTGCATCTACTAGTGCTAAAACTAGAACTACTTAAAGATGAAGTTTGCGCCACTTGTTTCGGCTTACTTTCCCAGGCCAGAGCCCTTACTTTCTGAGGCCAAAGCGACCGCTTTGAGCCTCACTTTCCAAAACCCTTACACTTTCGCGCCACTTCCTCTTACTTTTTCAGGCCAGAACCGCTCTACTAGACGCTTCGTCGTCGCGTGGGCGTCTTATAATCCTTTTAGAATATTACATGGGGGAAACCCTGTGCATTGTTGGTTTGGTCAACCCATCTTTTACACCATCTCTCAGCCAGTTCCTTCTTGGAACAAGCTCAAAGGTGTACTAAAAGACGGGCTGTCGGTGCCTCTAATTTGGCGGGTAAGGAGACAGAGGCGGGGAAACATAGTTTCCGTCATGTAGTGGAAGAAGCGAACTGGCGTAGCAGCCTGCGTAGTATGCGAGACGAGTTCGCAAGAGGCCAGTCTGGAGGAGCACAATCACGACTGCTCTCGCATAACCTAGAGCCAGATGATGAGGGGGTCGTTGACTTTTATTATCAAATATGAAAGACAACGAAGCTTTTCTATCCCCTCCTTAGTTTTTCTATCCCTCTGATAGAAGAACTTATGATTTGACGCAATCCTTACGGCTGAATTTTCTCAAACTATACAGTGAGTATCTGTCTGCTGCGGTGCCCTACGTTGAGCGCCCCCTGGCTCTTTTGCTTTAAGACGAGAAGGCGAGCCACGTGTCCACAAGCACCCCAAAGTAGTTGCCGAGCGGTGCCTGCGAGTTCTGTTGAGAGATATAATGAGACATATAGAAGGAGAAAGTAGGAGGACAAGTAGAAGTGAATAGGCTGAAGTACAACAGAGGCACAAACATCACAAGGAGTGTCATCATTTCTAGGAGGACTACCAGATACTTCAAGTTCTAGGAGGATTACTACTTGGAGCATCGTGTGCCCCTGGATGTCTCACCGACACCATCCTCGGGGGCGTTGTAGCAGAGAGAGGGCGTAGAGGGGAAAGGCCGTAACAGAGAGAATTGAGAGACAGAAGAGACGTCTGATACTACAGATGATCGACGAAGCATGGTCGTCCTTTTCGTTTGAGCATGGTCTTGCTCGTGATCCATTTGGCGTCTGTTAAGCTTAGGATGAGTATTCAAATATGTAGAACAAGGTGCGCCCACCTAATCGCTCACTGATTGTGAGGATATTGCTCAAGTTGGGTAGATTTTCCATTGGGAATGCAGTATCCTGGCAAGACTCTAGCTCATATTACTGCCTCTAGTTCATACTGACTTTTTTGGTAAAGACTTTTCTTGGTTGTAACTGATATACCCTTTTGATTTGATTTGATTCACTGACATATCCATTTTTTTGTACATTGGTACCCATCTGGTTTGATTGATTCTATCATCATCTTGTTGGTTCTTGCTGCTAGTTTTTTGCTGTATTGTTGTCCACGTTCTTTTTGTCTCTGTTCCACCTAACCTCACATTCTTCGAAATCCAAACCAAGGGCACCCAGCAGCTCCGAGTAAGAAGCTGAGGCGATTATATCAATACTGAGGCCTGATGTCTACAACCTGAGAAAGCGACATTCTACTTCTACAACCTGAAAAAACCTGAAAAACTCACGTCGTTCCAGGCGACAAGACAGCAACGAGGAGCCTGTGAAAACAGTTAGGCACTCAAACCCAACGTTTGGGGCCTCCACCTAGGCGGACGATAACCACGGCGACCCCTGAAATTATGGCCAGCTTTTATCCATCGCTCTCGGCATCTTGGTCTCCTTTTGCCTTGTATTCTCGTGAAATACACCAAGGGGAAGGGGGTCGCGATGACGGGGTCGGGATGGCCTCGAGCTGAGTCGAATTAGACGTCGTCCTTCGGGCGCTCTGCCAAAGCAAAGCCTAGAGTTCATCATCGTGTGGCGGCGAAGTCGTGGCATTCAGTGTTATTCTACCGATCTTACCTTATCAAAGCTGGAACGCAGAAGAAGCAAAAAGCTTGGCGTGGTACTGCGTACTCTACTTATTTTGTAAGATTGAACCTTGACCCTTCGGCTTTGGTTTGGCACTACTCTACTTCTATAATAGGACTCATTGACGAGAGTCAGACTTTCGGTCTGATCTCCTCCTATCACATTGGTTAGTCTACCGTGACCCCGTCATGCCACTACGTTGGGCTTCGTCGTCTCTTTATCCTCGTCACCAACGAACACGAGGCAAAAATACGCAACAGCTTCAGGGGAGGGAGTAGGTTCAAAAGGAAGAGGGAGACTGCGTAGGGTTCGTGCGGACTACTCAGCCGTAGACTTCTCGGAAAACTTCGAAGAAGAGAAGGAAGAGGCATCATTGCTTCGTTGTCTCTATTGGTAAAAGCGTTGGCTTCTACCTTCTGATCTAGGTCTTCTTATTGTGTCCATTAGAAGAACGTCAAGGGCCTTGCATGTGTACACTGGTAGGGGAGCACGGTGGCCACGTAATCGCGAGCGCGTATGTAAAAAATTTTAATTTTAGTCATTGCCCACCGTGTGACGAGGAGACAGCCGCCCTCGCCATCCCTTGGGCCCGTTCGTGTTCGTCATCCGCCAAGCAGATCAGTAGTGTAGCGTGTGGCGAATGGGTAGGCCCTTCTCTGTGTTAAGGGTAAATCGCTACGAGTTGCTATTTTGGTGGACGGGGTCCGCCCTCCGGTTACTTGCTAATGCGGTGGAGCGACCTCAGGCGGACGGGCACCCGGCCACCAATGGCGTTAGAAACTGGCTAAAAAAGTCGGCTCTTTGGGATCGCGGGGCGCCTGCCCTGGGCCGTTGTGTGTCGGTTTCATTCGTTTCTGGGGTTTTTCTGCTTTTCTCTTGTTGTTTTGTTGGTATATTTGCGAGCGACGAGGGGGGCGCCCCTGCGTGTGTTTTTTTCTGGTATTCCACAGAGGTTCTTGCGGATCTTGAAATCTGCGGCAGCGGATCAAAAAAGACGACCGAAAGAGTTGTGCTTTTTCGGTCGTGTTTTTCGATCGGTTCCGGTTCTGTATGCTTTGGCTGAGTGGCTCGGCTGGCTCGGGGGTGCATGTCTTAGGGGTGGCGGCTGACGGGGGTGCGTTGCTGAAGCTGGTCAGGATGACGATATGCCGTCGGTCTTCGGGCATGATGCTTCTGGCCTTCTGGGTTTTTTCGTGCTGCTTTTCAGTGGGTTGGGGTTGTTTGTGTTTGTCTTCTGTTGCTTGGTCGTCTTGGCCCGCCCCTTGTGGAGGAGGGGCCGGGGGCATTTAGGGGAGTGCCTCTGCCATTGGGTGCCCACACTGAGCCACGGCCCCGGGGCTTGACGATTGGCGCAACAGCTCGCGCGGAAGTGCTGGGCCTCGCGCTCGAAGGGGTGGGGGGACTTGGTAGGGGTCGCGTCTGGGCTTGGGGGGTGGGGTTCCGGGTCCTGGTCGACGGTTTAACGGCTAGAATTTTCCCACCTTGTCCCGGGTTGGAAAAAAACGGGTAAAAACGGCTAAAATTTTTGGTCTTTTTCTCGTGTGATTTCGCCTAGAAGTCGGCCATTTTTGCTTTTGGGGTCGGTTTAGAGCAGTGTCGCCGAGTTTTGGAAGGACGTGCCGCCGAATTTTTTTGCCGTTCGCTCCCAAGTTTGGCGCTATTTGGCCCCAGATCTTCGCCGTTTTTTTAGCCGTGAATTTTAGCCGTTTTTTTAGCCGTCAACTTTAGCCGGTTTTTTAACCGGCGGTTCCCGCGGGGTCTTGTGGCGCCTACCTTCGGGCCGCGCTGCCGTGACGTAGACTGGGCCGCATCTGACGCACCCGCCGCATTTCGCTGGCAGGCCTCGAAGCGCGGCGTGGTCCTCGTGCAAGCTCCGCGGGGTTGGCTGGGTGGTGCGCGTGTGGACGTCGGGGCCCCGCGTCGAGCAGTGCCTAGCTACCTGGAGTGGGGCTGTCACGTCCACGCCGGTCAGGTTGCGTGGATCGGGTCGCGTGATTCTGGAGTGGGCGCTGGGGTCACAGTTCGCTGGCCCCTCGAAGTGTGGCCTTAACGTCCGCGCCGGTGAGCCTCGCGGGCTGGTATGGTGTCGGGTCTTTGTGTCGGGCCTTTTCCTGAGGTGTCTGCCATCCTCGAAGCGTGTGGGGCCGCTTGCTGGAGGCCGGCCCAGGTGCATGCGCTAGACCCGCGGGTGCCTGTTATTGCATTGTGGTGGCATGGGTTCGCTCGGTGAGGTCTTTCCTGGGTCTTTTGTGTCGGGTCTTCTCTTTCTTATCTTGCACAGGGGCGACCGCTTCTCCCCGCCTTTCTTTGTGGTTTTTAAGGGAGCCGCGCTCCCCGGCCACTCTCCTTCTAACTGTCCACCTGCCCCCCCTATGGGTGCCCGCTTTGTGCTCCTTTTCGCTCTTCGTTCTTACTTCTGCCTGCTTTTCCTCTTTGGTTTCGGTTTTTTTTCCTCTTTGCGCCTCTAGGTCTACAGGCTCGCGCAGCACTCTTTCCGCCTCCTCTCTGCGTCTCTTTTGCCGCCTGCGTTTCTGTTCTTGCTGTCTTTCCCGCTCATTCACTTGCCCCTTTTCTGATCTCCCCACCGACCCTCTTCTCGCGGTGCGTGTCGTCAGTCGTGAGGCTGCCTCTCTGTTCTTGGGGCTCTTCACTGAAAAGCCCCAGGACTTTGGGGCAGTCTTTCCACCTCCCCCCGGCTTGGCCGCGCCTTGTGCCGTGGGGGGAGAAGAAACGGAGGGCGCCGGCCTTCATTTGGCTGCTTGGCTGCTTTGCTGTGTCTCTCGGGCTTTCTCTGAGCCACTGAAGCCGGCGCCGGTAGCTTTCGCAGCTCGTCGGTGGGCTTGGCGTATGATGTTCGCCGCTTTTCTTGGGCCTAGGCGTTGCCTGCGCCGTACGCTCTGGCGCTGCAACGAAGTAGGGCTGTCGATATTCTGGCCCCCGGTCGCGTTCGTTTGCTTGCGGGTGTTCTTTGAGAACCTCCGCCAGCTGTCTCGGTCTTGTGGGACTTGCGGAACGCCGTAGAGCTGTTCGTGACGCGTGGCGCCCGCCTTCTTGTGACCCCGAGGGCTTCGGGGGTGAGTGGGATCTCTGCTCTCAGTTTCAAGCTTGGCGCAGCATGGTGCAGCAGCTTGCGCCTCGTTGGTCGATCTGGGGGCCCTTGGTCGATGGATCCGTGGATCACTGATCGACCTGCGAGCCCTTGGCACCCACATCCACGGGCCGCCGATCGATCCGCGTATCGCTGATCGAAATCGATCCACGGAGCGCAGATCGATCCGCGGGCCACTGATCGAACCACGGATCGCCGATCGATCCGCGAGTCCTTGACTGATCCGCGGACCACTGGTCGACGCCGATCCACGGATCACGGATCGGTCAACGGATCACCGGCCGACATGGATTCACGGACCACCGACGGACTGATCCGCAGACGATCGCTGACCCATCGACCCGCGGGCCGCTGATCGATCTGCGGGCCAGTGATCGATCCGCAGACCACTGATCGATCCGCGGGCCGCTGATCGATCCGCGGGCCACTGATCGAGTCGCGGGCCCCTGATCGATCCACGGATCGCGGAGCGATCCGGGAACCCGTGAGCGATCCGCGGGCCGGTGATCGATCCGCCGACCACTGATCGAGCCGCGGGCCACTGGTCGATCCGTGGATCGCTGGCCGCTCCGTGGATCGCTGGCCGCTCCGTGGGTCGCTGATCGATCCGTGGAGCGCTGGCCGGTCTGTTGGTCGCTGAGTGATCGGCCCGGGGGTCACTGATCGAGACGAGCCACGGACCCCGAATCGATCCACGGGCCGCGGGTCGATCTGTGGGCCACTGATCGGCCCGGGGATCGCGGACTGATCCCCGGGCCGTTGATCGATCCGGGGATCGCGCGCGGCGCCGCGCGTGGCTTGATGCGCGGCGCGTGACGCGTGACGCATCAAAGAAGAGCAAGATGGCCGCCCTTTTAATAGGGGGCGGGGGGCTCCGCGGGGGGGCTAATTTGGACAGCTCTACGGCGTTCGGCCCACCGTGTGCCCTTCTTGTGTGTGTGTCGGGCTTTCTCGCTCAGTTCATGCAGGTCGGGCCACCCCGCTCCGCTGTTGTTCTATTCTGTCTTGCGAACGCTACGGCTACAGCCATGGGCACTCCCTTCGGGCTCTCCTCTCCCTGGCCGCTTGTCGTTGTCCTGGCGCGCTTGTCCTTGTCTTTTCTCCTGGCTCACACTCACTCGCGTGCTGGCTTGCGGCTCGCTCCTCGCTTCTCTCTTTTCGCTGGTGTCTTGTTGTTACGCATGGCATGGAATTTAATAGCCTGGAAGCTAATTCATAAGATGGCCCATGAATGTTAGCGCTTTTGGATCCTTGCAGCAACGTGCGAGACTTTGAAATGCATGAAAAACATGCAGAGACCTCGCGAACCCAGACAGGTCCGAGGCTGCGGCGGGGGATCTTCCAGGGCTTTGCAGCTTTGGCAGCATGCTGCCCGAGGTAATCGGGGGCCGGCGTTCCATTGTGAATTTGTGTCGCGGTGTGAGTGCTTAAGTTAAGCCCTGAGACTTTTAACGCAAACAGAGACCGACCTCGGCCGAGGCTGCTGATGCTCTTGAAGTTGGTGGGGTTGAAGATGTTGATATCACAGACATGACGTCGAAGGCCGTGGGTGTAAACTCGTTGGCCCTTCTCGTTCGATGTTCGTCCTGATCGAAACAGAGCCGAAAGCGGTTAGCCGATGTTGTAAAATTCTTGCTAGCCTCCTTGGTGCTCGTTGTCGTTAGTTGGTCTCGCTTTTCCTTGTTTCGCGTTCGATACGAGCAGCGCTGTGACTCTAACTTATTTAGTCTCGGTCTGCGACTTTTGCAGTGTGTTCAATGTATCAGCTGAGAAAGTAAGTTACTGCTCTGACCGGATCCAGGCGCCCCCTTCTCCTTACTCTTGTAAAAATGCGCCTACAGGGTGAGGCTTGAGGTTGTTGATGGTGATGATGGTGAAAGCGCTGAGACGTTTGGTGAAGGTGGGGCCGGTGCAAGTGTGCACGCAAATGCAGAAGATGCATCAGCGATTTCTTACTTTCGCGCTTTCATTCAACCACAACAAACAAGAACGGAACGGAACAAGTGAAGGGACAAGGTGTTCGCAGCGTGCCTAGATCAATAACAACAGCAGCAACATTGACAACACAGCGTGGGCGTTTAATTATTAAGGCTGGCGACCCTAGTTCCACATCAACGCATCTTCGTGCGCGATCTTTCTTTTCAAACGAGAACGAGTAGGAATGAGCGGGCAACAGTCAACATGAGCGAAATGGCGTCACTTCAAACGATCACGGCCAGACTTCAAGGAACGAATAAGAGAAGAGAAGCAACTTCTTGCCGGGCATTCACATCGCAACACCCTGAAGCAATTTGCTTTCTTTTCGACACGACGCCGCAGCGTCTTTTCGATTTCGTGACAACTTCCCCGGAGTGGACAGTTTCAGCCAATAGCATCAGCGGTCTTTGCCTCGCTTTCTCAGTTCTACTTCCCATCGTCAACATCAAGCAAACATCTTCGCAGTTTCTTTGGTTCGCGCGAGCTTTTTCGCGTTCTTCTTTCACGGTCTTTATGGTTTGCGATTTTCTTCGCAGCGCCCTCAAGTACGAACACACGGAAGAGAGGAACCCTCACAACGACAGCAACACTGCGACGCCTTCTGGGTTTCTGGTCGGGTAAAGTTGGCGCTTCGCGTAGGTGTGAGGGTCGTGCGTTGTTTGGTGAACCCTATAGGCGCATAGCATTCGGGAAACCTTGGGGGGGGCCTGGCTGTTACTTATCGCCACCAACATGCGCCACAGTCATAGGCAGCCCGGTTGGCTCTTCTTTGGCTTTCATGTTTTCAGTCTGAAGAGCTTAGAAACCGTCAAAGTTCATGCAATGAGCTCAGTCCCTCCGCGACTAGAGTAGCCGTGGCCTGCTCTAAAGTCAAGATGTATCAAGAGAGACGCCGCGGGCAAAAAGTAACGGGGTGGGACATTGTAGCCGCCACGCTGGCAAAGTGGAAGGAGCTGAGGAAGGGGGTCGCCTCAGCGTCTGCGAGACCACGAAGCGCGGCAATCGTGTCCAAAAAGTTAAGCAGGGAGCGGAAGGCAGTAGCGAGATAGCTACAGAATCGCGCTGCGCCTAAACGACAAAGGCAAGGGCTTCGGCCTACAGTTCTGCAACTAAAACACTGCGGCAGCGCTGGCTTTGCTATCTTGATGTCTACTAGCTCCAAAAACTTTTACCAGTTGGCTACTGGCTTGCAAATGTCCCGCACTAGGAAGAACAAGCAAGCAAAAGCTAAAGACTTCAACTACTTGAAGAAGAACGTCGCGCCGAAGATTCTGACTCCGAAAAGACTTAGCAGAAATGGGGGCACGCTCCTCGCTTTATGTCGTGAAGCCCTTGCGTAGGCGGCTTGTCTTTTGAAGCAGTAGAGACAGAATCTAGCCACTTCTGGCGCGTTTTCTTCTTTAGTGCTATCTTCGTTCAACAATCAAAATGACGCCCACTGGTAGCGCCTCCTCTACGTTGTATGACCCAGAAACGGGCGAAATCTGGGAAAAGTGAAGAAAAACAGAACAAGGCGAGAACAAGAAGGGCAGGCGCTTGCTACTACTAGAAGAAAATGGAAAAGAAGACTTCCCAGACCCTCTGAACGAGTACGAGGGGAACGAAGATAGGCGGCACAATAAGGCTCGACGAGAAAGGCCAAGAAGTGCTGCGTGATCATGATGCAAAAGTAGTGGGGGAACATGATGCAAGGAAGAAGAGCGGAAGGAGAAGAGGTGACAGCGGCAACTTCTAAGGCCAACAGCATCCAAGCCCAAGCAGATGGTCGACGAAATGCACCCAAGTACAGGGACCAGCGTGCATCCTTCTACAAATGGGCGGGGGTGCTACTTTCAAAGTATTCGCTTTCTAGTATTTGGGTTGGCATTGCGTCGCGCACTGATGGGCCAGAGTTCATGGAGATCAAAAGCAGGCCGGAAGTTGAAGATATTCGGGCCATTCTGAAAAGGCAAACAACTGCACGCGGAGCAGTTTGAAAGCCTCAGCGTCTCCGTAAGCAACCTGGGGAAGGAACATCAAACAAGGAAGAAACGAGTGACCGGCGAACTCCTTCCAACGCTGGGGCGTCATGCGTGGCACCATTGTGGGGGAAGTGCGTCGGTCCCATTGCAGAGCGCCTACGCGTTCATCGGACGGGTGTCTCTGGTGTTCTTCGCAGTACCTTGATCAGGGAGAATCCGAAAACGATGACTGAAGCGGCTGATGCTATAGCAATTGCCGAGCGCTTGCATCATGCTAACAAGCCAGAGACGAAAGGAGGCAAAGGAAGTGGCAAACAGGGCGGCAAACGTGACAAAGCCCCGCGAGGTTCTTCGTCGAGTACTTTCTTCACCAATAACCCAAACCAAAAAGGTAAGGGCAAAAAGGGCGAGAACAGGAACAGCCACAAGGGCCAGAATAACTACCAGCGAAGAGGTGGAAACTGGCAACAAAATCAAGAGTATCGCATTGGCGTTAATAGGTGGGGCACGTTTCCAGGCTTTCCATCCCAGCAACAAAGCGCGCAACAGTCTCCGAGCTAATTCGCCGGCGCCTATGTATGGAACAAGCTACCAGAATTGGGACACTTCTCCCTCGTATTCTGGAACATTTGGAAACGCCAACGCGCAAAGCCCTCAAAGTCGTGGCTTGTGGATGTTTACAACAAGAGAGGCAAACATGATTGGACCCCAATCCCAAAAATTGCTAGCTTTGCCTGCTCCAGGAAGTAGTAGCAGCAGGAGTTCGCCTCCTACTCAGCAAGGAGCACAGCGTCCGTGGGTTGTCATCTCATGGCCATCGTGGACGCTGAAGCGTCCACGAGTGTGAGCATGTGCATCACGGAGCAAGGGGGCCACGAATATACCTGGCGCTTACTAGGTGGGTGCGTGCAGTAGTAGGCACATCGCGGGCGACTTGCGAAGCCTTCACGATTTCGAGCAGCATCGTGAAACAATGGCAACCGCCTCCATTGGCTCAGCGATTGCAATAGGCAAGGGCGGGCTTTGGGAATGTCGCGGCGCGCTTTTCATTCTTATTCTCGGAAGCACGGCGGCCGTCTCACTTCCCAAGCTAATGGCAGGGGCGTCGGAATTGTTCCAAAATTTCAGTAGGTGCAACGCCTCGGGGGTCCAATGGAGATTCGTCATGGTGTGCTGATGGGAAAGGTGAAACTACAGAAGGACAAATCTAGTAGCAGTACTGTCATGCTCGTCGAAGATGCAGCAAGCGTCACCAAAAACCTTCGGCTAGCGCACTGTAGTAGAGAGCAACGCCCACAACTAAGACCATGCCAGTACTACAACTACCATGGGGAAGGTGAACCAGTGGCGACCGCCTTTGGCGATGAATTGCGAGACCATATAACTGGCAAACTGTTTAATCACTCAACTCACACAACTGGAAGGCCAGTAGGCATTCTATACAAGTACTACTCAGATCATGCCCGGCATCGGTTGAAACTTGTCGCGCCATTTTTAGGACCAGGAATCACGAACCTGCTTGATACAGTTCAGAAATTAAAAGAAGAGCGCGCTACTCTGTATAGAAATTCCCACCGTGGAGCCAGTTGGTTGTGACTAATATGAATGAAGGGAGGGCCATTAGTGAAAAACTGAGGGCAGAAGATAGCAATAGTTACCAGGTAGATAAATCCTGAAGGAAGAAAAACAAAAATAAAGAGAGGAAGGCAGGGCGGCTTCTTTGTAATGTTAAACCGGCGAAAAAGTATAGGCTTGACAACCTTCCAACAAAAAGCGCAGCGATAGAGTGTAAGAAAATGCGCCAACTAGCCACGCGCTTAGCCTTTCCGACATTTCCAAAATTATGGGAAGCCGTCAGGCAAATAGACTCGCCCCCAGCTGCTGGGCCTATGGCTCTTCAATTTGGTAAGCATAACCTTAACAGACTAAAGGGCTGCGCGCTCCTACGTCATAAAATAGCTGGAGTCGATGGAGTAAAAGTGTCGGACTTCACAGCCGTGGGCACATTCCTCCCGTTAGGGAAGAGATTCGCAGGATTACACGCTATCAATTTACATAGTAGAGCCAGCGCTTCCCAAACACTTGAACAACACCCAACAGGGAAAGACGCAGCCAGCTTCCTTGAGATGGCCAATGTGCGAGCGGTCTTAGGACGTGCTCTCTTAGCTGACTAAGGTAAGGAATTTGACAGCTCAAACGTCTGAGAATATCCACAAATCCACGGACGTACGCTATTTCTTATGCCTAAAACTTCTTGGGTTAGCGTTAGGGGTACAGTAGAGCGCCGCCATCGAACATTTCGAGCAGTTCCCGAAGAGCTCTACTACATTTATGGGCAAAGTGTTACACTGCATTAGAATTCACTGCTACGGATCATTTGGTTCGCTTCCTGCTTCCAGCAGTGAAGGCCTCTAGGAGGGCGTAGGGGAGCATGAGCGTCAGGGCCCCTTTTTTGGATCACTGTCGCTAAAGGCAGCAGAAGCTTCTAGCTCTTTAGTGTGCAACACGCTGACGCTTCAATAATCATTGTTCCCATCTCAGCTACCTGCCTATGGGCATGCTCACGGTGAGGCCATGGGTTAAGGAAGCAGTCACTTACTTGCGTTGCTTTTTCGTGGGTGGTTGATTATGGCATGGGGGTGGTGTTTGGGTTGTCGCTGACCTTCCTAAAATGACGGCGAAAAATGTGCCCAAGTTTTTTTTGCCTTTTTCGGGTGCTGTGCGGCGAGCGTGTTTCTTTGGAGGGCGGCTAAAATTTGGTTGAAGTTGGGAGCTTTTTTCCCGTGTGATTTCGGCTAGAAAGACGTCGCTCGCGTTTGTTTGTGGTGTCGGTTTAGCGTGTCATGCCTTGGCCTTCCAGTTTTGGAAGGGTGTGCCGCTGACAGTTTTAACCGTTCGCAAAGTTGGCGGCTTTTTACCCGCTAGCTTATGACGGTTCTGGGCTGTCAACTTTAGGCAGGTCTTTAGCTGTCATTCCTCGGCTTTTTTTTTTTTTAACCGGCTCCCGCAGGGTCTTGGAAGCCTTCGGGCCGCGCAGCCGCGACGCAGGCTGGATTGCATTCGGCGCACCCGGTCGCATTCCGCTTGCAGGCCTCGGAGTGCGGCGTGGTGTTCGTGCAAGCTCCGCGGGGTTGGCTGGGTGGGGCGCGTGTGGACGCTGGGCCCCCGCATCGAGGAGCGCTCGCTCGGGGAGGAGCTGCAATGTCCACGCCAGTGAGGTTGCGCGGGCTGGGCAGCGTGGGCCTGGAGTGGACGTTGGGGCCGCAGTTCGTTCGCTGGTTGCTCGAAGTGTGGCCTTAACGTCCACGCCGGTCGGTGCAGCCTCGCGGGCTGGCGTGGTGTCGGCTCTTTGCGCCTGGCCTCTTTCTGACGTGTCTCGAAGGGTGGCCGTTTGCCTGAGATCGGCCCCGGCGTATGCGCTTCGGCTTGGGCTCGCGGGTGCCTGCTCGTGCATGTTGGTGGCGGCTCGGGCTTGGTGTGGTCTTTTGTGGGTCTTTTGCGTGGGTTCGGCTGCTGGCTCCCCGGCAATCAGAAATGGTAACCGGGCTCGTTGGCTGAGTGTGTGTCCGCCTGGTTTTTTGGCTTTTCTTATCTCGTGACCCATTTCTCTTCAAAGGGATTCGTCAGGGCAAGCGAATGTGATGCACTTTGTGGGCCAGTCTGTCGCGTGGACAGTTCTAGCAGAATTGTGCTCGCCTTCTGTGATGTCAGCACCTGCTGCCTGCGCCTCGGTTGCTGGCGTGGTAGAATGGCGGAGGCGTTCGGCGTAGCTAATTGGGGGGCGTGCTATTTGGCTGGCGTGCGTCGGTGTCTCACGTCAGGGCTTTTCTGGTCTTCGCATCCATTCCTGCGGACTGCGCATCTTACACGCAGCGCACGCGACCGGCCGGCGCGTGTGGTGTTCTGTATTCAGTCCTCTTCTTCAGTGTCTTGCGGTTTCTCGTCAGTGCTCCGCATTCAAGGCATTTCGTATTCTCGTGGATTCAGATCTCCCCCACCCCGCTTCGCTTGCTTCTTCGTGGCAGACACGTGGACTCACCTGGAGCACTTTTCGACCCGCGCGCCCTTCTGTTCGGTGTCAGGTTTTTCGTATCTCGCGGCCCATTTCCATGAAGTTCGTTAGCCCAGACGAATCGGGCGCCGCTTGTGAGCTAGTCTGCCACGTAGGCAGTTCCTTTCAGCAGAATAGTTAATTATCGCCTTCTTTGATGCCGGCGCGCGCCAGCTTTGGGCTTGGGCCTCTGTTGACATCTTGCCCCCGCAGCGCTGGAATTCTTTGAAAGCTTTGAAGCCTTTTACGGTCGTAAGTAGGCGTTTGCGCTTTGCTGGTGATCCCCTTAGCTTGATAGTGTTCGAACTTGTCGGGCCATGTTGTTTCCCGGTTCGGCCATCGACGTTTGCGAGCGATTTATATCGGTTCGAATTCATATGTCTCGCAACCTTGCACAACAAAACAGGCTGAAAAACCACGCCAGTTCCTGTCTGAGCGGGAGAGCGGGCTTGTTCGTGTTCGCCACTTCTTACCGAATTTGTGCAACAAAATGCGTCGCTGTCGGAGTTTTGATATCAGCAAGCGGAAGCGCAAGCGCGTTGCTGCTGCGAGAGGGCTGGAAATAGCCTGCACTACTGCCGCAGTTGTGTCGGTGTTGTGGTTTTGCCTCCACGCTTTCGCTTCTGGTTCTGCTGTTATGGCTAACGTTCAATATTCGAAGAGACAAGTAGAAGCATGGTGAACATTTTTTGCATCGTTGAAGATTTGCATGCATGTGCTTCCATGGATGCCCTGCGCGGGCGTGTTTGTTTTTAATAAAGTTGCTATTAACTTCAAGGCGCACGGCGTCACGGACGAATAGGTAGCAGAGTAGTCTATAGCACGCATGGGGTGCATGGGGCGCAGACCTTTAAGGGGCGCAAGAAGCTCCCCCTTTAGCTCCATGCTACTCCATGTGGTCCATGCACTCCATGCCGTGCTGGCTGTGAAACCTTATAAACTGCTCCGAGGTAGAGCGCGTTTTTATCTGACGACCCGGAGGGTCGAGGATCAGAAAGTAAGAGAGCCGCGCTGACGTTCTCTCAATGCTCTTGGGGTTTAGATCTGTGCGTGTCGCTAAGTTGAATCCCGCGCCTTCTCTTGTTTCTTGTAACTCGAACAACGCGCTCCCAGTCGGAATGGAAATGACATGAATAAAGGCAAGGCCATCGCTGGGCCCGAAGATAGTAGATACTTATATAATCAGGGTTGCTCCTTTGTACTTCCAGCATGGTAAGGAGGGCGGGCTTCTTTTTATATCAGAGAAGTTTGTAGCATCGTATGCATGGGGTGCATGGAGTGGCATGGAGCGCATCGAGCAGACGCAGCGTCGCCACGCGTGGAGCGTGTTGGGCACGAACAAGCCCCCGGCCCACCCGGGGGCGGGTGGGTCGGGGGCGGTAGAAGGCGGACCCGGTTGGTCGGCTAGACTGACGCCGCCGCGGGAGCGCTGCCTCGTGCGTAGTGCGGAGGCGTGGCGGAACTGGCGGCTGGCTTTGCAGCAAGCTGATTTGTTACGCGCCCCAAGGTCCCGGCCCGCGAGTGAGTGGGCCCGGAGGGAGGGGTCGCAGCTGGCTCGGGGGCTTGCGGTCTGGGTGCTTGAAGTTCCCGCCTGGGATGCCGAGCTGTAGGCGCGTGGGCTCTGATGAAGGGGCGCCCGGAGTGTGCGCCGAGAAAATTTGCATGCATCATGGAACGCACGGAGTACCTGCTCCATGCGGTCTATGCACTCCAGGCCGTACGAGCTTCCGCGCCTTGCTTAAATAGCGAGCACCTCCCAAGATGGGTGGCGGTTTGCATGGATTGCAATGCATAGCATGGATTGCATGGCCAGGAGGGGCGAAGGGGTGACCTTTTTAAAGAGGAACAAGCGCGCCGGTCCTCGGCCGCGGATAGGGGGGCCTTGCGTTTCTCGTAGCGGTGAGGCCGCGCGTGGGCTCTCTTTCGGTTCGAGCTGGCTGCCGGGAGGACGCAGAGCGCCTGACGCCTGGCCGCGTTGGTTAGAGATGTCAGCGAGCTAGCGGCTCGATGGTAGTCGGGTCCCTGAGTACTTAGTTAGGAAGGTAGTGGCCTACGGGCATGCGTAAGATGCTAGCTAGATTCTGAAGCCCCCCGCTTCCCCCTGGGATGGTATTGCCATGCTTGCGACCGGTGTGCTTAGTTGTAATAAGTTGGCGCTTATGCTTTTTCTTTTATGGGCCCGCGTTAGAAGTAACAGGAAGGCACTTGCGTTTGGCTATCTAAGCTGCAGCGGTATCAGGCTGGGCCAGGTAGGCATGCGGCAGGTGCGCTAGCTCTCTCGCGTGCACAGGCTAGGGCGCGTAGGGTCCTCTGCGTTGCCGGCGTTGGGGAGGTGGTCCCTGGGGGGGGTGTTCTGACTGGCGGCAGCCTGCTTTTGCGGGGCCTGGGTGTGAGTGCTTCGAAGTTGCTTGCGCCCAAGCTGTTGGAAGGTGAGACGCGGCCACAGTAAGGGCGGACGGTGGCGCCTGAAGGGCGCCCTGCAAAAAGTCTTGGTAGCTAGCGCCATCCATCGCCATGCATGCAATCCATGCCATACATTTTAGAAATCTGGAACGGGCGACGCTCTTACTTATAGGATAGCTCTGCGATATAGAGTCAGGAATGGTAGCGGGACTCAAGTCGCAAGCAACAGCAATGACAACTATAGGCGAGCAGGCGCGGCAATGGGTTTTTCTTGTTTGTTGCGCTCCACGCGGGGCGGAGCTTCTCCTCCTGTCTTGCGGTTGTCGTGTCATTCTCCTTGTTCATGTAGTTGCGCGGCTTGTAACTGCAAAGACTGAAGTAGCTCCATCGTTCGCTGCATAGTTGTGCCGCTTTGAGTCCGCCACTTGCGCCGATTTTTTTTTGTTTCTTTCTTTGCAAATCTTTCTACGGACCATGCGGTCAGGAGGCCAGACGGGAGGGTAGAGAATTTTGAGGACCGCTCAGCCCGTGTCGCCAGCATGATCGCGCCTTGGGTCTTCCCCTTTGCATAATTGAGAGAGAGGCCAAAAAAATAGCTGATATACATAGACACGCGGAAAGTTGCACACGGACGCGCATGACCTAGGCAGCACATCAGCCAAGAGGATGGAAGCTCAACCGCCCCGAGCGTTCCGCTGCAAGGAGGAGCTCCGCTGCAAGATTGTCAAAGCGAGACAACTTCGCAAGCAGACAGCAGACTTCGTCGACGAGATCACGGAGGGCCCCGCAGTGTGCTTATGGGCGCGACAGTCGGAAGAAGGCCTATCCGGTTAGGGGATGGCAACTGCTGCTGCCTCTGAAGCGGGGAGAATAGTCGAGCACGCGCTCGGGCAGTTCTCTAAGTGGGGTCCCATTGGGTATCTTTATAATGATCGGGCAGGGCGGAAAGAAGAGGGCCCCACCCGTCGCGGTCAAGTTGTAGAAGAAAGTGCCGGGGTGCTTGGTCGAGAGGGCGCTAGGGATCTTGTTCAAATGGCGCGAAACAATAACGAGCACGCACAGGATGGGTGGCCCGAAATGGCTGGTAGGATATTCGTCAATCTTACCAGCTAGTTCCATTACGGTGCGGCCGTGAGCATTAAACAGAAAAGCTGCTCAAGTTTTTGGACTACGGAGGAATAGCCTTCCTGGCGCGTGTCGGCGTGGGCACCATCACGAGACAGATGATGGGCCACCGACTCGCGAAGGCCAAAAGCTCAGCGTTACTTAGAGGCGCGCGAGGCTCTGCGGGGTGAGTGTGCTCCTGAGTAGTTTCAGAACGTCGCGGGCGAATTTGCGTCCATGGCTCGTCTCTGAAGCAGCGGGCAGCTAGATAGAAATGTGAGAGAGCCCCTGGCTACACAGCGGGGCCACGTTCTAGCACTTTTATCGCGTAGGCGGGAAGATGTGACGATATTGCGGGAAGATCTAAACAAGAACAGAGACGGGGCCAGGCCTCTCTTCCAGATGTCCACAGGGTCCAAACGTGGGACAGAACTACACAGCACAGGGCGCGCTCTCGAGTCTTTCTGTCGCGATCGCGCTGGGGGAGATTGTGGCCTGGGTGAAGAGTGACAGCCATGCCAGGGCACAGGCTTGAATCTCTACGCAGGAAACCCCATAGCAGGTGCAGAAGAGAGGATAGGGCAACGTCTTTGGGGGTTCCTCGAAGGCGTTGTCGAGACAGGAATCTTATCCGCGAACTTAGTTCATGTGAGTAGACGGCATTGCTATCAACCACGCAGGGGATGGGGCAGCGGTAGGTCTGGAAATGAGATGGGGCATAGGATAGTGCGTCGCCTGTCATTGACCTCTTGTCTTTTTCAAGGGATGGCGGCCTGCCAAACGTTTCGAAGCAAGTGAATGGCTAGACAAAGACCGCCGAACAAGCAAGGTCACAGACACACTGCGGAGTCAGTCGCCATTGCTAGCTCATCAGAGACTGACGTAGGCGATTGCATTAGCTGGCTGCGACTGACGCGCCCGCAGCATATAAGTAGCGAACAACATGGGAGGGGCATAGACTAAAGCTCCGCGAAGTAAGTAAGATATTTGGACACTGGGAGCCTCCTAGTTCCCTTCCGACGCCAGTTGTGGCGCGTTCTCTTGGTTTCTTGTTTGTGCGGAGTCTCGACGCTGACGAAATTAGGGGCGTAAGCTATAGTAGACTACGAACTGTCGCTGTGAGGATGCTCGGGGCTGTTCAGTCATCCTTCAGAGCTAGCCGCCATCCATGGAAGTGCCGCACTCTCAATACCCAGATCCCGAATGCAAACGCAAGAACAAAGTAACTAGATCACCAGGCGGATGGTCTTGAAGATCATGCCCACCACTAGGATAGTGATCAAGATCATAATCGCCATCAGGATCATGATCATCAACAACGAACAGCACAACGATCACCACCAAGAAACAAGAGCAGCAACCAGGCAGATCACTAACAGCACTAGGGCCATTATGATAAGCACCATCACCACCATGAGCAGCCTAGTGCTGCGCTAAGTAAGTAACTAAAGGACCAGCAAGGTCACAGGCAAGCACAGACATGAACAACGACAACAAGGAGCAAGAACCTCGCCCGCCATTCTTGTCAGTGGCCGGCCCTTTGGGCTATTGCATAAAGCAAAGACAGGCGCGCTATTGCCGTGACATCAGAACGATTGTGCGCGACGGGTGCCACTGTGTTCGCTACTTCGTAGCCACACAATGAGGGCCACGAAATAGATTAAAGCCGTGACAGACATGCGCGCGCATTCGTTTACTTTTGTTTTCGCTCTTGGGGAGAGGAGTGACACCGGGGAAGACAAGAGGCCCTGCTCTTCATTGCGCGCGGCTCTCGCTACAGACACGACGGGGTGCGCGGGGGGGGGTGCTGCTACTGTTTGTTTTCTAGTCTCTGAGGAAGTCTTGTCGCTGTTTTGATAAGGCAGGATCCCAAGACCTCAGGTAAATACGGGCGCAGCGCCTGCACGGCGGACGCGCTCAGTTCTCGCCAGGGGGGTTGCACTTGGATACAAATCCATGGTGGCGCGCGTTAGGTTAGAGAGTCAAAACCTTCGAAGGCAGGCCAGCTGCTGAGCCACGGCGCAAGCCGTAGGCTGCGGCGTTACTTAGGGTCCGCCAACTCCTATCGCGTTTGCTAGGTTCTAGGTAGCCCCAAATCGCGCCAGCGTGAGCACACCGCTCGGAAAGTAGTTACTTAAATAAAGAAGGCGGAGGCCAGTGCGAGTGCCCTCCATGAACCAAGGAGGCGACTTGTTGCACGGAAGGCGTGGCACAAGCGTCCAGTCTGATAAGGGGCGTGGGCCATGGGCTAGCTAAGTCGACTGAATACACCCAAAAACAACGGCGCACAGGCTGCGGGGGAGGTTTGCAAGCTCGTCACGCTTGGAGCTGTTTGCTTTTTTTTCCATTTTGTCACTCGACGTCGCGGCGCGTGTGAATGGTTAGAGGTGGCGCGCTGTCGTAACTCAGGGCATACGCATGGGAAAAACTACAAGGGGAGACGGCGCCACCATGCATGGAGCTGCATGCAGCGCGTCGCAGTACGCACGGCTATCGGCGCCGGCGATTTTATGGTGCCGCAGCCGGTGCGCGATGCCATTCGGGAGGCAGTGCACCGGCGCGGCGTGGCGCGCGTCAGCAAAAACACGACGGGGCAGCCAGGCAGTAGGACTAGCGTGCGCGCGGCGGTTGTCACCTTGAAGGCTGCGGGTCGGGCAAGATGTGCGCCACCCCAAGGGCGTCGGCGCTGTGGCGCGACATGTGTGAGAGCGAGCGCGGGAGAAGGAGCTCCTGCGGCCGTGCTCGATACATATGCGGGGGCGGCGCGTCATCTTGTCTTCGTGTTTGCCTGTGAACGACGAGGCCCGGACCTCGCTCCCCAAAGCAAGAGCCTGTGGCAGCGGCGGCGCGAAGCTCAGGCCATCGAAGAGATTTCCCACATGCTGACCCTGTCGGCGCTTTTGGATGGTTGCGAAACAGCGTGGGAGGGCAGCTTATTCCGCAGCCGCTCGCTCCCTCGATTCCCCGCGATCTCGCGCTCGGGGTCGCCAGACCGTAGCGCCGGCGGCACGCGGAGGGCGGCACAGCTGCCAAGGCCATTGATCTGTCACCCAGAGAAGCCGGCGCCGCTGATCCTGGGGAGCTCAGAGGGCTCGAACCGAGCGGGCCTGGCAGTCTGCTTTCGGTGAGTCAGGTGAAGGCTGCGGCTTCCTTGCAGACGGCATCCCAGTTGCGCAAGGGACGGAGGCTGGCACACACGCAGGCGGCTGCTTGGGCTTGGTGTGGCGCCTCCGTGGCGGTCTGCAATACCTGGCGCGCCTGAGCCACGCGAGAAGGCTGCCCTTCTGGCTGGGCCGCCTGGAACGCGTCAGGGATGTCGGCCGGGGCGACGCTCCCCGGGTTCTGAGCTGGAAAAGGGGGCCACTTGCTTCCCCGCTTCTATGTGTGGCAGGCTTCCGCCTCTTATTGTGGGACAATTGGCGCACAGATCTCCGACGGAGGCGCCCGCGCGTCTACGATTTGGCAGCAGGGGCTGGCAGCGTCAGCGATGTCAGCAAGGACCCGGAAAATCATGGAGGGGGCAGCGCCTTTCATGGAGATCGCCAACGACGCGACAAAAGCGGAGCAGGATAAGGCGCGGCGGAGGTGCAGGCAGATGCGTGGGGCAGGCCTGATGGCTCGCCATGTGGGGACTCCGTCGGGGGCTTGGGAGAAAGCACCTGGGAAGGAGGACGAAGAGGCCCAGCCAAAGCGGCTAGACCTCCAGAGACAGGCCGGCAGACCTGGGAACCATGTAGCGAAAAGGAGCAGGCAGGTGCGTAAGCGGCGAAGGCTGTGCTTGAAAGGCATAAAAAAGGCAGCGCTGAGCACGGAGCCCACGCCACCCCTGACCTGAAAACACGCGAGCCGCGGAGGCAAGTGGCTGCGTATAATAGTAGCAAACCAGGATGCCTGATGCGTACAGGACTGCGGATAAAAACAGAAGCCGCTTGGACCGACAGCAGGGCCATAGGTTGTGGATGAAGACGAGCAAAACGATCCGCAGCGCCTGCTGTCTGTTCATCGGCGCCGCCTCTCCTCCTCTTGGATTTTTCAGCATGCATAGATAAGACGAAAGAACGAGGAGCCCCCCCGCAAGTTTGCGCTGGGGTTTCAGGGCTGTGCCCATAGTGTGCACCCAACAGCTTGGGCATTTGGCTGGCCTCCTAGCCTCGAGGGGGATCAGATATGCGCCCCAACTTGTGTCGCCGGTGTTCGTGGGCTTTGCCATTCGCGGCCATAACTTCTCTGAAGGCGTTGCCCGGATCTCATTTCTCTGGCTTTGCTCGTCGAGCTTGTTTCGCCCTGGCAACGTGGCCTGGCCACAAGTTCGTGGGCCTTGAACCTTGAACCTTAGAGGGGGTTGCTGGTATTGGTCATGTTGATGACTATTTACTCCACTTATGTGTGAATCAGTGTGATGCAGTAAACTAGACCTAGGCCAGGACTCTACTCCGAGGACAAGTGGTAGCCATTCAGATGGTGCGCGCTTCAGTGCCTAGGGACACACAGACATGCGCCTGAGGTCTGTGCCTCTGGTTCTGTGTGTGTAGTTTTTTCTTATAAGAGAAGCGCTAACACTGGCGCAGAGGCGGATGCTGTGGACGACCTTGCTTCGCCTTTCTCTCGTCCCTTATTCAGGACTGGCAACAAGACGCCGACCATCTATGAGGATAGCGACACTAAGGCCCAACAAAGGGGAGCTTACTCATAGACGCAGGCGCAGACTTGCGCTTAGGCTCTTAGCGGTAGAAATCATTCGGCAGCAGGCTCGTAGCTTCTCGATGAAAGGGCGTGACTTCTGTCATTTTCAAAGCGTTGGATGTAGCTAGGTGAAAGCTTCGCTTCTAGTGTTTTCGTTTCGTCATATTCTTAATGCTTTGTGTCTAACCCTCGCTACTTCTTGGAAACGCTATCCCACCGAGTTGTTTACGAGAACAGCGCACGCAGCGTGGATTTTTTGGACCACAGCGCTGAGGGTGACAGCGTCCACAATGCGGATTTTTTGGGTCACAGCGTTGAAGATAATGGAAACGCCTTCAACCTTTTGGATGACGAGGACGCCGCGCACATGGATGGCAACTCTCACGCGGCAACTACAATGGGCGCGGGCGCGCCTGATGCTGTTGGAGTAAACGTGACTACCAGTGCTAGAGATGGCGACGGTGGGGCCGCTTTTCTGGATGTGGACTCGGGACAAATACCTGCGGCCGTTCAGCATCAGGGCGACCTTGCTGCGCGTCTCACCTATGGCGCCACTTTCTGCCTGGCCGTATTTCATTCTGGGACTGTCGATTTGTCTTATTTCTTCCCCCTTGACTTCGGGCCATTATAATTATACCCGCAGGCCTCTGATGTTTGGCAATTTCTAGGCTTTGTTTTTAGATAGTCCTTTTCAGCGTCTTGGCTCGAGGGCTTGCTTTCGTCTGGGAGTGGGGCGGGGGGTGTCACTGCTTTCCATTCGAGAGATTTGCCCCGCCCTTGTGTTGTCTGGAAATCCATCCCGGGCATGTTGCTACACCAGCCAAGGCGGCGCGCTTTGTTTTTGGGGCTTTTCTCGTGGTTCATTCAATGAGAATCACGGCAGAGGGGGCCCAGGCATGTATAAGGGGGGCGAGAGCGAGACGCAGGCGCCCCCCCTCCCTAGGTTTATCCACGCTGGTGCCCACTCACTTGACCGGCAGTGCTTAAACGAGCGCTGGCGCAGTGTATCGCGCCCATGTGGCAGTTTGTGCCGGGTTGTGGGTTTGAAGCAAAGGAATTGGCTGGCGTTGGCTCGCGCGCTCGCAGTACAGTTCTAGCGCATCGGGGGAGAAATTGACACGGGGGAAGTCTGTAGCGCTGGGGCGGGACATTCATCGCCCGGGCCTATAGGCTTGGCGCGGTTTATCTCTGGGTGAGTGGAGTGGCTTCGCGTGTTTCTTTCGTCGACTGGCCTCTTTCGGTGGGCTGTTGTGTGTTAGTGTGTTGCCGTTGGTCTGTTGCTGGATGTTGCGGCGCCCCCCCTCTGGAAGTGCTCAAACCTTAACAAGAGGCAAGCGGCGGCGGGAGTTCAGTGGGCCGATTGTGTGTGTGTGTGTGTGTGTCTGCGTGTGTCTGCGTGTGTCTGCGTGTGTCTGCGTGTGTCTGCGTGTGTCTGCGTGTGTCTGCGTGTGTCTGCGTGTGTCTGCGTGNGCGGTGCGAGTGTGTGCGGTGCGAGTGTGTGCGGTGCGAGTGTGTGCGGTGCGAGTGTGTGCGGTGCGAGTGTGTGCGGTGCGAGTGTGTGCGGTGCGAGTGTGTGCGGTGCGAGTGTGTGCGGTGCGAGTGTGTGCGGTGCGAGTGTGTGCGGTGCGAGTGTGTGCGGTGCGAGTGTGTGCGGTGCGAGTGTGTGCGGTGCGAGTGTGTGCGGTGCGAGTGTGTGCGGTGCGAGTGTGTGCGGTGCGAGTGTGTGCGGTGCGAGTGTGTGCGGTGCGAGTGTGTGCGGTGCGAGTGTGTGCGGTGCGAGTGTGTGCGGTGCGAGTGTGTGCGGTGCGAGTGTGTGCGGTGCGAGTGTGTGCGGTGCGAGTGTGTGCGGTGCGAGTGTGTGCGGTGCGAGTGTGTGCGGTGCGAGTGTGTGCGGTGCGAGTGTGTGCGGTGCGAGTGTGTGCGGTGCGAGTGTGTGCGGTGCGAGTGTGTGCGGTGCGAGTGTGTGCGGTGCGAGTGTGTGCGGTGCGAGTGTGTGCGGTGCGAGTGTGTGCGGTGCGAGTGTGTGCGGTGCGAGTGTGTGCGGTGCGAGTGTGTGCGGTGCGAGTGTGTGCGGTGCGAGTGTGTGCGGTGCGAGTGTGTGCGGTGCGAGTGTGTGCGGTGCGAGTGTGTGCGGTGCGAGTGTGTGCGGTGCGAGTGTGTGCGGTGCGAGTGTGTGCGGTGCGAGTGTGTGCGGTGCGAGTGTGTGCGGTGCGAGTGTGTGCGGTGCGAGTGTGTGCGGTGCGAGTGTGTGCGGTGCGAGTGTGTGCGGTGCGAGTGTGTGCGGTGCGAGTGTGTGCGGTGCGAGTGTGTGCGGTGCGAGTGTGTGCGGTGCGAGTGTGTGCGGTGCGAGTGTGTGCGGTGCGAGTGTGTGCGGTGCGAGTGTGTGCGGTGCGAGTGTGTGCGGTGCGAGTGTGTGCGGTGCGAGTGTGTGCGGTGCGAGTGTGTGCGGTGCGAGTGTGTGCGGTGCGAGTGTGTGCGGTGCGAGTGTGTGCGGTGCGAGTGTGTGCGGTGCGAGTGTGTGCGGTGCGAGTGTGTGCGGTGCGAGTGTGTGCGGTGCGAGTGTGTGCGGTGCGAGTGTGTGCGGTGCGAGTGTGTGCGGTGCGAGTGTGTGCGGTGCGAGTGTGTGCGGTGCGAGTGTGTGCGGTGCGAGTGTGTGCGGTGCGAGTGTGTGCGGTGCGAGTGTGTGCGGTGCGAGTGTGTGCGGTGCGAGTGTGTGCGGTGCGAGTGTGTGCGGTGCGAGTGTGTGCGGTGCGAGTGTGTGCGGTGCGAGTGTGTGCGGTGCGAGTGTGTGCGGTGCGAGTGTGTGCGGTGCGAGTGTGTGCGGTGCGAGTGTGTGCGGTGCGAGTGTGTGCGGTGCGAGTGTGTGCGGTGCGAGTGTGTGCGGTGCGAGTGTGTGCGGTGCGAGTGTGTGCGGTGCGAGTGTGTGCGGTGCGAGTGTGTGCGGTGCGAGTGTGTGCGGTGCGAGTGTGTGCGGTGCGAGTGTGTGCGGTGCGAGTGTGTGCGGTGCGAGTGTGTGCGGTGCGAGTGTGTGCGGTGCGAGTGTGTGCGGTGCGAGTGTGTGCGGTGCGAGTGTGTGCGGTGCGAGTGTGTGCGGTGCGAGTGTGTGCGGTGCGAGTGTGTGCGGTGCGAGTGTGTGCGGTGCGAGTGTGTGCGGTGCGAGTGTGTGCGGTGCGAGTGTGTGCGGTGCGAGTGTGTGCGGTGCGAGTGTGTGCGGTGCGAGTGTGTGCGGTGCGAGTGTGTGCGGTGCGAGTGTGTGCGGTGCGAGTGTGTGCGGTGCGAGTGTGTGCGGTGCGAGTGTGTGCGGTGCGAGTGTGTGCGGTGCGAGTGTGTGCGGTGCGAGTGTGTGCGGTGCGAGTGTGTGCGGTGCGAGTGTGTGCGGTGCGAGTGTGTGCGGTGCGAGTGTGTGCGGTGCGAGTGTGTGCGGTGCGAGTGTGTGCGGTGCGAGTGTGTGCGGTGCGAGTGTGTGCGGTGCGAGTGTGTGCGGTGCGAGTGTGTGCGGTGCGAGTGTGTGCGGTGCGAGTGTGTGCGGTGCGAGTGTGTGCGGTGCGAGTGTGTGCGGTGCGAGTGTGTGCGGTGCGAGTGTGTGCGGTGCGAGTGTGTGCGGTGCGAGTGTGTGCGGTGCGAGTGTGTGCGGTGCGAGTGTGTGCGGTGCGAGTGTGTGCGGTGCGAGTGTGTGCGGTGCGAGTGTGTGCGGTGCGAGTGTGTGCGGTGCGAGTGTGTGCGGTGCGAGTGTGTGCGGTGCGAGTGTGTGCGGTGCGAGTGTGTGCGGTGCGAGTGTGTGCGGTGCGAGTGTGTGCGGTGCGAGTGTGTGCGGTGCGAGTGTGTGCGGTGCGAGTGTGTGCGGTGCGAGTGTGTGCGGTGCGAGTGTGTGCGGTGCGAGTGTGTGCGGTGCGAGTGTGTGCGGTGCGAGTGTGTGCGGTGCGAGTGTGTGCGGTGCGAGTGTGTGCGGTGCGAGTGTGTGCGGTGCGAGTGTGTGCGGTGCGAGTGTGTGCGGTGCGAGTGTGTGCGGTGCGAGTGTGTGCGGTGCGAGTGTGTGCGGTGCGAGTGTGTGCGGTGCGAGTGTGTGCGGTGCGAGTGTGTGCGGTGCGAGTGTGTGCGGTGCGAGTGTGTGCGGTGCGAGTGTGTGCGGTGCGAGTGTGTGCGGTGCGAGTGTGTGCGGTGCGAGTGTGTGCGGTGCGAGTGTGTGCGGTGCGAGTGTGTGCGGTGCGAGTGTGTGCGGTGCGAGTGTGTGCGGTGCGAGTGTGTGCGGTGCGAGTGTGTGCGGTGCGAGTGTGTGCGGTGCGAGTGTGTGCGGTGCGAGTGTGTGCGGTGCGAGTGTGTGCGGTGCGAGTGTGTGCGGTGCGAGTGTGTGCGGTGCGAGTGTGTGCGGTGCGAGTGTGTGCGGTGCGAGTGTGTGCGGTGCGAGTGTGTGCGGTGCGAGTGTGTGCGGTGCGAGTGTGTGCGGTGCGAGTGTGTGCGGTGCGAGTGTGTGCGGTGCGAGTGTGTGCGGTGCGAGTGTGTGCGGTGCGAGTGTGTGCGGTGCGAGTGTGTGCGGTGCGAGTGTGTGCGGTGCGAGTGTGTGCGTGGGTGGGTGTGGGTGTGGGTGTGGGTGGGTGGGTGTGTGGGCCAGGGTGGGTGTGTGTGCGTCTGCGTGGGCCAGGGTGTGTGCGTGGGCCAGGGTGTGTGTGTGGGTGTTTGTGTGTGTGTGTTTGCTTCTGTGTGTTTGTGTGTGTTTGTTTATGTGTGTTTGTGTGTGTCTGTGTGTGTGTTTGTGTGTCTTTGTGTTTGTGTGTCTTTGTGTTTGTGTGTCTTTGTGTTTGTGTGTCTTTGTGTTTGTGTGTCTTTGTGTTTGTGTGTCTTTGTGTTTGTGTGTCTTTGTGTTTGTGTGTCTTTGTGTTTGTGTGTCTTTGTGTTTGTGTGTCTTTGTGTTTGTGTGTCTTTGTGTTTGTGTGTCTTTGTGTTTGTGTGTCTTTGTGTTTGTGTGTCTTTGTGTTTGTGTGTCTTTGTGTTTGTGTGTCTTTGTGTTTGTGTGTCTTTGTGTTTGTGTGTCTTTGTGTTTGTGTGTCTTTGTGTTTGTGTGTCTTTGTGTTTGTGTGTCTTTGTGTTTGTGTGTCTTTGTGTTTGTGTGTCTTTGTGTTTGTGTGTCTTTGTGTTTGTGTGTCTTTGTGTTTGTGTGTCTTTGTGTTTGTGTGTCTTTGTGTTTGTGTGTCTTTGTGTTTGTGTGTCTTTGTGTTTGTGTGTCTTTGTGTTTGTGTGTCTTTGTGTTTGTGTGTCTTTGTGTTTGTGTGTCTTTGTGTTTGTGTGTCTTTGTGTTTGTGTGTCTTTGTGTTTGTGTGTCTTTGTGTTTGTGTGTCTTTGTGTTTGTGTGTCTTTGTGTTTGTGTGTCTTTGTGTTTGTGTGTCTTTGTGTTTGTGTGTCTTTGTGTTTGTGTGTCTTTGTGTTTGTGTGTCTTTGTGTTTGTGTGTCTTTGTGTTTGTGTGTCTTTGTGTTTGTGTGTCTTTGTGTTTGTGTGTCTTTGTGTTTGTGTGTCTTTGTGTTTGTGTGTCTTTGTGTTTGTGTGTCTTTGTGTTTGTGTGTCTTTGTGTTTGTGTGTCTTTGTGTTTGTTTGCTTGCTTGCTTGCTTGCTTGCTTGCTTGCTTGCTTGCTTGCTTGTTTGTTTGTTTGTTTGTTTGTTTGTTTGTTTGTTAGTTTGCTTGTTTGCTTGTTTGTTTGTTTGTCTGTTTGTTTGTTTGTTTGTTTGTTTGTTTGTGTGTGTGTTGCGTGTGTGTGCGCGTGCGCGTGCGCGTGCGCGTGTGTGTGTCTGCGTGTGTGTGTGTCTGCGTGTGTGTGTCTGGCTGTAGGTAGCGTGTCTGTGTCTGGCTGTGTTTTATCCTACGTCCATCGCTTCGTCTTCTATACCAGGCGAGCCCCGTCGTGTGCCGCTTTCTTATTATCTACTATCTTACGGCGATGCCCCCCGGGCAATGTAATCAGACAGTAGGATAGAAGGGCACCATACGATATTGAGTCATTGGTGAGTTTTTATTTCTCTAATACAATGCGGAAGGTGAGCTCGACAACGAAGCGGCAGAGCTTGCGCTGCAGAAAAAGGCGGGGTTATGAAACAACAAGGGCATACACATGATAAGCGTTGGCTTTGAATGGCTAGCACATAAAAAAAAAAGATGCCGCATAAGATAGTTTTGACTACTGACACGCGCGCGCCTTAGTGTCAGCACCTTGCGTGTTGCAGACTTAGCAAGGGGCCCCTATCCTATCCTAGAAAATAACAGGGAGGCCCCTGCTTATAATTAATCCTCTCACCCAGCAACAACGTCAAAGGTGTAATGGTACTGTGACAGGGCTGGTTTTGGATTGTGTAAAAATCTTCAGTAGAACTATCAGAACTTTTCTCTAGTGCGGGCATTAGGTGGAGCAGTTGTATTATTGGGGGTATACAAATGGCGGGGGAGGAAGCGCATACGCAGTCCCAGGGCGCTTATTTGGTCCGGGGCGCTTTGGCCCGGGTGCGCCGCTAATCCGTCGGCAGTAGCAGGCGTTGCCCCCGCGCTGGGGGACAGGGTCGCCCTGAACCTCCAGCCCTTTGGGCCGTCTTTTCTCGCCGCCTGCCTCCTTGGTGCGCCTTCCATTCTTTTCCCGACGGCTGGAGGTTCACAGCCGCCAGGTGCGTGCGTTTTTTGTGCCCGGCACTGCTTTGGGTGCGCCTGAGCCGCTGCTGCTGGCGCTCTTTGGCGCTAGGGCCGTTACCTTTTTGGTAGCGGTATGCTGTTGCGTCTGTCCCTTTTTCTGTGGTGCTGCTGGGGGGTGATCTTGGTCGGCCGTTTCTCTGGCCCAGGTGTCTTCTTGGAGCATCTTGGGCTGCACGAAGTCGCGCGGGGGCGGTCCCCCCCGAGGGCCACCGCCTGCGCAAACCGTGCAGCGGGATGAATTCTGAAGCCTCCCACGTTTTGTGGAAAAGTCCTGAATCAGTCAAAAATCTAGTCCCTTCGCATTTATTGGCCGACTGATGCGTAACTAAGCGGTCGGGTTTCTTCGTGAGAAAGTGTTCTATGGGCATGCGATTGTAGAGGCCGCCAGGCAATAGAGTAGCCCTCAGTCCCAAATAAAACCCTTGGCCCAGCACTGCGCCCCGCGTCAGTGTCATGCCCTCGACCATTTGCAGGAACCCACCGGCACACGATTAGGGAAGCGTGGGTCTTGCCCGATGCTTGCTGGAGAGGTGTTGGAGACAGTTTTGGAGAATGTGACGCCGTGCAACGTTTTGGATTGAACGGCGCGAACCGCGGGGGAGTGGCTTTAGGCTCAAAGCTAGACAATGACGCCAAGCTTCGGCATGTGCTTGCGCAGAAGTTCTGCTCTGTTTCGGTGTGGTCTGATGTCCGTGCGGGGTCGTTACTCTGCTGCTTCAACCTTGGCACAGGAGGTAACTGTATTCTGGAAGTCCTCGCACAGAGGGACTGCGGGGTGGTGTTGGCCTGCTCGGTTTTCGTTCATAAGATATTTATCAGAGCTTCAGTCACAATCGAAAAGTCTGCGCATGGGCATGCTCGGCATGGCCATCCCTTCCCCAGAATTTGAGGGCTGTCATCGATCCGGCGCGCAGGAGTTCGGGCCGTCACTGATGGAGCTGTTTGCCGGTTGAGTGGGATGGGGGGTGCTTCGTTCCTTTTTTGTTTTAGTGGCGGGAGATTGTATATCGCCGCTGTTCTAATCTTCGTGGAAGGTGTGCCGTGTCGTGCGACTCATCTTATCGAAGTGTCGTGGAACTCTTAATATTACTTAGTCTAGTGTACGGCTACTTTGGAGAATTCTACTAGAGCTTCTAAAAAGATGGGGTTGGGGAGTCGAGGTCAACAGCGTCCGACACGCAGATGAGGAGCTCGAGAGGCTGACAACCTTGATGGCGACCCAAAGAGACACGGTGAACAAGCTGGAAAATGTAGGCGCAGAAAATCCAAGTTCCTAGAACTGAGATCGGCACTACTTTCAAGCCCGTGCACCCACTAGGCTGCGCCCCTTTCTGCCTCCTTTTTCGTACATTCCCGAGTCGGAAGCTAGTGGGTGGCCCCTGGTAACTACCAAAGGCCTCTGCGTCCGATGGCTCGGCAGTGATATGGGAGCACTCTCCGGGCGGGGGCGGCCCAATGTCGGAGAAGGTGCGCGGGCATCTCCGTTGGCTGTGAACTTGAGTGCCAAAGGCTGCCCTGGCTCCGTGTGGTTGTCACCCTTGTACGCAAAGCCACGCGCGAAGGCCATTCCACCGCAGTGGGCTGCAGGGCCGTGCGACCGGGTTGGCGCGCCAGTATGCAGGAAGACCCGACCCCGCCACACACTTGCCAGGTCCATCTCCGTGAACTTTGGCCAAGCCAAAGCGGACCGGAGTCGGGTTGGCGTGCTGCTGCTGGTCGCTGCTTACGTCGTCTCCTGGCGCGGAGTCTGGTGGGTGTGCGTGTCCGCTAGGTTTGGGCAGGATCCCAGATTTGGAGCGCCCGCCACCACCGTGCTGGTTTTGGTCGCTCCAAAGCCGACTAGGATCCAGCAACCAAGTCGCTGGCCATTTTTTTCCCGGAAAAAGTTCGCTTTTTTAGGCCTTCCACTTGGGCCCGGTCTTGGGCTTTCATCTTTTTAAATCTTGGGCAGAAATTTCAAAAATCTAGTGGCGGGCGCAAATATTCTCGGAGCAGACTTCGAGTCTTTTCCTTCGGCTTTTTCTGCGAGAAAATTCATCTCAGACAAAGCACTTTTTGAGGTGGCTCGGCTTGGATCTAATCTTGGCGCAAATCTTGGATTTCAGCCAAAGCGTGAGCCTGCTCACTCGCTCCGGCGCTTCCTGTCCCTGGTTGTCTTGCTGCAGCCCGCGGATGGTGGGAAATTCAGACCAAGGGGATCGCGCACAGGCTCAAGGAAGCGGCAAGCGGAGGAGGAAAGGGCCTCGCAGCTGGCCGGCTGGGGTGCTACTGAGTCAGTTGGTTCGGACAGCTTTCGGGCGCTTGGAATCAGCTGACTCCGTCGCAGGCGTAGGCAGTCCCTGCCGCAAGCCCGGCGCCTGGGCCACTGATCAGCTGCTTCAGGCAGTGGCCCACCTGGTTCGCTTTGAGGCAATCTGCCAGGCCTCTGGCTGAGTCAACTGATTCATCAGGGCCAGTCTTGGCCTTGAGTCTGTCAGCTGATTCGCATGACCGTGCAAACACAACAGCGCACGCGGTCGCTGGCGATGGCATTGGAGCCGGGGACTCCTGAGTTGCTTGAAGATGCTGCGTCGTATGCATTTGCTGGGGCTTTCTTGGTCTCTCGAACGTTGTGCACATTCATTGCGTCGCCTTTTTGTGCGTTTTGAAATCTCAGCGCTAGGCCCTTGGATAGTCTCCATCTTCAGATAAGCACTTCAACGAAGACAAAATTGATCCGTATGGCCAAAAAGGTCACGAATTCAAGTGGTCGGGAGAGAAGCTGAAGCGTTACATTGCGCAGGAGATCTGGGGAAACGTCAAGGGTCACATGTCCACCACCGGAACAAAGAACATTGCGGACCCCAATTCGGCCACAGCAGGAGCTGGTCGCGAATTATGGAAAGGGTCGTCCATCGGGGTGGCGATGGTGACGAACGGGTGGACGCCGGACGTCACACTTAAGGTCGCCATAGGGGAGAGCACTATCGACGAACTGTTGCTGCTGTCTGCCAGCTCGTTTCATCCAATATTTACTTTTCCAGGCGAGCGCGAGGAAGAGAATGGCCATATAATTGCTCGCGATTTTATTGTTGATCCAGCTACGGCCGTAGAGACCATCGCTTTCGGCGTCGGTAGCGACGGTGCCTACGTGAGCAAGGATGTAGCGGTCACGAGCTTTCTAAGGCGTCGGGCTAACTTGTTCTTATAATATAAGTAATATGCATAGAGTAGTTAGTTCTAGAGGCTTGTCCTACTTATACATAGTGCATTTTTAGATATTATAACCAACCTCAAATTAATCGGCTCAGGAAGCTAATCAATGCTACCTAAAGGGCCACGGCCACCTCACCCCCCTACGCTCTAGTGTGTGCGCTATTAGTTAAATAATCTAAACGCAGGGTACGTGACCTTAAACGCAGGGCCTAGGCTTACAATCTAGTCCACTCATCATCAGAAACAATTTTGTACTGCTATTTTTTTCCCTGTGTTTTTAGATAGTTGGTTTGCTGGTTTCTACTTTCGTCCAGCGAGGGTATCAGTATGTGGAAGATATAGACCTTAATGCACTAATTTCATTGTTGTCTAAGCTTCGCCCGGTATAGTCGTGGAGTTAGAGTAACACACTTCGTTCTAGAGACTTTTATCGTGATTGGTGGATATCTCGTTCACCAAGAGTGCTGCCAAGTGTCAGTCATCTGCGCTGTGCTACTCGTGGCTCGTGGGTGTTTGTGGTGCCGTATTCCTTGATAAAGCGGCCACGCGATCAGGCGGCACATTACTTCGCCAGTTTTAAATTAAAACCGTGGAGGATGCTTGTTCATGGCCCCGAAAGGTGCGCGCAACTTACTAGTGTAGACCGGGTGCGTTTGCAATTTGCAACGTGCCGCATAAAAATGATATATGTTGCAGCTGCGCTTTTCTTTATCGATCGCGTGGCAGCGAACTCGATAACTACATGCCCAGGAAGCGGGCCCATAAATGATTCAAGGGCGCGCCACACTGGGCATAGGTTACTTAGCAATACATAGACTGACAAGACAAGCGGCTTCGACGCAGGGCGCTAAGTGGTCACCAAGCTAGCGACGCGCGGCTGGCTCGCTTTGGGTTGGCTAATGCGTATGCTGTTACATGGCTAAGCCGGCAGGCTGGCTGTCATCGTGGCTAAGCTGACAGGGCGATAGATAGACGATGGCGAAGCTTATAAGCAAGCCGGCTGTTGCTAAATTACCGACGGACGCGGAGCGGCTATGGCTATTAGCCTAGCAGGCTAGCGCTGGTGAGGCTCGCAAGCTGGTCGCGACGAGGTTAGCAGGCTGGCGGCCATGCCGCGCTGGGCTAGCAGGGTGGCTGCGACGAAGCTCGCGAGATGGCTATGGCTAAGCAGCTAGAAAGCTAGCCATGGCTAAGCAGCTAGCAAGCTACCGACGGCCAAGCAGCTAGCGAGCTAGCTACTGCTAAACAGCTAGTAAGCGGCTGGCTTTAGGCTTAGCGGGCCAGCCAAGCCGCTAGCACTATGGCCAAGCAGGTAGCAGGCCTGGTAGCTTGCCGTGGTATGGAGATGCAGCTACCTAGCAAGACTGCTCTCCACCCTGGGCGCCGCGTGTGTTGTATTTGGTAGCAGGCAGTTTGCTCGGGTTTACTGCTCTGACAGGGAAGCGCGCCACCAACTCAGTGCTCTGAGGGGGTGTATAGTATTAAAAGCAATGCGGCCCCCGCCCCAGTTTTTCTTCGGCACGCACTCGCACCCACCGACCCCAAGAAAGGGAGGGCACCTCACAAGCTTGAAAGGGCGGCAAGCGGCTGAGCAGAGTGAGGCTGCCTGGCTATGGCGACTGGGCTGGTGGGCTTTAGCAGCTAGGCCAGAGAGCGAAGCAACATGGTGGCACGGCTGAGGGAGCTTGCGTGCTATGGCTGCGCGGCCTCTGTCTCAACGCACTGCACCCACGCTGGATGGCCCAGGCGGGGGGGTCAATTACGATACCGTATAACGGATTTCGGGTTGCTCGAGTTGCAACGGGTTGCGCGGGTTGCCGGAGCGCAGGGGCTCCAAATCTGGAACGGGTTGCCGCGGGTTGCCAGGAGAATCCTGACCCAGCAAAATGGGGCGAAGCCGGGCGGTATGGAGGAGCAGTTGCATGCCTGAAGTGAAGAAATGAAGAGAAGAAGCGCGCGGCTTTTGTTTTTTGTTGTTGCTCAATCTTGAAAGGGGCGGCCACGCGTGAAGGGCTCTGCAGCCTTTCCGGCTCTTTTTTTGTAGCGTGCGGGCGCGTGTTTGAAGCGAAAACAAGGAGCGAAGGCCCCTGCTCTCTGTTGTTTTTTTTGAGGTGGGTCTCGCCGTGTTGTGTCGTCTTCGAGTCGTTGGCAGTCTCTCCTTTTTTTCTTCGGGTGCGGGCGTGGCCAATTGGCCGGGGGGCTGAGAGCGCGCCCCCGTCTGCTGCCATCAGCGCGCGGGCGACGTGTCCAGCCTTGGGTATAGCAGTAAGTATACTGGGGGAGGCTGCTAAATTGAAATGGATTGACGCGCTAGATTTTTATACACGAGCGATGGGGCCTCAGGGGCGCACGAAGAAGAAGACTAAGGATCAGACACGCGGCGCGTGGCGTCGTGTGCTCCTGTGGAGGTCTCTCGTAGTGCCGTAAGTCTGCGCCTGAAGGGCGCCGCGCAAAAAATTTTGGCTGGCAACTCGAGCAACCCGAGCAACCCGACCCGATATGGGTAAAAAAGAGCCTAGCGCTACTCTAGTACGTTGAAGCCCGCGGGGGGGGCTCCCCTCGCTACGCTCGCGGCCTAATCAACGATGGACACCGAGACCGACGCACATAACTAGATAGGGGCTGTGGCCATGCCAGGTGGTTTGGGCCCATTGTTGTGAATTGAGCGAATCTTGTGAATTGGGCCTGGGCGCCTGTTTGGCTAATGAGTCTCAGCGGTTTTAGCTAAGCAAGGAAGCTGGCACTGCCTTAGATGTCTACGCTCTCTGAAGCAATTTGCCTGGCGACGGTTTAAGCCCGATGCGCGGCTTTGCATGGCGCAGGTAGCTGATTCACAGCCAGTGTTAGTCTGACGGCTGGATGGTCAGGGCCGCGCTAGCTGGCAATGTATGGCTGAGCTACTGCGCATCTTGCTGGGCATAGCTACTTGGCTAACAAATGTAATGCGTCGCATCGTGCCCAAATAGGGGTAGGGAGCTGGTTGCCAAGCAAGTGGGCAAAGCTAGCGCGCTGGCGGTTTATGGTGTCGGGACAGGTTTGGTTTTTAACTAAGATCGCCTGGGGGTCGCTCAAGTTATACTAGCTTGCGGGCCGTCCAAGTTAAACTAGCTTATCGCGGCAGAGGTGCTTGCGTGGCCAACGGTGGCGGGGCTTGTTTTGTTCTTTTTTGGTTCTGGTTACGGTTGAGCCTGCTCATATGTTGGCGGAAGCAAGTAAGGGGTAAGCCTGGTAGCCGCGTCTCAGCGAGCTCGCCCGCCTTGCTTGGGCTGTGTATTGCTAAGGCAACCGAGGCGAAGCCGGGTGGCTCCGCGACATCTGGGTGGGGTCAGCGGGCGTTTGTTATTTTCACTTGCGGACGGTGTGCGCATCATGCTTACCCAATTCCAAGACTTTTTTGCCAGTTGACTTTTTCTACGCGAAATATATGCTGCGGCCGGGCTGATTTGTGTAGACAAGTAAGCTAACTCTTCTAAGCCACGAATTCGGTGACATTCCTCTTGAGCAGGCAGACGTTGTGGGGACTTTCCCTGGCAACCCCATGGCGCTCACGCTCTTCAAGTTGGTACAGGCTTGGTTGGGCTCTTGGGACACGTTCGCTAAAGCTTTTGGCGGGATATTCTGGGCCCACCACCTGCAGGACCCATACGGGGTCGCAGGAGCTGTTCCTGGTATGTTTAAAAAAAGTCAGAAAATGACCACAGCCGTGGGCCTTCCGACGTACATCGCGCGTCCCTGGTTGCAGAGCGATCACTTGTCGGCGACACTAGAAGCCACATTACCGGCCGTCGACGGCTTCGTTGGCCACCCGCGTGTGGAACTCTTCAACTGGAATATTCTCGGTCGGGGTTTGGCACATATGTCGATGCCGATGCTGAAGATGTGGGAGAAAGAGATTAAAAACATTCAAACATTTTTTCAGCTCCTTGCTTTGAGAAAGAAGCTGGGGGAGATGAGCGCGCGCGTCGACTCAAAGGAGGTGGACATCTCAGTTCTTGCATTTCAAGAAGACCTTTTTGCGCAGACATATGGGTCCACAGGGCCAGACGCGGCGGGCGAGTTAAGCTGGTTTGGTCACTTTTGTAGTAGTCGAGCGCGCGAGATCTCATTCGTATCCATTCGGCGGCCGCGCATCCTACACGCGGGCGCCCATTTATCCCATTCCACATCGTTCAACTCGCTAGCGAGCACTCGCTTCGTCTCTATTCTTTTCTTTTTCTCTTCTTCAACTTCAATTCTATCGCCAAATCCCATTCCTCTCGAAATGGCATTCAGTGAACGATCAAAAGGCAACCAATGACAAAGATAATCAAAACCGAATCTCGATCTTGTAAGTCGGTACCCCACCAGCATGGCTCTCAGCCTCGTGCTCAGATCTTGATCTGGTCTTTTTCGAACTCTGGTCCACAATGGCCAGCCCCACGCTGAAACGCCTGCGCATTGCGCACGCCTCTCGTTCCGCGACCCCCGCGCCCGCGGGCAGAGTCCCCTACTTGCATGATGCGAGGGGAGCTCATTAGTCTTGCCTTGTGATAAGGCTAATCATACTCGTGCAAGAGGCGTGTCTAGGTCTAGGTCAGATCGCACTCAGGTCATATCCTAGAACGACGACCGGGCCAGCCCTCGTCTTCGCCGCACTGCAGAACCATCGACAGTCTAAGGCGATTGCTCGGCATCTAGAGACCGCCCTAGAGATCGAGGAGCGAGTATCTGCCAGACTAGAGAGCTCAGGAGAGAGCGAAAGGCCACCCCCTTCCAAATGGTGCCAAAAAAGCTGCCCAAGGTCGTCTGTTAATAGAAAAACGCTTTCAAGATCTGGCTCAAGAAGTTCCAGGTCTTTACTGAAGAGGACCTAGCGAAATAATAAAAAAATCGCTACTATCTTATCGAACAGAAGGAGGCGCGAGCAGACCGCTCCACTAAGTAGCATCCGTCTGATCTTACAAGGAAAGTCGCGCTTTGATGGATCTGTCGCCTACTCGTTCTTTAGGATATCATGACTCAAAGGTCGACACTTGACTCGTTTAATATCTTTCGGAGATGACTGAGCACACAGATGGAAGATGCCGTGGCTGTTGTTGTTGTTGTTGTTGTTGCTTGTTCTGCTGCTTACTGAGTACCTAGCTACTTCCTGAGCTTTCTCATTCTTGACCTTTCTCCTGGACCGTGCTACTCGGTTGAACTTCCTCACGATGTGACTCCTATCGTGTTGACCTTCTTCATCTTGATCGTCCTGGTTGTGATCTTCTTGCTCTTCCTTATCCTTGTGGTGATCCTGATCTTGATCCTAAGAGGCGGAACGCGGCCGGGGAGGATCTCGATCGCGTTGGTATTCAGTATATCACAAGATCCATGATCCCTACACTCCCCCTCCCGAGACCAAGTCCATCAATCAACCACACTGACTCCCCTCTCAACTCCCTCCCCGCCACTTAGTGGCAAACTTGACACAAGACCTACAACTTCCCCCGAGTCAAATGGCTACGCGATCGGCCGTCGTCCCACTCTGTAATCAGAGCTATTCGCACTGTGTCACTACAACACCCGCCACGTTTAAACATGGCAAAAATATGCACGCGCGACCGTGTCCAGCTCTTTCGCAGCGTCCTCTTTAAAAATAAATAAATACTTACTTCCGCAGAGGAGCTTTGTGAGCGGATCGGCGTGGTTTCTATCTTTCGGCACATAGCATAAGCTCTGAGCATAGTCCCGAGCGAAGTGATGGCGTAAGTCAATGTGCTTCGACCGCTTGGCTACTGCGGTACTCTTCGCAAGCGCTCAGGCGCTCTGGCTGTCTGTAAATACAGTCGGCAACTTCTCACCCTTGGCCTCTACGAACCAACTCAAGAAACCCCGCCCAAGAGTAATCTTTATTGTGTCATAGAAGGCAATATGCTCTGCCTCGCGCGTGCTTGTAGCTCTTGCAGTCTGTCTTGTACTAGACCAGGCTATCGGTACTCCTCGAAAGTATAAAACGCTTCCGCTGGTGCTTCTTAAGCTAACTGAACAGCCAGCAGAGTCGGAGTCTGAGAATGCTACAGCATCGCCGAGGCTCTTTTTGTTAGATGCCAGGACTTTGCTGTAAATTTTCTTGCAGTTTTCTTCTATTTCCCGAGAATACTCAAGACCAACCTCTTTCGTCCCCTTCAAGTGCTGAAGGATCCTCTTCCCACGCTCTACTGTTGCGCTCGTCGCTGTCGTCATCTCGCGCGCTACTACCTGCACTGTGTAGACAGTGTCTGGGTGACACATAGAAGCAATGTGCTGGATGCTACCTACAAGACTTCGATTTGGAAGCGTTTCATTCTTAGGACTGTCCTCACCGTCACGCTTCTGAAAAATTGGTGACTTAACAGCGCGACAACCTTTCACGCGAAACTCTTCGAGTGCTCGCCCGATAGCCTCGAGCATGTGTGTGCGCATGTGGCGTCTTCTGCCACAATGCTCTAGAGTAGCCCCGAGAAGATCCTGGATTTCGATGTCGTCCTTCATCTTAGGGGGGATTACCTTGCCAGGAAAGGCCGCCGAGATTTTCTACATCTCAGATTTCACCAACACAGGACAGCGGCCCGCAGTAGTGTAGTTATCATCGACATACACTGAGAGCGTTAAAGTTTTACCGTCGACCACCTTCCTGAATAGTCCAGGCTCCCTAGGGCACATTTCCCACCCTAACTCTTCCAACCCTTGTCGATAAGTGTCAAACCATCTACGCGGGCTGATGCGCAAGCCGTAGAGGCTCTCTACCAACCTAACCAGGTCACCCTTTGGGACCTTGCTCCAGTGTTTTGGTTGGTAGTCTTACAGTAACTTTCTCGCCTCCTAATGCTGCTGAGATAAATGCGCTATGAATATCGAAAATAAGCTCAGTGCGTGACTCTGATGCTGCGGCGTCGATCAGGAGTGTCGTGCGCGGCTAGCAGCATGTGACACAGTAGGAGAGTAAATCTCGCCACGCGTGTCCTTTTTCTGTTTGTTCCCCAACGCTGCACGGCGGGCCTTGTAACGTCCACAGCGTTTGAGGGTGTAGATAACTACACTAGGCACTACTTCATCTCCAAGCTGATAGTCGCCGTCTTCCAATGCCTTCCAGCACTGCCTCGCGATGAGGTTTAGTCGTTCTTCGTTATCTGCCTCAATGAGCTTTATCGCGTCCTCTCTTTCCATTGCTTTCGCCCTAGTAAGTTGAACATGGAAGCGCAGCACTTCCTCCCCTTCTTCAAGCTCGCGCTCGCTTGTCGAAGGCCTCGGGAACGTCTCGGGCGAAAAATACCTGAGCACCATCGCCATCCACAGCCGCTGCCCAGGCAGCTGCTGCTTTCGCGTTTGCTTTCCGGCGCCGTTGATTGGGTTTCGGGCCTGGCTTCAACGACCCCGGTTGGTTCTTACTGCCCTTAGGTCTGCCACGCTTACTTTCGGCGCACATATGTCGCCCCGTCCTTGAGCTTGATCTCAACCGCCGGAGGTTCTTGGTGCTCCTCCTGAGCCCCCTCCGGCTCATTGATCTCCTCAGGTCTGGTCTCTTCTGCCACACTATTAGAAGGGCCATTGTCATTTTCACCACCCTCGACCACGATTGCCGCCTTATCTTGTTTCTTTTTTTCTTCTTTTTCTTTTGCTTCTTGAATATTTTCTTTTTGTTCTTCACTGTGTTCTTTTTCTTGAGGTGTCTCTTCACCGGACAACGAACCTCCCCTGCTCTGAGGGGCACTCTCGCTCCTCGGGCTGATCAGGCTCGGAGGCGGCCGCCGGAGAATCTTGAGGCACATCCGAAGCACACAGTGCGTCTGGCAACGAATAGGGGACAAAAGTACCCTTTGAAAACTTTCGCAAGTCGTTGCTATTGCTGACAAGGATGCGCTCATCAAGCTTACAACTGCGACTCCCGATTACTGTGAAAGAACCGCAGGCCAGCCCTCGTTCTGTTATCCTCATGCCATACCCCGACAAGGTAGCGCGAGTTACTTAACCGATTAGCCCAAAAAGATACCACGCTCGTCGCGCTCGTGTAATTTTCCAAGACCTTCCGTGAAGTGTGTTTTTGCGTATGCTAAGCAACCGAAACGCTTAAAATATTTTGTGCTAGGTTTTCTGTTATGCCGTTTCTCGAAAGGCGACAACTTCCCCGGCTTCCGCGCTAGGCGTGCATACACCCAAGCAACGTAGGCCGCACAATGAGGCCACGTTTTCGGATCAACTCCGACCATGTTGGCCCTAGTAGCGTTCTGAGACGTTTGGCTCCACCTCTCAGCCACCCCGTTTCTGTTGGGCGTGTAGGGCGCACTATAATCAGCGCGAATCGATGGACTTTGTCTCGCACAAAATGCCCTCCATTGTGACTGATTTCTCCCCTTTAAACTCTGGAGCACAATCTGCGCGAGCAGCTTTCGTTTGTCCATTTCTGGCGCGCCACTTCTTCAAACAGTCGACACGCTGCGACTTCTTTCCCACCGGATAGCTTTCCGGCTAGCCTGTGAACTCATCAATAGCACTACAGCGCCAGACCTCATCGTGTAGACCAGGTGGATACGGACCCGTAAAATCCCAACCCGCTTGATCATTAAAAGTAAGCCGCAGGCTTGGGATATTCTGGCCGCTCTTTGGCTGCGCCCCTCTGTCTTGACTTACAAAGCACACACTCTGCACATGGTGGATGCTTTAAGCCATGGATGTGGGAATGGCCGCGCCGTCTATGCAGTTCTAATCGTTCCGATGCAGTCACATTCTTCCAAGCTGGCGCTGCTTCTTCTTCATGTCCCTCCACTTCCATGCAGACCATCTCTCCCACATCATCACTCTGCCAATCATCAACAGAGTGCGGAGCCTGCTGGAACTCTATAGGGACTGTTGGCAACTTTGTTCCGGTATCCTTCCCCAGCCACCACTTTTCTCGGGTGGTCTTATTCTCTATATAAGACTCATCACCAAAGACAGGCTTCGCGCCATCTCCCACTAGTGTCCTGACACTCAGCAGGAACATACTTAGAGCCGGGTGGTATATGCCACTCTGTAACCCCAAAAAGTTCTCATGGAAGACCCCTCGATAACCGACTTCGTCGAGTTTTCTGTCTGCGACAGTAAGCTTAATAGGCTTCGCCCAGGCAATGGACTTGAAGCATTCTCGATATCCCGCCAAGTGATGACTCGCACCACTGTCAGCCACCGCGCTTACTTTGCGGCCAGCCGGTCGGGGTCCTTTACTTTTGGTCTGAAGTTCGTTAACTTAAATAATGCATATGGTATGTCCGTCGTAGCAATCACGTCACCCGAAGGTCCCTGGTGATCTTTGTCTTCTTTTGTCTTGTCCTCTTCAGCTCTGACCACTTCGCCCGAAGGTCCCTCATGGTCAGAAGACGTAACTTCTAAACACTTCGCTGACTCTTCTCTTCGTTGTTTCTTCATGGTGGTCCCACCATGTTCTTCGGCTTCTTCTCCTCTTTTTCGCTTTCCTTCTTGTGCTGCTTCGATCGTTGTTCTTACCTTGTTGCAGCTTGTTGCCGTCTGAGTGCAAATTTTTGACTTTCGTACTCGTTGACTTCCCATAAGATTCCAAATTTTTCGAATTTCCGTATTCCATTGCTGCAGCGCTTGCTTGTGGTGCTTGTGATTTTGAAGAGTAACTTTGTTGCACTTGTAAAGGCCAATCACGATAAGAATGCAAATGTGTCTCGTTTCTACTTTCAGGATGCAAATTGTCCTTTTCTTGTTGTTCTACTTCTGGTTGCAAGGTGCTAGCGCTATTGCTAGTGCAGTTGAAGTGTGCCGGGGCACTTTCTTCCTGTTGTTCTTCTTCCAGGCGTTGGTCTTCTTCTCCAACGCCCTCTAGACGTTCTCCTTCGTCTTTTTCATGCAGTCGAACTCGAAGATCTTCTTCTTCGTCGACTGCTAGGCGTCCTTCTCCGCCTAGTTCTCCTCCATCCCCAGTGATTTCTCACTGTTTTTCCTCTTTCTTCTTGTTCTTAGGGTTGAAGGGGCGCGCGACCTTTTCGTGCCCGTACTTTCCACAGCAGAAGCATGCCTTCTGCACCGGCTTCCACCAAGATCGCTCTTGGCCTTTACCGCCTTTGCCGTTGTCCTGCTTCCCGCCCTTTTTAGGGTCTTTGTCTTTTCCTTTCTTGCCCTTTCCTTTGCTCGTGCCTTTTGGTCGTACCCAACGGCCATGCACACTGTGAACCAATTAAGAACACACAATTAAAACAACTAAAATTGGGTGAGTCCCTAGTAGGTAACACTACCTAGGAAGGCGTGGGGTGTGTCTCGCGTCTTGAAAGGTATGGCTATTTCCGGCACAAATATTCAATAGCAACAAATGCAGCGCAAAGGCATCTCCAAAGGCTTCCCGTCGACAAATGTCGCAAATAAATGCACTTGCGGGCTGCGACTGGTCAAACCAATACACAATCGACACAAATGAGAAGCCAAACGCTATGGGCGGATGACTTGGCTACAACCTGAATCCTGAGAGTCTTTGTGGCAGATCGGCCGTGAATCATGTGTGGCGACAAAGAAAACAACGCATATGAAAGACGGGCCAGCTTGCCTTAAGTTACTTAAGCATGTAAGTGCGCAGGGATTTATCTTAAATGACCGGTCCAGTACTCTTCTATTCGCATAGCGTAAGACCCGAAGGCATATTTCATTTGTGTGCTCAGTCCTCTCCGAAAGATATTAAACGAGTCAAGTGCCGATCTTTGAGTCGTGTTAACTTGTCGAGCGAATAGGTGAGAGACCAAGCGCGATTTTCCTATGTGATCAGACGGATGCTACTTAGTGGAGCGATCTCGAGCCTCCTTTTGTTCGATAAGATAGCAACTATGTGCATTGCTTTTTCAATAGGTCGTCCTTCTCAGTAAAAATCTGGGACGTCTGTTACAGATCTTGAAGCATTTTTTTTTTGAAGTGCTCAGCTGCACCGTTTTGGAGTGGGGTGGTCTTTTTCGCTCTCTCCTGAGCTCTCTAGTCTGGCAGATGTTCACTCTACGATCTCGAGGACGGTCTCTAGATGCCGAGTAGTCGCCTTGTGCTGTAGATGGTTCTACCGCGCGATGAGAACGGGGCTGATCTAGTCGCGATTCTAGTATATGGCTTAGGTGTGATCTGTCGTAGATTTAGATATGTCCCGCGTACGTGTATGGTTTAGCCTCGCCCTTATCACGTCGTAAGATTAATTAGTTCTCGAAATATATGATGGAGCGCTACCTATTTCGAGTAAGATGAAAGGAGTTGGCTACTAATGGTCGTCAGTATGTTGGCAACCCCCCCCCTGTAATTCGCGAGCTAGTCGTCTCTATTAAGTCGCGAACTACCTATATTCGACTGTAGTTCGGCCGGAGAGTCTGGGCCGTGAGAAAGGATTACTGCCAAGCAGTAGTCTGCTGAAGACTATGCTTGGAGAACTACCAGTGAATATATTGTCTCAGCTGTAGCGTGCGTGCGCGTCTTCTTCTTTTCCACGGCTGTCCCGCTGTGCTTGCCATTCTTCGGCCAGAACTCGTAGCTGATCCAAATCTACCGCCTTGTTTAGAAGTTTGGGCATCAGAAAATCAGCTAGTTCCTGTCCCAAGTTGCAAAACGTTCCGAGCGAAGTTAGTTCTTACATGGTGAATTGTCCACCAAGCTTGTTCTGAAGGATGCCCTGCTTTCGAGTGAAGTAGTGGTGAAGACTTTCCTCCGGCTGGATTTTGTCGAAAACCAGCTCCCTTAGACCGTTCAAGCGAGAAGCCTGGGCCTTCTTTTCGTACTCTGTTGCTAACGCTTTCACCGTACACACCAGATTTCGGTCTTCTGGCTTAACTTGTAGTAGGATTTGTTCCGCGTCACCCTGCAGGGCACTTTGAAGACCACCATACACGCGGGCGGCTTGTTTCTTCTTTTCTTCATCCCACAGACTGTCGCCCGCTGGCGTTTGTAAACTTCTCTTCAGGGCCTCCTGGATTCCGAGCGACTCCAAAATATTTTGAGACTTGATCTCGAAAGCCGACCAGTTTTCGTCTTTGCCGTCGAAGACTGGCAAAGTGGCGAAGTCCTTCCCCCCTGGCGTCGTCATGTTTTCAAAAAAAACACAAAAAAAACTTTATCTAGTAGGGAAGAAAAATTTTGCGTAAGGTTGTGTAGAGATTGTTAGACCAGTAGCCCACCTAGTGGGAACACAGATTAGACGCAACGCCAAACCGCACTAGTAACTTGCTGACTATGGACTTCCATGGGGATTAGCCTGGTGCTCTACATAACCTGCACGCAGTTAGGTTATGCCGTGGCTGTTGTTGTTGTTGCTTGTTCTGCTGCTTACTGAGTACCTAGCTACTTCCTGAGCCTTCTCATTCTTGACCTTTCTCCTGGACCGTGCTACTCGGTTGAACTTCCTCACGATCTGACTCCTATCGTGTTGACTTTCTTCATCCTGATCACCCTGGTGGTGATCTTCTTGCCCTTCCTTATCCTTGTGGTGATCCTGATCTTGATCCTAAGAGGCGGAACGCGGGGGGGATCTCGATCGCGTTGGTATTCAGTATATCACAAGATCCATGACCCCTACACGCGGCAAGGTCTGAGGATGGGGATTTTTTCCGGTCGATAGGAAGACCGCTTATTATATTTTCAGGGAGGTTGGGGGCGTGCTAATATGTTACGCGGTGCCTATGCTCGTCCCCAAGTGCAAGAGCTGGGGCCGCAGGGTGCGGCTTTTTTGCCAGCCGCTCTTGGGCTCAACTGTCAGCAGTCAAGCAATCCTATCCGGTATTTATGTGGAGCGCCTAAAATTTTCTACGAAAGACGAGGCTGATTTACAGTCATGAGTCGACGGCTTTGGTCTTGAATCCGTTCTGTTGGGAATGATTTCTGTCGCCGTCCTTAACTTATCCTCGTAGGTGACCTTCGCGCCGGCAAGGCTAGTAAGATTGTGCGCGGCAAAATCTGGCGCGAGGTGCGTCGTGGATAATGAGCGCGGACTGCTCTGAGGGTGCGCTGGGCCTTCGCCCTCGCTCAAAATAAACGCAATCCCTCACACTGCACCGATTTAGGCTTACCCACGTCTTTTGATGAAGTCTCCCCCTACCTCAACTCCTTCCCCGGCCCTTCTGATGAGTGGCGCGCGGTCGAGGACAGAGGTGCGGTCGATGGTCTAGCGTTATCTATGGAGAACTGCACCAGGTGGGGCATCTCCCCAAAATTTGCCGAGCGTTGGTAGGTTTGGAGGCATCGCTTTTGACGTTGTGACTGATGGGCTCAAAGCTAGCCACCCAGTCGGAAGATTATGGCCCAGCATCTGAGCACGGAGAGACTTTCATCCGTGAAGTTCAGCCCCTTGCAGACTTGAAGAGAGTCCTCATCTATGGCGAGGCTTTGCGGCCGCGCCCACTGGCTGGCTTGCTTATTGCACCTGCCTCAATTTTGCTGCAGCAAGGGGGAGCTAGGACCGGGCTCATTTCGGACTGGGGCGCCAAATCTTGCGCACTCAGCCCGGCGCTGTTCTCTACGCCTGTAGACTACTCGAGTGGGTGGGGCCTTCTAGCTCACCGCTGTCGTAGCTCCTTTGCTTCTGGTCTTGGCTTCAAGGACTGCTTTCCCCATTGGCTCGCCGCCTCGCCTCAGCGTCGCCGCTTTTTCGGTCTTTCCATGCCTTCCATCAACGAGAAAGCGCTTCGCCCCTTCCTCCCGTTCGGTATTAGTCCGACCGGCTCCCGGTTGCAACGGTGAAAGCGCTAAGGAGATCATCAGAGCAGCTGGAGACAGTGAGGCGCGCAGTTTGATGCTCGACTACGTTGACGGCGTCAGGCCTGTCCTTCCGCAACCTCTCTGCTTCTCGGAGTACGAAACCAGCGCAGCCGCGACTTGGCGCGGCGGCTTTGCGTCTTCTCGGCAAATGGCTGTAAGTTGCATGACAAAGCCGGGAAGAGAGTCCCCGCTTTTACGCTTTTCCCGTGGCTTGGCTTAGAGTGTGACGCCATTAACATGGCCACGACAGTCGAATCACGGAGCCGACTTGACTACATCGCGCGCAGACATTGGGGACTTCTTAGTAGAGTTGTCCGCGGCGTCGCCGATCAACTCGCGCAAGGTCAAGCGGCTCGCCCCAGTCAAGGGTAGGCGTGGCTCTTGCGCCTGTGTTGTACATCGAGGCCTGTTGTCTGAAATGCCGCGGGTCATCGTTGAGTCTAGCTCGCTGAAGCGTTGGCAGTCAGATCGTTTGCTCAATGCCGTTGCCCATCTTGGCGAGCCTCGCCTTGCATCAGGGAAGTAAAACGGTGGCGCAATTGCCTTCGTTCCAATCTTGGAGCCCCCATTTTCTTCAAAGGCGAAACATTTATTGTTTTTATGGCGTGAAGAGATAACTGTGTGGGGTGGGCAGTTTACTCGGGCGCTGCCTCCAGACCTTGCTTTTGTAGTCCATGGCGATGTCGCTACCTCTGAAGGAGCGGGCTGGGGCGGTTTGGTTCAGTTTCTGGCCATTCTTGCCAGGGTCTACAGCTGAGTGGAGCAGCAAGTCGACCAACGTAAAAGAGGCCACCACCTTCATCCTGCTGCTGCAGGCGCACTCCCGCAAGTTTGGCCAGTCCTCGCGCAGGATTGGGATGGAATGGTTTACACTGACAACCCCGCGGCAGAGCGCGCGGGTAACCGTGGCCCATCAAAGTCGCTGGATATGTAGGGCGCGCCCTTTTTCATTCGTGACTTCCTCACGAAGCACAGGGCCGAGCTCGTGGCCGGCAAAATCTTCGGCGCTGAGAACCCGGCCGCTGGCGCCTTCTCTCGTTTCGATCGAGGAGTCCCGGGCAGTGCTTCTGCTTGCTGATCCTCAGCCACGTCGTCGGCTCGCGCCCCGATTCGCTCCCGGTCTCGACGCGGTCGCCTTCCTTCGCGGACGGTGGGGGTGAGGTGCGACCCCCTCTCCTGTTCTCATTCAGCGCACATGGTCACCCTTTCCAACACGTCGGGCATCTTGTTTCGCGTCGGGTCTGGTGCTTTCTTCCGTTTGAATTAGTGTGCGCGACCCTCAAACTCCTTGCTCGGTTCCATTCTGGCATCCCGGAGTCCCGCAGGCCTCGCTTTGTTGGGTGCGTTCCAGTTCTCTTGTCGATGGGCAATCCGTGGAGCTGTGCCGCGGTCTTCATCGGGTCAACAAATTTATTTCGCAAAGGCAGGCCCATTGTCCAAAATTCGGCTTCCGACGTCTTATTTCCGGCAGGGTGCGACTTTCACGTCTGCGCATCTGTCGACCTTATTTTTTGGAATTCCATTCATTCTGTTCCCGATACCGTCCTACCTTCTGCAGGTTGGTAAACTCCCTAAACCGGACCGCTTTCGTGTTGCTGCTAGCCTTCGGACCAGGTTGGTCATCGGTGGCATCTCCTTGGCTCCTGAAGTAGCCGCTATCGCTCGTGCTTTTTGTACGAAACCCGTCGAGCCAAAAGGCGGAGCAAGGTCGAGCTTCGCAGCTCACCCCTGCGCGTCTAAATACGCAGAGCCTGCACGCAGCGCCAAGAACTACTAGAGCAGTTTCGAGCACGTTTGTCGCGTCGTCAATATCTACAGCATGAACCCCCCCCGCGCCGCTGTCTTCTCCTTCGGCCGCAGTTGGTGACGCCACTGAGTCACGCTGCAGCGTTTTTGTTAAAGTATATCATGAACTCCCGCCCACCTCATTCAGGCTGGTGCGTTCTCCATAGCGCCACCATCGGCCATCGGCGCCGGGCGTTGCGGTGGCAACGCACAGCAGTGCGCGACTGTACTTGATAGGTTTCCCAGACATTCGAGACTGCGGCGGGGGATCTTCTAGGGCTTTGCAATTTTGACAGCATGCGGCTCGAGGCGATCGGGGGCCGACGCTCCGTTTTGAATGTTTGCCGTGGTGTGAATGCTTAAGCTCTAAAGCTTTTAACTCAAACAGAATCCGACTTCTACAGAAGACGAGGATGCTGCTGAAGTTGTGGCCGTTGAAGGTGTTGATATTACAGACATCGAAAGTTGTGGGTATAAACTCGCTGAGTCTCCTCGTTCGATAATCGTCCTGATCGAAGTAGGTTTGAAAGCTGTTGCCAGATGTTGTAGAATTCTCCCTCGTTATCCTCCTTCGTCTTCGTTCTCCTTATTTCTCGTCCGATACGAGCAACGCCGTGGCTCTAACTTAGTTAGCCTCGGTCAGTCTGCGACTTTTGCAGTATGTTCAATGTATCAGTTGAGAAGGTAAGCCGTTACGTTTTTACAGGATCCAAGCGCCCCCTTCTTCTTACTCTTGTAAAAATGCCCTTACTGTAGGGGGAGGCTTGAGGTCGATGATGATGAGGATGAAAGCACCGAGACGCTTGGCGAAGGTGAGGCAAGCGCAAGTGTAAACGCAAATGCAGAAGATGCGCCAGGGATTTCTTACTTTCGTGGCTTCATTCAACTACAACAGAACAACAAGAACGGAGCGCAACAAGTGACGGAAAAGGTGACTACAGTGCGCCTAGATCAACAACAACAGCAGCAACATTGACAACGCAGCGGGAGCGTTTAATTCAATTACTCCTCTGCGCGGATGCATTCAGTTTCTTTCTTTGAGTGAAGTAGTTTCTTGAATTCTAAGGCCAACACGATTGTTAAGGTTGGCGACCCTAGTTCTACATCAACGCATCTGCGTGCGCGGTCTTTGTTATCAAATAAGAATGGGTAGGAATGAGTGGACAGCAGTCAACATGAGCGGAATGGCGTTGCTTCAAATGATCGCGGCCAGATTTCAGAGCATGAACGAGAGAGAAGCAGCTTCTTGATCGACATTCCCAGAAGAAGAGCGAGTGACTTGGCTGGATTTTGCAACATTCACATCGCGACGACCTGAAGGCGTTTGCTTTCTTTGCGATACCGCAATCCTTTCGATTTCGTGACAACTTCCATGGAGTGGGCGACTTCAACAAACAACATCGACGATCTTTCTTGCACTTTCTCAACTCTCTTAATTTCACTTTCCTAACAATCAACCGAGCAGACGTCTGATCTTGCGAACTTCTTTCGTTCGCGCGCTCTTGTCTTCCTCACATTCTTCTCTCACGGTCTTTACGGTTTGCGACATTCCTTTTCAGCGCCCTCAAGTACCTACGAACACACGGCAGGGAGGAACATCACAACGACAACAACATCCCGACACCTTTTGAGTTTATAAACAAGCGTAGTTAGCGTTTTAGGCAGGTGCGAAAGTCGTGCGCTGTTTGGGTTTTCAAGTGAATGCGACAGACTTGGCATCGCCGTAAGATTTTGCGACTCACTTGCCACAGTCCCGGTAAATTCTTGCAGTGGTAGGCTATCTTGCCTCCCTCGTGCTGCATAGTTGCACAATTTGCGCGAGTGACTGCCTGGGGCTAGTGGGCTGGTCTGGAATGCTTGTCGCCAGGCAATACTACAAGACTCGCGCTCGTTCATTGTTAGGCAAAGAAAGGGGATCAAGTGCCAGACTTGGAGGACCGCGGCGAAGCTGTTCGGCTGAGCTGCTTGGTCAAATTTGTAGTAGTCGAGAACACGCGGCCTCATTCGTATCCATTCGGGGGCCGCGCATCCTACGCGCGGGCGCTCATTTATTCCACTCGATATCGTTCAACTCGCTAGCGAGCACTCACTTCGTGTCGTCTCTATTCTTTTCTTTTCCTTCCCTCCCGCCCTGGTGTGCCGTGTCAGGTACTCCGCGGCATCTCGGACGAGTCCCTTCATCAAATTTCCGACCGTTCTCTTCTCTCCTTTCTCCCATTCACTTTCACACTCTCGCGCTTTCGTGTCTTCATTTCACACTCGCCCAAGCAGCTCCTCTCAGTCTTTTTCTTTGCCTCTCTCGTGCTGCATAGTTGCACAATTTGCGCGATTGACTGTCTGGAGCTAGTGGACTAGTCTGAAATGCTGGCCGCCTGGCAATACTACAAAACTCGCGCTCGTTCATTGTTAGGCGAAACGGGCCGGAGCCAGGCTGAGCCGCTGCATACCAAAATTTATAAGGGGTACTGGACGGAGATCATTGAGGCCCACGGCTACGCGGAAGCGTTTGATCCGCAACACAGCTGGCACGATGGTCTGCCGCAAGCAAAGCGCGAAGCACGGCCAGAGTACACTCTGCATGCTGCAAGTCCGTACGCGATTGGGTCACTTTTTTCTCCCAAGAAAGGGAGCAAAGTACTCGCTTCGACAGCCTCCCCAAAAATATCGGCCAAAGGAACAGCAGAGCACGCACTCGTAATGGGAAACACAGTGTACATCAAATTGGGCGAGGCCTTCAAAGAGTCCCCATGCCGGCCGACCGTGGCGGCAAGTGGCTGGAACGACCGAACGCCCGAAATGTATTCGGGTCTGGGTGAGGAGTTTCCCTTTCGATCGGTGGCGATTGGGTTTGTTCATTGCACGACAGGACAGAACGAGATTGTTGCGGCGTTTCCAGTTGGCCACTTGGCAGGTGGCAAATTCGACGACATTCGAATCCTTGACGCGGTTCTCCAAGGCTACGGCAGCAAGGAAGAAAGCAGCCCAGAAGAGGCTATGCCGTGGGGCGCGGCCTACTCGAGGGTGTCTGAAAAGCAAAGGGAAAAGCTCCCGACCTCAAATGGAAAGCTGTACTATCAAGGGGCGGGCAAGTTGGTCCGCGAAATGGTGAAAACGTTTGTTAAGCAAGTTTATGTCGTTGCCCATAAACTCGGGCTGCAGAGGGAAGCCAAGAGGATTCCTATCATCCTCCCGATGGACATGAACACGAAGCCGGACATGCGTTACTTTTTGGACGAGGTCAGAAAGGCGCTTCAACAAGAGACCGCGGCGGCAGACGGCAGGCCCGCCGAGAAAGGCGCTCTCAGAACGGCCCAGGGAATTGCGGTCGAGCAGTTCCGGTTGAGCGAATCATCCGCCAAAGACGCTCTCACAGAGCCCCAGCGAATTGTGGGCGAGCAGGCCGGGTTGAGCAAATCATCCGCCAAAGACGCTCGCAGAGAGCCCCAGGGAGTTGCGCGCCCGGGCCCGGAAGCGGCTGATCTCCCTCTCCCTTTCCCAGAGTCTATAACACATCTGTTCTAGGTGGACCGCACCGGAAGGGGCAAGCTAGAGATCGAAGGAAGCAGCAGATTCTTAAGGCTCCCTTGAATACTCATCTTTTATGATGGTCCAGGTCCGCCTTGTTTTTGTTGTAAGTCGAGGCGTGCTGCAACTACTAGGTATTGATCCAGGCAGGCTTTCAGCTTTTTATATATGATCCAGGTGTTTTGGAAAAGGTTCCTTTGTTGTCACCCTGTTTGTTCTTGGAAGAAGTAACTGCAAGGCCGTGGCGGTGTGGTGTTTGTCTTGAAAACTGAAAGAGAGTAGTGCTCTACAGTTCCTGGAATTCTTGGATGTAAAGTACTTGCGTGTTGTGCTGTTGAGAATAAAAAGGGGAAGTGGAACGGTTCGGATATGAGTGGAAATCTGGCGGGTGAAAATAGTTCTGGCGTTGTCTTTTCTTTTAGTAATGTGCTGCGCTATGGATGGTGATGGCTTGAATGAATAAGCTCACTTTTTTGAGCTTGCTTGTTGCTATATGGATGGTGGAGGATTGTGTAACTATATATGACTAACCATGTCAGCCCCTGTGATCCCTATACGTGTTTGCGTCTTTGATAAAAGACAGATTTTGAAAGTTTGCCACTCTATGAAAATCTACCTGCTTTCGTTTTGGGTGGAGGAGGGTGCTTAAGTTTTGAGTTTTAAGAGAGTTGGAGTTTGTTGTTGTGTCTACTTACCTGTTTTATGGATGGTGGTGGGTGTTGGAGTCTACTTGGATGATGGTGGGTATTTACTTGATTATTTAATTGATTAATTATTCTGATTTCTTAGGATGATGAACTAGTGCTGCTGTATGTTGATGCACTTTCTACTAGCTTGGAGCGTCCGATAACATCCTTCCCACTAGGATCCCCCTCCTCCCCAAAATAAGAAACTAAGCAAGGCAAAGATGTAAGCGATATGCGTTTTCAAATTTCGAAAATTTTCCGGGTTTTGCCATCGTTTGAGGATTGGGCCTCGTGCGTTTGAAGTCAAGGGCTAAGATCCCGAAACTTTTTGGCTTTAAGCCGTTCCGCTGAGGTTCAACTTCTTGGATTTGCGTTCTTCAAATTTCGAAAATTCTCCACGTTTTACGGTCGTTCTGGGATTGGGTTTCGTGCGTTTGAAGCGCTAAAGCCCCAAAGTTTTTGAATTTCAGCCCTTTCCCTGCGATTCAGTTTCTTGGATTTGCATTTTTCAAATTTCGAAAATTTTCAACATTTTTGTGTCGTTTTGGGGTTGAATTCTGTGCGTTTGAAGTGCTAAAGTCCCAAAATTTTTGATTTTAAGCCCTTTCCCTGAGATTCAACCTCTTGGCTTCGTGTTTTTCCAATTTCGATAATTTTCCACGTCTTTCGTCGTTTTGGGAGTGAATCCCGTGAGTTTGAAGCGCTATTGGGCTTGAGGATCCCAAAATTTTTGATTTTAAGCCCTTTCGCTGAAATTTAATGCCTTGGCTTCGCGTTTTTCAAATTTCGAAAATTCTCCACGTTTTTTCGTCGTTTTGAGATTGCGTCTCGTGAGTTTGAAGCGTTGAGATCCCAAAGCTTTTGACTTTAAGCCCTCTCCCTGAGATTCAACCTCTTGGCTCTGCGTTTTTCAAATTTCGAAAGTTTTCCACCTTTTTCGTCATTTTGAGAGGGAGCCCATTGACCTCGAAGGGCTAAGATCCCAATATTTTTGATTTTAAGCCCTTTCGCTGAAATTTGAATCCTTGGGTTGGCGTTTTCAAATTTCGAAAATTTTCCACGTTTTGTCGTCGTTTTGTGGTTGAGTTTGAAGCGTTAAGAGCCTAAAACTTTTGACTTTCAGCCCTTTCCCCCGAAATTCAATCCCGTCGCTTCATGGTTTCGCCTCCACCTTTTTCGTCATTTTGAGAGTGTGTGAACCCATTGACCTTGCAAGGCTAAGATCCCAAAGTTTTTGATTTTAAGCCCTTTCGCTGGAATTTACTTCCTTGGGTTCGCGTTTTCAAATTTCGAAAATTTTCCACGTTTTGTTGTCGTTTTGTGGTTGAGTTTGAAGCGTTAAGATCCTAAAATTTTTGATTTTAAGCCCTTTCCCCCGAAATTCAATTCCATCGCTTCATGGTTTCGCGGTTTCGTGGTTTCGTGGTTTCGTGGTTTCGTGGTTTCGTGGTTTCGTGGTTTCGTGATTTCGTGACTTCGTGGCTTCGTGGTTTCGTGGTTTCTTGGTTTCCTGGTTTCCTGGTTTCTTGGTTTCTTGGTTTCTTGGTTTCCTGGTTTCCTGGTTTCCTGGTTTCCTGGTTTCGTGGTTTCATGGTTTCAGGGTTTCGTGGTTTCCTGGTTTCCTGGTTTCTTGGTTTCGTGGTTTCATGGTTTCGTGATTTCAGGGTTTCGTGGTTTCCTGGTTTCCTGGTTTCCTGGTTTCCTGGTTTCCTGGTTTCTTGGTTTCGTGGTTTCATGGTTTCATGGTTTCGTGATTTCATGACTTCATGGCTTCATGGTTTCATGGCTTCATGGGTTCATGGGTTTGGGGTTTGTTTGTTTTTGTGTCGGAGGTTTTGGGTTCGGGTGTTGGAGGTTTTGGGTTTGGGTGTTGGAGGTTTTGGGTTTGGGTGTTGGAGGTTGAGGTTTCCGAAGGGATGTGTTTGCAAAGTTTTATTGCTCTTAATATTTTTTACTTTTTTACTTCCGATGTGGTGGCTTTGTTTACCGTGTGCTGAACTCGAAAGCTCCTCCATGGATGTGATGACCCATGAAAACTCCGTTTAGGTTAGCAGAGGATTGAAGCTAATTTTGTCCACCTGTGAGAAGGAAAAAGTGGACCTTGTATGACTCTTCTGGTCGTGATTATTTAGGCCATATGGACCTTGCACGCGGGTAGATATACGTCTGACACTAACTAAGTTGCCCCACGAGCACTGACATACGTAAACACTGACACACACAAGCACAGTGACTACATATAAAGAAGCAGCAACATGCTTAAGGTTCAACACATAACAAAACAAGAACTAAAAACAACTGAAAAATCAAGAAAATGGATAATATGCAATGTTAGCGAAGCGTGCCTATCTCCTCGTGGTGACTCTCTAAAGCATTAAGGAAAGCAGGGCCGGCTTTTTGTTAACGTGTGACACTCCTACCCAGTAGTCCAATTTGTTGATCTCATATCTTGCAGCTGCGGACTACTAACTGCACCCGCCCAGCATGAATTCGAACGCGCAGTACGTTAAAAGCTGCCGCGATGCCGCACAGGGTAGGATCTGCAGCAATGGAGACAGCTGCCAGCTCCGCCACCAGTATGCAGACCTGACGAATATGAGCTCATGGCTCCGACGCAACAACCAGGTCGAGAATGAGAACTGCTACCCGTGCCCCTCCTATCTGACTAGTACCCACATCGGTAGCTTCAACGCGAACAACGGCCATAAGCTTAAGCCGACACCGGGACAGAATCAGCAGCAGCAACAACTAGGACAAGGACAACAGCAACAACCACAACAACAGCAACAAGCGCAGACGCGGAGTCTTGCTACTGGTGCTAATACCAGCCCGGTGGTGCAGAAAGGTGCAGAATGTCCCACAACAACAGTCACAGATGCAAGTCTACCAGGGGAATAACAACCAGAGCCAAGTGATGCAAATTCAGAGTCAACAGCAAGCAAATCCTATCCGGCCTAGTTGTAGTAGTAGCATTGGTTTTACCGCCCAAACAACTACAGCAAAGAAGTCGCGTGGACATGTCCCAGTGATGACGATGAAGAAAGCCCAAGAAGAGGAGGAGGAGATCTTCCCGATGGCCATCAGCACGATGAAGGATCTTGCGGAGGTGTGTGGCGTGCGCAACCTGATGAAGGCGGCCAGTTATCCAACGAAGGACTTCTACTCCCCGAAGGCAGTCATGAAGAAGCTGCTGGATGACTGTGGGCCAGGTGGTGCGCCGACGTGCAGTCTGATCGTCTGCCACTCAGATGTCGCCACGTGCATCCAGGAGATCTGTCTTCGCATCACGGACCCAGCACGTGCTAACTACATCTATGAGAAGTTGAAGTCGCTACCTGTTAAGTTAGACATCTCAGAACAGAAGCCCATGGCGGCGCACGTCGATCAAGACCAGCAACTTGCCAAGCAGAATAGCGACCTGAAGGACAGCCTCGCCTCTGTTATGGGCGAGAAGCTGGGCTTGTTTGGCCAGGAGATCACGAGCCGCGTCTTCAATGTTTCCAACCGACTGGAAAGCCTAGAGAAGCGACAAGTGCAGGGCCAGCACGATAACCCGAAGAACATGGGACCCGGCAACAACTGGGGCGCTGGAAGTAGCAACAGCGTCCAGGCTTCCTCTACTTCTTCATCTAGTTCTATCTCTAGTAACAACATCAACAATTTCCACTACAATAAGATCGCAAATCGTAGTGGCTCCACCCAGAACAAGAGGTGCTCCACGACTACTACAGCGGCGCGCAGCATCCAACAACAACAGCCACAGCGTAGCCCCTTGGCGCAAGTGCTCAGTAGTGCCGTTATTAGTGCGAAGGAGAACGCGAAAAGTCGCAAGATGAAAGATACTAGTGCTGCAGACATCTCCCCTCGCACTAAGACCCAGAAGAATGAAGAGGCGCTAAGAGTTTAAGGCCAAGCAGTTGAAGCAGGAGACTGAGGCCTGCGACGACCTACTACACAGGGCCTATACTGATACCATTGAACATCTCATCAAGAATAAGATCCGCCGCGACCCGCTTGATAATAAGGCTGAGCACTTTGATACGGCTTTTGGCAATGGGATCAGCGTGCTCCAGGCGAAGCTGGCATGTAAGAAACCAGCTAAGCCCATAACCCGCTGCCGGGAGGCCCTTTTGGAGTGCTTGGCGGAACGCCAAGACTCCACCACGCAGCTGAGTGCGACTGCGGTGGGCTCGAAGATCGCGGAGAAAGTGAGAGCTATCATCAAGAACCACACAACAGAGAACTACGGCGATGGCTTTAGGGCGAAGCTGAAGCTGCGTGAGAATGATGGGCACTCGCTCTTCTGCGTTATCGCTGCCACGGGTGTCATGTCAGAGCTACGTGCCGTGCAGAGAGAGGAGCGAGAGGCCATCGAGCGCGCTGAGCGCTATGCGCGCGACAATGGTAAAGAGGATGGCGATGAGTTCTCACCCCTTGGTGGTAGTAAGAAGTGTGAGGAGGCGCTCTCTGAGGCCGAGGAGGACTTCGTGTCGGATTTCTTGACCGGCAACAGCAACAACGATGAAGGGGATCAAGCTGGTGGCGCCAGAGATGTCGAGATGGGAGTAACCACAACTACAACGACGACAAGAGGAAAAGGAGGCGGCAGCAATGACTGGGAAGCGGTCGATGGAGAAATCTTTGACCTGGAGGAGATGCCGGACTTGTTGGGCCTGGGTGTCGATGGCGATTTCATCCAGATGGACACCCAGGGAATCTTCTCCTTTAACCCGTCCCAGCCAAATGGTGCGGTGTCGTCCTCGCGACGCACTGGAAGAGGAAGCTTCTCCTTTTGACAAAAATGACGATGGTGGTCGATGTAGAAAATTCTAGTGGAAGATGTGAAGAAATGAGAAGTGGCAGCAACGTTTTTAGAAGTAGTAGGATTAGTAACATGACAAGGACAACAAGAACAAGAAGAAAGATTCCAGTTGGCATTTCCCCGGAGCTTAGCCCTTACATCAGCGATGATTTTATATCAGGTAGGCCACTTTGGACCTGCCTGCTAGATTGCCGCACCCGAGTACCTGCAAACTCAGAGTATGCATATAATTTTTCCTATGTTTTAGCGATGGAAGTCCTTGAATGGGCACCGCACTGGTTTCGACTGCGACATCAGGCCAAACAGGTGCTCCTGAGTTTGATCTTCGTGAGGAACTTCGCGTCCCAGCTAGTGACGAAAGCGACGTCTTATAAAAACTGCCTGAGATGCAATAGCTCTCAGTACTATTGCAAGTGCGCCTTCACGTTCAACAGAGCCTGCGGTAGAATTAGGAAGGTCAATCGTGGCAGCGGCGACCGTCTCTGTTGTGACTGTGTGAAGATGGACCTCCTGGCAGCGAGTGGAAGACTTAAGACCGTGAGAGGCGTGAAGGGGTCACTAACCCGCATGGCACGCGAAAACTTGTTTGCCATCGATGACATCATTGCCCGACTACACATCAATCTGGGCGATACTTGGAGTGAGACAGCGGACACTTAAGCGGAAGCTGGACCAATACAACAACACTTCTGACGTCAGTCGTGGGTCATCGCAAGTGTGCTACCTGGCGTATCAGCCTTTTTCGAAAAAGGCATACGTTGGCGAGACCGTCAAGGGCTTCGATACACGCATTACGGGGCATAGGAGGAAGGCCTTTGTCGGGGCCCAGTTCTTCTATAGGAATACATCTGACTTCTGGCGGTGCATGTTCATCCCAATAGTCTACCTGCCAGAAGCAACACCACAAAAGCAGGCCCGCGCGATCGAGTCGAACCTGATTGGCGAGTTCTATGCCTCCCAGAACACCCAGGGCGTTAACGACTATCACGTGTCGGCTTTCCTCCATAGTGAGACGCTGATAAACATGCCCAAGGGGAAACGCCTCCTGCGTCGTAGGAAGAAAGTCGGCCCACCACGTCAAGCGCACCCAGTAGATATATCTGACCTTGCTGCGGCGTCCCGTACTACTAGCATATGCGTCCTCCTCTCAAGACGAGTACTGCCTTTGCTCCCCCCTATGGTAATCGCCTACCTTGGTGCTGCCCCTACTAGACCGTTTATCCTGACGAGAAGGGCGAGACACATCCTAGAGGAGCAAGGATACGGGACATTTATTAGGAACCTGAAGAAGGTCACCCCCGAGAAGGTTAGAAGGTTCGTGCTAGAAGTAGGCGAGACAAAACGTAGCCAGAATTTTTGGGACTATGTTGCGGCACTCCGAGCTATCTACTACGCATCTGCCACAGATGACTCGCCTGCTGTGAGCCTATGCATCAAATCGAAAGCAGGCCCAACAGTGATCGACTTCTTCAAGAAAAGCAACCGAGACTACCATGAAGCTGATGCGTGCAATTGTGAGAATATCACACACAGATACCCCATGCTGCAGGCTCATACAGTTGAAGGGCACATCATGGCGACACTCAGACTTGAGAAGTTCCGAGAGCTACTTGGCCATGAGAATTTCATTGCAACAGACCAAGAAGTTGGGAAGTGGAACACAAGGAGTAGACTCCTCAGTCCACTAACTACGAGGGCTGCCTTGAAGAAATCTGCCATGCGATTTGCGGCCTCCCTCAACAACACCAGCGACCTGGGCCCGCTGGGGCCAGTGCTAGACTGTGTGTCATTTGAGTTTTCCCAGGAATGCGAGAAGTATGGCATACGGCCTAGGAATATCAGAGGAGAATGTCAAGACTTGTGTAGAGTTGTTAATACTGACCTAGTAGATAAGGGCGTGGATATGGGCGGCACCTGTCCGCATATCTTGAGGCGATTAACGGAGAGGCATATGCAACCACCAACATGCCAACACCTCCCAGGTTTTGCCAGCCTTTTCCGCGATAATGAGAATGCATTCTTTTGGTTATTCCCAGACACCAACATCAGGAGGAAGATTAAACATAGATGGGCGACTATGCGTATGCTACTGAAGAAGAAGCCTTACAAGATCTTGCTACTACCACCAGAAGCGCGGAAGATTATTGACGTGAAATATCGACCATTGGCTAGCTATGTGGGCCACTGTTTCGCTGACATCCTCCAGACCGCGGCCAGAGTTGCTAATGATATTGTGGAACGTGACCCACGTGCTGCCCGTTGCTTCTTGACTTCACCGGAGAACGTTAAGAGGCATGTAGAGGAGGTTGAAGAGAAGGCGCGGCGGCTCCGTATCATGGTGGATGCAGAGACCGGCGACATTGGTGAATTCTTCGCCAACTGTGACCTCCAGAGGAGCCTCGCGCGGATCCTTATCATCATTAACAACCTTCGACGTCTGGCCGGGTTTAATTGTGCACGAGTGAGGAAAGCAGCAAAGGCGCTGATACCTGTTACCCATGCGCTTGGTGCTCGTGTGAAGACCTATTTTGTCCAGAAAGGGAAACGACTGCAGAAGAGGATCAAGGCCATCGCCTACACTAAGAAGAAACCGGAC